TTAATTATTGATACGTTAATTTAAAGTCTTCCTTAGTGTGTTTTTGTTTTGTCAGCACTGGGACCGCACGCAGGCTGAGCCGTGTCCCCAGGCTGCCCGTGAGCTGGTGCCCCCTTCCTCGGGGTGCTGCCCAGCTGGGATTGCAGGCGCACCCTGCGCCCGGCGCCAGGGGCACCCTAACCCTGACCCTAACCCGCACCCGGCCCGAGTGCCCGCCGGCTGCCCCGCGTGAGCCACACCGGCCGCGCTCTTCACGCCGCCTGCCTCAGCGTCCAGGGTCGCCTGTGTCCCCGGGAGGCTGAGGCGGGAGGGTCGCCCGAGCTGGGCCAGCCTGAGCCGGCCGCCCTGAGCGACACAGTGCTGCGGGCCGGGCTGAGGGGTGCAGCGGGACGACTTTGAGACAGCGCCTGCCGGGGGCCAGCGGACAGCAGCCTGCGGTGCAAAGCCGGACAGGTGTCCCAGGCTCAGAGCGGGGGAGCTTCCGATAAAGGTCCTGCCCCGCCCAGCCCCGCCCAGCCCTGCCCCTCCCGGCCCTGCCCCGCTCTGCCCCGCCCTGCTCCTGCCCTGCCCCTTCCCTGCCCTGCCCTGCCCTGCCCCTTCCCTGCCCTGCCCCTTCCCTGCCCCTTCCCTGCCCTGCCCTGCCCTGCCCCTTCCCTGCCCTTCCCTTCCCTTCCCTGCCCTGCCCCTTCCCTGCCCTGCCCTGCCCTGCCCCTTCCCTGCCCTTCCCTTCCCTTCCCTTCCCTGCCCTGCCCCTTCCCTGCCCTTCCCTTCCCTTCCCTTCCCTTCCCTGCCCTGCCCCTTCCCTTCCCTGCCCTTCCCTTCCCTTCCCTTCCCTGCCCTGCCCCTGCCCTACCCCTTCCCTGCCCTTCCCTTCCCTTCCCTTCCCTGCCCTGCCCCTTCCCTGCCCTGCCCTTCCCTGCCCTGCCCCTTCCCTGCCCTTCCCTTCCCTTCCCTTCCCTGCCCTGCCCCTTCCCTGCCCTTCCCTTCCCTTCCCTTCCCTGCCCTGCCCCTTCCCTTCCCTGCCCTTCCCTTCCCTTCCCTTCCCTTCCCTGCCCTGCCCCTGCCCTACCCCTTCCCTGCCCTTCCCTTCCCTTCCCTTCCCTGCCCTGCCCCTTCCCTGCCCTGCCCCTGCCCACGGCCAGCACGCCCCCGCCTCTGCTCCTCGCTCCCCTCCGGCCCACCTTCCTGTCCCGTGTGTCCAGCGTGGGGCGCGGGGCGCGTCCTGCCCCCAGGCCCGGACCTTGCCTGAGCACAGGGAACAGGTAGGGGCCACGGTGGGCACCGCAGGGCCGCTGTGGCTGCTCAGAGAGGAGAGGCCGCTGGGGAGGCCCAGCGTGCAGGTTTCCTAAGGGAACGAGAGGACGGTTAGGCTCCACCAAGGGTGCAAGAACCAGTGCTGATGGACTGTGGAGCCGAAGGTCAGACATTCTGAGATGGAAAGACCCATCTAGCCAGCCCTTATGGTGCCCCTCTGTAATCCCAGCACTCTGGGAGGCTGAGGCAGGAGGACTGCACAGTTTGAGCCCAACCTGGGCAATTGAATGACTGAGGCACTACCTCAAAAAATATAAAAAGTGGTAGGGCTTTCACTTCGGGTGATCGTGCTTTGTTACCTGTTAGGGGAAAAAGCAAGGAACACCCCCTCCCCATCAATGCAGTCAATGAAGGAGACCCTCAAATCTCTAATTATATTTTATTGTTTTTATGCCTTTATGCCTTGGTTTAAGCTATGTGGTTCAGGCTCCTGAGTGCTGAGAGTACAGGTGTGTGCTACCACACCTGGCCTAAATCTCTAAGTTTAGAACATTTATTGGGTAGCAGACACAAGAGAGGCTGTTTGAAAGAAAACAAGTTTCTTCTTTTGAAGACAACCAGATTTCTTCCAAGGCATATAGAACTGGGCTGCGGATGTAATTTTCTAGGTTTGATCCCCGCAAAACAACAGAGGCCTGGAGAGGGAGCTCAGTGGCACAGCAGGGCCCGGCAAGTATGAGGTCCTGAATTCAAGTTTCAGTACCAAAAAGAAAAAGAAACCCCAGATAACACAAAAAGGACTGAATTCTAGAAGACAGGGAACAGTTTTTAAACATGATAAACATTTTTGTCAGCCAGGTGTGTGGCCCCACCCAGGCCTGTACTCCCATCTTCTTGGGAGGTTGAGCAGAAGGATCACACATTTCAGGCCAGTAGCAATTTAGCCAAACCCTGTCTCAAAGTGGAAGGAAGTGGGCTGCGGCCGTCATGGAGTGCCAGTGGTGGGGCCAGTGGAATTCTCAATCTAGATTTCCATTCAGGCCGTGAATCATGAGACTGGGACACAAACTTCACACTCAGAGACAGAAAGCTCACTGAGCTCGCGCTCCTGGAGTCCCAGCCACTCAGGGCTGAGGCGGGGGCTTGGCCACCATCTCAGAAGCTGCTGTCGCTGGCTGTGGAGGACAGAGGATATAGCCTGTGGAGTCCAGCACAGATCTGGCTCAGGAGAGCCGTGTGGGAAAGACGGGGCCCCACCGAAAGAGGTGAGCTTTGTGGCCTAAAATCAGAGCTGGTCTTGGTGGTGCACATCCGTAATCCTGGGCCCTTGGGAGGCTGGGACAGGAGAATTGCAAGTGTGAGGTTAGTGAGACCCTGCCTCAAAGGGACCAAGGATTCAAAGATTGGACTCCTGGAAAGGACCCGAAACATGCTTGATCTGAGCTAGGCTGCTTTACTGCAGGCCCCATTGACTTTTTTTTTTCATTTTTATCGGTACCAGGGATCGAACTCACAACTGCCTGCTTGCAAGGCAGGTGCTTATGCCGCTGAGCTAAATCCTTTTGGAAGAGCAAACTTTGTTTTTCTGGTACATGAGATTGAACCAAGTACCAAGCCAACCTACCAAACCAGGGTAGTGCTGTGCTGTTACCAGTCCTGTTTACATTTTAATTTTGGACACGGTCTTTAAGTTACCCAGCTTGGCTTTGAACTTATGATCCTCCTGCCTCAGTCTCCCAAGCTCAGTCAGAGCTGCTAGTGTTAGATTTTCACCATATATATATATATTTTTTTTGTCTTTTTAGATTTTCAAAAGGTATGTGGCCCAGTTGCAGTTCAGTGGCAGGCCTTTGTGCCTAGCGTGCCTGAAGTCTGGGGTTCAATCTCAAATTCTGCTGGGGAAAAAAGTAAGACTCATGGTTTCCTCTTGAACCTTTGGAAGGGGCGCCTACAAGTTAACAGTTGGGAATGGTGGGCTGTATCTATGATCCGGCACTCTGGAAGGCTGAGGCAGGAGGATCCTGAGTTCTGGCCCTGCCTGGGCACCTTAGCAACTAAGACCCATTCTCAAGATAGAAAAGTTCTGAAACCTCTACAAACTGTCAGCTAAATAGACCTTTCCTCCCTTTAGCTTGTGGGTGTTGGGTTATTTTGCCCCAGCAATGAGAAAGTGGAGGCCCTGGGCTGGTGACCGCAGGAGCCAGGAAAGCCCCATGCAGCCGCGCACTTGCGGCCATGGTCAGGCGCTTCCTGGCCCGCGGGTGTCTTCTTCAGAGCCTCAGCGAGAATCTCAAGCGCTGCGCCCAGGGTCAGGGGCAGGGGATGAGCCGGGCGGGGCCGCGACAGCTGCGGCCAACTCGGCCCTGGGCTCAGCCTCGGAATCCGCTGCAGCCTGGGCCCCCGGGCAGTGGACCCACCCGCCCCTGCTGTCGCGGGGGCGCAGGCTTGGGCTGGCTGGGCAGGGGAAGGAGGTGGGTGCCCAGGTCCTGGCCTGCCTCCGGGTGGCGGTGCCATAGCGTGGGTGGGTGGTGACCCGGTGTGCGCACGTGGGTGGGGGGTGCAGGGTCTGCACTCGGGCCCTCGTCCACATGGTGGATGCTCCAGTGCTCGGCGACACCCCAAGCCCTTCTTGTTTGAGAGCAGCTGGGTTCACAGGCCTGAGCCGCTGAGCGGTCACTTGCTTTCGGCCTTAAGAATGGATGTGGTGCTGTTCACTAAAAGGAATGGGTTTCATTTGTAGTGGCAGTGTCTTTGTGACATATACATAGTGGAACTAGGTTGAGGGGACAAAGTTACCTTAAACTAGCTGCTAATCTGGGGGCAGGTACCAGGGATTGAGCGACATTCCTGGTCCCTTTTCCTAATTCTTTGAGACTGAGCCTCAGTCATTGAATTGCCAAACTCGGCCCCACCTTGTGAACTTCCTGCCTCAGCCTCCCAGAGGACTGTGCAGCTCTGCTCTCGGCTGTCAGTAGTAAGCAGTCGTGGTTTGAGGAATCTTTAAAAGTGGAAGCTGTGATCATCAGCCTGGCCCAAGTCCTTGCTAAACTTGCAAGACAGGAATGAGACAAAGGCTGTGACTCTTCTGGGAGTGGAAAAGCCAAGCTCTGTGTACAAAGGAACAGTGTTTGTTTGCATCTGTTTCAGTTCCTGTCCCCAAGTGTTGCTGGCGTAGTCGTGATGCAGCTGGACTGTGGTCTGGAGGGCTGGACCCTCGACACCAAGAGCACATGGGTGTTGTCTCTGGGGGCTGTTCCCGGCCTGCACAGCTGCAGTCGCTGTGACCCGGGATCGGGCTGCACATGACCTCCGTGCGGCACCTTTGGGATAGAACAGGACTGTGCTAGGTGTACTGCGCGCTTTGGGGTGTGTTTGGTGCAGGTGCCGTTTCCCCCAGGGAGTGTCCCTCTGCTGTGGTTGGGTCCAGGCACAGAGCTCAGGGACAGAAAAGGAGCGTGGAAAGCTAAATGTCCCGAGGTCACACGCAAGGCAAGGGCCGAGCCCTGCGTCCCCTCACTGGGCTGCCGTACTCGACTCCGTGTGCCCTGCCTCTGCGAACTGCCTTCACCGACACTGCGCCTGAAGGCGGGCTGTAGGATCCCAGCTCCAGCAGGATCTGAAGCTTTCCAGCCGCCCACCAGAATCGCCATCTGCTGTGTCCAGGGTCCCTCGTCCCCCAGAAACGCAGGCCCTGCACTTCTGACAAAGCAGGGTTACAGGAACAGGCAGGGCTCCACACTGCTGTATAATGCTGCATTTCTTGGTTTTATTCGAAACAGTGCATATTTTTAGCATTGTATGGTAGGATTTTACACTTGTCATTTACACAAATTACAAGGTTCTGCTTCAAGTCTTTAAAAAAATTCTAAAAATTCAGCCCATGTGCAGCACAAGAATATGCAAAACTACTTTACATTATACACACTTTTTATCAAAGGAGATACAAAATTCTGGCTTGTAGTTTTAGACAAATACAAGAAGCTTCAACCTGGACATTAAGGGTTAACATTTATCCTCAAATATAAGTCTGCACTTTTGTGTTGTATTTCTCTGAGATGTGAATACCAAATTCCCAAGAGATTTTGTTTTCCTTTTCAAAGGAAAATGAACCAATTTCTTGTAAACAAGCCCTGCTCCGTGAGATGGCTCCTCTCCCCGTGCGGTGCCTCCTGCAGCGCCCCAGCCGCGGCCGCTCTGGGAGGGCCTGCGCAGCCGGACACCGCCCGAGCTCGGCTGCAGGGAACAGCAGGAACAGCACTGCGGACCACGCTTCCCTGCCCCTCCGCACAGGCGCTGTGCTGTCACAGCCGGCCCCGAGGCCCGGAGGCCCATGGTTCCGTCCCTTGCACCACAGAAAATGGAAGGAGCTGCCTGGTGCCGAGATGGCCTCTCCACCTCTGCCGGGCCGTGTGCAGAGATGTGCCTGCTCCGTGTGTGCGAGGCAGTGGTTGTATTTTCTAGAGTTATGAAGAGGCGATGGACAGGAAGAGAACTTTGCTGCTCTTTTAAAGGATGACTTCAGGTTGGAGATTTAGCTCAGGGTCACAAGCGCCTGCCTGGCAATGCAAGGTCATGAGTTTGAACCTGTTACCTGCCCCCCACCAAAGGCAGTTTCCCTAATCATCTTCTGATGCCTGTTTGTGGATGTATTTGAATGATGTCACCTTCCACTCACTGTCAGGTTACAGCCAACTCTTGATTATCTATGAGTAAGAGATGTTTCCTACCAGCCAATTTTTTGGGCAATACTGGGGCTCGAACCCAGGGTGTCAAGTGTTCAAAGCTCTTCTCTGGCCTTTTTTATCTCTGGTGCCCACCATGGTGGCCCGCACATTCTTCTTCTGGGGTGTGTGTGGCTATGTAGCCGAGGCTGGTACTTGTGATCCCACCACCTCAGCCTCCTGAGTGCTAGCATTACAGGCATGGATGCCTGAACTGAAAATAAAATGTTTTGGGGTACTGGGAATCAAACTCAGGACCTTGCGCTTGCCAGGCAGGTGCTGTTCCACTGAGCTAAATCCCCGGCCCGAAAATTTCATTCTTTTGGACAGTTCACTGATTGTTTTGTATCTTGTGAAGACTACAACTTATGAAGACTGAGTTATAGCACAAAATGTCCACTTCAGGTAGGGAGAGCACAATTTTGTCCGGCCTCACCCAGAGCTGGCAAGCGTGACACAGCTGTGGGAGGAGGCAGGGTCCCAGCGAGTCCCCTGCAGGCCAGCGAGGGCCGGAGGGAGGCCTGAGCTGTGCTGCTTTATACAGATAATGGAGAGTTGACTGTAATCGTGGTGTTTGTGATTTTAGCCCTTTCACATAAAAAAATTCACAAGTATAACATAAAAAGATAAAAAGACTGACATGACATCTAAAAGCATTTATTTTTTGCAAAAACCTTAAATATGATGATGTGCACACAAAAGTGTACACATTACCTATCTGGACAATGCCAAGAAGCGTAACATACTGTGGTAGGTGTCTCTAAAATAAAGATAAAAACTGAGCCCAGACCAGCAGACAAATCCCACACTGATTTCTCAATAGCACAATGCTGAAAACTGAGAGCAGCCCTCACCCCCAACTTTCCTTACAAAGCTGCTGAAGTCCAACTATTTAAAAAAAATTGATTTTTTTTACATCAATAATAAAAATCTGGTGACAAACATTATAAAATCAAATGCTGAACAGTCTCCACTCTTTCAAAATTCCAATATTCTGACATGGTCATGGGACTAAAAACCACTGGAAAGTGATATGGTTTATGAAACACAGTATGTACATTTATTGCAAATTATATTAAACTAAAATGGGAGGAATCAAAATATGAAGTGTTTACTACTTGAAAATCAATAACTTTAATTATTTTTAATTATTTTCTCACTCTGATAAAAATCAGAAAGCAACATTTATAAAATTGCTACCACATCACTTTTCATAGCAGGGAACTGAAATCTGTACATCTCATTTTTTGCAGAAAAGTAGACAGGCAGAAAAGAATTATACATAAGTTTCCAAAAGGAAAAACCAAGAAATATTTAATCTGATCTCTTCTCTTCTAAAAAAAATTAATTCAGTAGGCTTCTATATACTTTTCTTGTGTAACATGGAAATTCCTGGCTTTTGAGTGGGTGAATTTTCAGTGTCAATATAGGGACATCTTGTTACTTTCTTTGAAATAAAAACTGCAGCATGGAAATTAATTGTATTATGCATTTAAACTCCAGATATGCAGGAACTGGAACCAAATGTTAAGCAATTTGCTTAATTATTGACTTTTCCTAGGAAAAGTCTAAGGAAGGAGAGCAGAGTAGCTTTAAGCCTCTGTCTTGAGTTTCTGCTGTCCATTTCCACCCAGGGACTCTGTCAGGGGAAGAGGAAGCCGTAGGTTCTTGCAGTTTGCAAGGCAGAAAGGGTGTGCTCATGTGAGCTTCGTTTCTGCTCGGGACGTTCTGAATCCAAGTCTTTGCAGAAGCTGCAGCCGCTTCTGTTTGGCCTTCATTCTCTCCCTTTGCAAATGTTTTCTTTTTACCTTGGGGATGGGAGAAAAAGAATGCAAAGTTAGACAACTGCGCCAGAATGATTTTGCTTCTATAGCTGGCATCTAAAGCCTTAAAATATTATTTTTGACTTTTACCTGGACTTTCCGTGTCTAAGGAATCTTTCCTGAAGCTGTATAAAAATAAAATACCAGTGAAGGAGTATTTTTGTTTTCTACCATTACACGCAGCTTCCCAGGGTCTTGTTTTGTTTCTTGGTACATGACCTTGTGCTTATGAGGGTTAGGTACTTACGCGCTAAACTAAACCCTGGGTCCCTCCCAGGGTCTTACCTGCTTTACAAAGCTAAGTTTTTAACTTGAAATAATTGTATTTATTTTTACTTTCAAAAATTGTTATCATGGCTGGGCGTGATGGCTCATGCCACAGGCGTGTGGCGGCCTGGCAGGTAGTGACAGAGTGTGCTCATGCTTCATGCTGAAGCAGGAGGATCCTTGCAAATTCAAGACCAGCCTGCGCTGCAAACTGAGCTCAAGGCCAGCCTAAACTGTCTCAAAAAAGAATGATAAAAAAAAAAAAAAAAAAAAATTATGGATGCTTCCTGGGAAAGTAAGTTCTGGCTACTGGGCTTGGCAAACAAATATATTAGTATAGTTTAAAAAAGGGCTGGGGTTTAGCTCAGTGGCACAAGTGCCTGCCTGGCAAGCCTGCGGTTGTGAGTTCGACCCCACCACACAGCTTGGTGCGGTCCACAGTGGAAGAGTGGGAGCAGGTCCTGAGTGAGAAGGGGCAGGTGCACTTTGCTCAGCTTAGGGGCCGGCATTAGCGGCATACTCTGCACACATGATTCCCTTCTTATACCCCCTTTTTAGTTTAATATCAACACAGGTGTCACCAGCCCAGGCTGGCCATGACCTAAGTAATTCTACGCCCATATTCTCTCAAGTGCTGGGATCGCAGCAGTGCAACACCACGCCTGGTTCCCTTTCATACATTTTATAAAGGTGACACTTAGATAAGAAGCTAGCTGATTACTAAGATTCTCAGAAACTTCATTAGTTATAATAAGTGCAGCCACTGCGCCTCTAGGAAACTCCTCTTTCCTAGTTTCAACACACAGAGGTTTCTTCAAGCCGTCAACTCAGGATGCAGAGCAACCTGGATGTGAAATAGGAACTCGGTAAATTCTGCTTGAGAAAAATTCCGAGATCCTCAAACACTTCCATTTATTGAGTAAAACAAATGCGTGCAAGATGAAAAAGTAGCCACTTGGCTTACTGACAGTGACAGCGAACCTTCTTGAGCTTTCAAGAACACAAACAGCCATTGTGCCAGGGGCTCACACCACTGCTAATCAAGCGGTCACATTCTCCCCTCCACTTAGCTACACTTCCAGCCAGGCTGAGATCAAACCTGCAACCAGGCCTCCTGCCTCTGTCTCCCAAGTGTTAGTACTTTCCACAGGTTAGAGGTGATCTTTGGTAAAAATGGCTCTAGAGGTAACCACAGTCTCTCTCAAATGGCTATCGCACCAGATGCAGTAAAAGATACAAGAAAACTAGACTGTGGCTGGCTCACACTTGGCCCTCAAAAATGGTTTTCAGGGGCTGGGGATTTAGCTCAGTGGCATAAGTGTCTGCCTTGCAAGCAGGCAGTCATGAGTTCAATCCCCAGTGCCGATAAAAAGGAAAACACACACACACACACACACACAAAATTTTCATTAAAATTTAGGGCCGGGTGTAGTAGTGCATACCTGTCATCTCAGTGCTCAGGAGGCTGAGGCAGGAGGTGCAAAAGTTTGAGGCCAGACCACCATAGCATGACCCTCTCTTAATCAAAAACCAGCGAATAACAGCAACAAAAATTTAAGGCTGCTATGTAGTTTAGAGGGTAAGTGCTTGTCTGGCTTGTGCACGGTCCTGGGTTTGATCACCATTATTGCAAAAACAAAGCAAACAAAATGAAACAAACTTAATCATACAATATACTAAATACCAGGGCTAAGACTGAACATGTTTGCTGGAGGTTTTCCTAGTGGTAGGAACTGAGGGGCTGCTTGAGATGCTGTTCTCAGATGCAAAGAAGAGCCCAGGGGACAGGAAACACTCGTGGCAGATACTACTGTGTGAAGAGCTTGTGAGTGGGCAGCAAATGCATGTCTGGAAGGGGTGTGGCGGCCTGGCTGGTAGTGACAGAGTGGGGTCTGAGCAGGAAGCAGAACCATCTGGGTCACATCAAACCCATGCTCAACACTGCAGAAAGCCAGCATGAGGGTCTGGGCGCAGGTCGCACTTGCTTCTGACATAGCCAAGAGGCAGTGTCAACTGGCGGGCTTAGTGCGCACTTCCCTCTGCAGTGACAGCTGAGATGGAGGCTGTAACAGGGTGAAGGCGTCATGTGTTTGAATCCACTGGGCTCTACCGGGTTTGGTGGACTCTCATCGGTCTCAGGAACACATAGGCAGGATGTCACATCTGTCAGGTAATATCTACAGTTCTGGGCAACTATGTTTAGAAGCTCAGGAAGGGAGAAGCTACAGGTATGCCTGAATTAAAAATGAAACTCAAGTTGGCTGTGGGGACCCTCGCCTGGAGTCCCAGTACTCTTGAGGCTGAGGATCCCCAGTTTAAGCAATTCAGTGAGACCTGTCTCAAAATAAAAAGTTGAAAGGGCTGGGGAGGGGGAAGGCTGAGGATGTAGCTGACTGCAAAAAATAAAACAAAAAAAGAACAATTAAACATTTGGCAGGCATCCTCAGGATTTTTAGCACACGTGCTCACCATTCAGTTTTCTCTGAAAACTGAGGCACAGTTAAAACACTAGTTGAGTCACCATCCAGGAACTTGGTTGTTTGTGTTGTGAGACAGGGCTTTTGCTACATCGTCAGGCCAGCATGAACTTATGCAGGGCACGTGTGTAGGCCTTGTTATGTAGGTGATGTTGGCCATGCCCTTGCCAATCATCTTGCCTCACCTTTCAAGGGCTGGGATTACGGGTGTGAGCTCTGGACCTGGCCAGGAGCTCATGTTTTATGCTAGTAAGTGCTCTACTGTGCAGCGTCTGCCCAGGTTACTTACTTATTTTAAGACAAGGTCTCTTGAGGCTGGCCTCAAACTCGCAGTGATGCTCCCACCTCTGCCTCCTGAGTGCTGGTACTACAGATGTGCCCTGCCACCATCACGCCTGGCCAGGAGCCCGTCTTTTAATGTTTCTGTCTATTCCACTGTTCACTGAGACTTACACACTAGCACTTGTTTATTTTTTTTGGTGCCAGGAATCAAATCAAGGGCTTCATACATAAGATATCTCCTTTGTATTCAGATATAGCCCAAGTGCTCACAGTGTCCAAAAGTTTTCTGACACTCCCTCCGAGTGAAGAGGGCAGCTGCCCTGCTCAGGGAGTGCCACCTCCCTGCGCTGTGGCGGCCCAGGGCTGCAAGGCCCAGCTGATGCAGAGCCGGGCACGCCGGCCTCATACAGCTGCTGGCCCCTCAGACACACGGCGGTCCTGGGGAGCAAGGCGGTCATCTAGTTGTGGGACAAATCCTCAGCCCTTCTCAACAATTCTGACACAATCTATATCATTCATGTAAGCAAAGGGCTCAAGCACTAGGCTGTGCCTGGCCTAGGCCTTCCTGTGTGCACGCTGGGTGGCGCAGCACTTTGGGGTGCTCCTCGGAGGGAGCAGTGCGATAACCTGCCTCTTACATTGAAAATACAAATTCTGGAACTCTGAGCACAGCCTGGCTTTGTAAGAAAATTCCACACCTGGCCTGATGTGATGGATTACAATCAAAACGCAGGTGCCCCAGAAATACTGTGTGAAGTTCCCTTCAGGATTTACACGAATGGGCTCTGCCTTTGTATTTAACCCAGGCGTCTCTGAGCTGGCATGATGCTCTACGTTGGCAGCAGTTTACAGTCACGATGAAATCCGTGCAGCAAGAATTGGAACACTTTCCTCATTTCTGAGCACAGAAATGCACAGTGGCACGACCGGCACCACTGCCTGGCTCCAGAGTGCCTTATCTTCCTGGCCTTAAAACTTTACACGCTGGGGATTTAGCTCAGCGGCATAAGCACCTGCCTTGCAAGCAGGCGGTCGTGAGTTCGATCCCTGGTACCCATAAAAATGAAAAATACCCCCCCCCAAAAAAAAAAAAAAAAAAAAAAAACTCTACACGCAGCAAACACTAAGCCCGACTCCCTCTCCCTTGTGGCCACCATCTCACTTGACAACACTGAATTTGAAGGAAAAAAAAATTTTTTCCCTGTAATTTTGAGAAGGTTCAACATCCTCCTGCTCCAGCCTCCCCAGTAGTGGGATTACAGGCCTGCACCACCATGCCTGGCTGAATTTGAATGTTTTTAGATCCTGTTTATTTTGCTTAGCATAATGTCTTCAATGTTCATCTGTGTTGTAAAATGTGTCACAATTTCATTTTCTTGTCCAGTAATTAAAAACCTTTTGGAGACAGGGTCTCACTATGTAGCCCAGGCTGGCCTTGAACTCATAAGTGATCCTCCTACCTCAGCCTCTTGAGTGCTGAGTTTTTTTTTTTTTTTTTAAACTGGGAATTGACTCAGCATCTTGCACTTGCCAGGCAGGCACTGTGCCACTAAACTGTATGTGCAGCCTTTATAGGCTTTTTGTGGAGATGAGCTAATCCTGCCTCAGCCTCCAAAATGCTGAGATTACAGATGTGTGATACCATGACTAGCTAAAAATAATTTTATACTATTATTTTATTAACTGGCAGAAATAATAGTCAGGCGTGGTGGTGCAGGCCTGTAATCCCAGCACTCAGAAGGCTGAAGCAGGAGGATTGTTGCCAAGTTTGAGATCAGCCTGGGCTACAAAGTGAAGTCAAGGACAGTTTACTGCAGAGTGAGACTCTGTCTCAAAAAGGTGGGGTGTGTGTGTAAAGTTTTCTGCTGTCTTATGGAAATGATAGTGAGTGGTCAAAATACACAGTGAAATGTTTAAAATTTAGTTTAAAGTTATAGTAAATGTTTAAAATTATAGTAAAAAACAGACTGACATTTTCCCCCCTAAAGCATCCTGCTTGCTTTGAACACACTTATCTACATTCCTGCCGCTTTGCCGAGCAGTTCCAAAAGCTGGGCTTCACATCTTTACAAGACTGATCTATAAATGCCACTGCTGAGTGCCATCCACCGGAAAGACAGCTGTAAGTGTGTTACAGAGTGTCCTCACCACCTTACTCACTAGATCTGGCACAGTGTGACTGCTGCCTTTACCAAGTCAAAATGACCGTGAAAGGCAAATATTTTCAACCAATTTAGGACATCGAGGCAGCCACAATAGTGCAACTAAAGTATTCATGAAAGAGGACTTGCAGAGCCGCTCCAAAAAGCATGAGAATGATGGGTTAAGTAAGTCTAAAGTGAGTGGGAACATTCTACAGACTAACGGCAGTGTGTCTTGATAATTTGTGAACATTTAAACAATCACTGTGCTTATGATCACACAAGCATGTACTCTTAAAGAGCAAGGATCAATTCTCTTAGGATACTTTGTATCGCTCATGTGCAACACACGCACTAAAGCCAGTAGTGTTAGAAGAATGAGAAGTTAAAGGAGCAAGTGTAGGACTACAATGCTTTCCAATTTACACTGAATGTGGTTATCATGAGCAGTGTTTCAGAATGACTTTCTGAAAACATGTTTCTCTGGCTACAGTTCATCAGGATTTTAAGCCTCAGCCCCAATATTAAGACTTGGGCATAACTTCAAGTCCAGAAAAGACAAAGAGCTTATAAAAAGTTTTAGAATACATTTTATTTTTAAAAGACAGGACCTGGCTAACTTGACCAGGCTGGGCACTTAACTTGAAACCTTCCTGCCCCAGCTGTTGTTCATCATGAGTGATTAATTCAGAAGTTTCTGAAATACTCCATCAAAATGTTTGATATACTCTGCTGAATTAACATAGTACAAGGCTACCATCTAGTTTAACCATCTGCCTTGAGAATTAAAAAAAAAAAAAAATCACAGAATTCTGGATTTTGAATCACACACCACTGAGTACTTAATCAAATTAATTGGCTAGTTAAGATCTCTAAGATACCCTTTCACATTTTGCTTTTTGAAGACAAGATCTTACTATATAGTTCAGGTCTGGTTGCTACTGTAAGTGTGTTACAGAGTGTCCTCACCACCTGAGGTTTTCAGAGTCTGAGAAGGTTTTCAGAGTCTACTGAGGAACAGTGGTACCTTGGTTCACAAACACTTCTTTTGTGAACAATTTGGTTTGCAAACAGAAGCATTTGGTGGAATTTTGTCTTTGCAAACTGCATCAGGTGATGAACACAACCATGGCCATCTCTTCCCAAATTGTTGGGCTAATTAAGTTTGTGAACCAAGGCATGACTGTATGTGGTATCTTGGTTGGACATTCCAAGGACAACTAGGGGGACAGATGCTCAGCTGACGAGGTGGTTTATGTGCATGTGATGAGCAGTGTTTTCCTGTGTGTGTGACTGAAAGCTAGGATAGAAACTTTGGACAGTTCTGACAAGCTCCAGGGAAATGTTCACCCTTTGCAGAATTGCAAATGTTAAACTGATAAAAACTACTACACTTGAAGATGCACATTCAAGAATGAGGCAACTAGAATTCAAAATAATAGCAATAGTGCTGAGCATTTGTTCTACATTAAGCTTGCTGCTGAATGTTTTTTTTTGGTACTGGGGACTGAAATCACGACCTCGCACTTGTCAGGCAGGAGTCTACAGAGCTGAACTGCTACAGAGCTAAACCCCAGCCCTCAGTGTGTTTTTTCTTTTCTTTTTTTGAGACTGGGTCATGCTACGTAGTTCAGAGTAGCCTTGAATTCACTGTGTAGCCCAGGCTCATTTCAAACTCACAATCAAACTCAGCCTGACTCAGCCTCCCAAGTGCTAGGACTGCAGGTGTGCACCATTATACCCAGCTATGTACTGACCCATTTAACTCTTAGGACTGTCCTTAATATGCGGATTAGTATACTACCTTATTAGTGAAGAAATACATTCTTCCTGCTCAAAAGACTGAGATTCAAAGGAAAACATGGAGATGACATAATGGGACTGCTGTGAACTGATCAGAGCTGTGATTCTTGTCTAGAAGGAACTCAGATGCTGAGAATCTAAGCCTGAGCAGGCTAGTCAGGTAGGTGTGCAGGGAAGAGAGGGTAAGTTCCAATTGCAGGCCATAAACAGAAGGATCCATCACTTAGGTTTACAACTGGGGGGTCATTGTTACAGGGTAGAAAGTTCTAGCTTAAGAATGGTCAAATCCAAGCAGCTTCGAGGTTGTCCCACTGCAGAATCTGGGGCCAGGTAAGTTGCTGACCTGTGTCAGAATTAACTACAAGGAAGAGAATCAAGGGCAGGAAGGACCTGTGCTTACTTAACGACTACCTTCTCCATTCCACACCTCCGTATCTAAAACATGGCCCTTCATGTTATGCAGACCCAGTGCAACCATGTGAAGGACATCACGTGAGAGAGAACCTTCTTTCTAATAAATACCAACAGAAAACGGCTATCCCCCCTATATAAAAATTTAACATCAGAGCAGTACCAGTTATTTCTTTAAATCATCTTTTTTTGTGAGACAGGGTCTCACTATAAAGTGCAGGGTAAACTTCAACTCACTATGTAGCCCAGACTGGGCTCACACCCATGGTGATCCTCCTGCCTCAGCTTACAGAGTGCTGGGATTACAAGCATGCACCACCATGCCTGGCCCATCTTCAAACCTGTACCTTTAATCTGGAGATTATAATCTTAACGGGAAAGCCAAAAGCAATTTTCAGTGCTACTTCTGAGCGTGAGTGGGGTGTCTGTGGTGACCATCACATACAAAGAACAAGACCCTCACTTCTGGGTTCCAGAAGGTGTCATTACCTCTGCAGGTCAATCTGTCTCTCTGCTGGTGCTGCCTTTTTGGCTCCATCTTGCAGTTTGGGTGCTTTGGCACTGCCTGCCTCCAAACCCCCAGGGCTGTCCTGACTCCCAGCGGCTCTCTTCCGTCCCTTGCCAGTGGCTTTGTTTATGTCTTCATTTTTGGTTGTGTTGCCCTGAGACTCGGACTTGGGTCGACGTCCTCTCCTGGGTTTGGAAGGGGCGGGAGGTCCCGATTCGTCTGTTTTCTCATCTGGCTTTTGTTGGATGTTCTCTGCACCAGCGGCGGGAACTGTTCTTTTCTTTCCTCTGTCACTGCTGATGTTGCCCTGGGTAGCCTGGTCAGAATTAATTTCCTAGAAGATCACAAAACAGTTCTATAAACACAGATTCTTTGGTATCAATGATCTGTAGTAGAAAACAATGTTCTGAAAGTCTTTTACAGGAGTAAGACTCCAGGGCTTCTCACTGGTGCTTAGCTCTCACTAGGAAAGCAATGTCCCTAAGAAGGGGGCGTCTGTTCTGTGCTACCTGCTGTGTGGCTCACACAATGTGCAAAACATGTGCTGCTTAGAATGCACAGGTGGTATATGTAAAATAAAGAAAATTCACTTGTTTCTCTGTTTGTGCCCATTCCACATGAAACAAGACCTTTTATTGATGGCATGCCCTATGTTGACTTTTCCAAGGTTTTTTTCTTTTTGAGATGGTTTTACTACATGTAGTTCAGGTTGGCCTTGAGAATTTGTAGCAATCTTCCTGCCTCAGTCTCCTAATTACTGGGATAACAAGTGTGTACCACCATGCCTCGCTGAGAAGTGTTTTCAGGATCCATAATATTTTCTTTTTTGGCAGTGCTAGAGATTGAACTCATGGCCTCGTATGCCAGGTAACCATCTACCATCGTTAAGCTAAATCCTCAGTCCCGTGACATTTTCTTTTTTCCTTTTGAGACAGGGTCTCACTATGCACTTCAGGCTGACCTTGAACTCTCACTATGTAGCCAAGGTTGGCCTTGAACTTGCAGTGATTCTCTTGCCTCAGCCTCCCAAGTGCTTAGGTTATAGCTATGTGCCATTATGCCTGGCTCTGTATAAATCTTTATAGTTCTATGATATGAAGAAGTTTTTTAACTCTGGCATCTTTTTTGACACAAGGTCTCACTGTATAGTGTGAGCTTGCCTTCAACTCACTACAGAGCCCTGGCTAGCTTTGTGTTTGTGCCAATTCTCCTGCCTCAGCCTGGTGCTGGGATTACGGGCATATGCCATCAGGCCTGGCTTAAACTCCTTACTCCACCCAAACTTTTGTCTGTTTTTATGTTATCAACTATGAACTATTTTTTAGTGAACATTTCTAAAATGTTTAAAGGAATGTCTACCATAATGAACTTTAGGATAAACAATGTTTTTTAGAATGAAAGTGACCACTATATATAATTATATATAAATGATATTTGGAATCAATTATAGTTTTAATTGATATAATTTTGATTAAAGGGAAACTGAAGAACATCATCATCAAAGGAATTATACTATGTCTTTTCAATTAATTTTCATTTGCTGCAGAAAAGATCTGTAGAATGAGACAACACATTATAAACTTTTATGTTATAAGGAAATGATATAATGTAACATTTATGTTATAATGTAATGAAAACTTATGACAGTAATACTTTAAGTGAGAAAAACTAATTTCCCCTAGACCAGTATGATGAACCTTTTAGAGACAAGTGCCCAAACTGCAATCCTAAACCCACTTAATGACCACAAAGTACCAACAAACCTGAACACTGAGGTATTTAAGTATAGAAATAATGGGGCTGGGGAATTTAGCTCAGCGGCATAAGTGCCTGCCTTGCAAGTGTGTGGTCCTGAGTTCGATCACCAGTACCGATAAAAAAAGAAAAAGACGAAAAAAAGAAAAAAAAAAAGCAAAAATTTCACCTAGTATAGAAATAACAGCTCATATATTATCATCTTTTGTTTTAAAAACAACACACGTGGGCTGGGGATTTAGCTTAGCGGCAAACTTGCAAGCAGGAAGTCATGGTCGATCCCTGGTACCGATAAAAACGAAAAAGACAAAAAAAAAAAAAAAAAAAAAAAAAAAATTAAAAACAACACACATGTCATAGGTCCACTGCTTTAGGATTTACTTTAATGGGAAACCTCAGTTGAAGACATCTTAAGAAAAGGACAGGGAAACCAGGCCAAAACAAGTCATAGAAACAACAATCAAGTACTACAGGTTTGTGATGCTGGGGATCTAAACCAGGGCCCTATGCTTGTTAGGCAAGGGCTCCTCCTCTGAGCTCCACTCCCAGCCCATGCCCAAGTTCTACTTTTAGTATTATAAACCTGAAGTAGGAATATATTCATTAACTGATAAGCCCATTACATGTAGTGGTTGTTGGGTACAGACTGAGGAACAAACAAGATAGGGTTCTGTCCTCAGGCAGATGAATGTGGGACACGACTCATTTTTTAAAAAAGTACAAATTATTTAAGTACAAATTATTCCATGCAGTAAGAGATAAAGAATTAGGTATCTTAAAAAAAAAAAATTCAAAGGAAGCACCAATTTTTAACTGGTTCTTTTGGGGAAAATATTATTTACCAATGAAGCAGGGAATTGCCATCTGCAAAGTGAAGTGCTCCAGGCAGAGGAGAAAGCATAACGGACCTGAAGAGGGACTGAAGGAACATGTACCCTGAGGAGTGATGGACAGGCAGAAGGTATGAGAAGCACGCAGAGCACGGTCTCACCAATGCCTTAGTGGACATAGGAAGGAATAGGAACTTTAACCTGCTGCTACGGAAAGTAATTATTTTTATTTTTTTTGAGATAATATCTCACTATATAGTTATTATCAACTCATTATATAGTTCATGCTGGTCTAGAACTCCCAAAGAAACTAATATTCAACCAGAGGGTGAGCATAATCCAAATTACATTTAAAGAAGACATTGGCTGGTATTATGTAACTATTTGATTGGACTAAAGCAAGAATGGTATTCAGAAGGCAAAACTACTATAGCATTTAAAGTGCAATTAGATTAAGACAGGAAATTTAAAAATGGGCAAACTATGAACAAGTAACTTATAGAAGAAAGCATTCAAATACTCAACAAACATACCAGCAGTTAAAGAGTTAGAACAACAAAACGAAAGCATTAGTGTATGATACTTGAAACTGAAAAGAATTCAAGTAACTAAAACTTGTTGCTGGGTCTGTAAGAAAAAAAGCACCCACACAACCCGTTGGTAGAAAGGATAAGTGTTTTAACCTTTCAGGAACCAACATGGAAATATCTAAAATTTGCTTTATGCCTTGACCCAGCAACCTGGGCCACAGAAATAAAGTGCCATCAGGTGTGGTGGTGCACATCTGTAATTAGTCCCAGCACATAGCATGGTGAGGCAGGAGGGTCGCCATGTGCAAGGTCAGTCTGAGGTACAAGTGAGCTCAAAACCAGCCTAAACCACGTAATGAGACCCTGGCTCAAAAAACCAAACCAAACCAATTTCATTCCACAATTCTGAGGAAAATAGCTATGTTTGTGCAAAAGATGCCTGCAGTCATGTTCATCACCAGTTGCCAAGTTTGCAAACAGAAGTGTTTCTGAATTGAGGTACCACTAATGGCCAGTAAGTGTGTATGTGTATAAAGATTATCCACCATGATATCTATAGAGGAAAAAGGTGGCAAACAAAATGTATGTGTAATCACAAGTAAAAAATACCAAGTCTATACAGGAAAAGGAACATGTAACAAATAAACTGTTTTAAAAAAAAACCATGTAAGTCATACATAAGATCATATTGATGAAAATATATGAAAAGACCTCATCTGAAAATCAAATGAAGAGGGAGCCAGTTGTCTTAGGTACTGAGAAAAAGCACAATGCCACTATCACTTGCCTGAATTCATGGGATGTATGTGCATATGTAACTTGGTCTTTTTTCTTCCTGACAAAAAAAGGAAGGATTAAACCCAAGGGCTTCGCAGTGAGCTATTTCCTCAGCCATTTCTAATTTTTAGTTTGAGACAGAGCCTTGTTAATTTAAGCTGTCTAGGCTGAGCTCAAACAATCCTGCCTCAGTCTACCAGTCTGCTAGGGCTCCTGGCGTGTGCCATCACATTGGGCTCACAATTTCTTTATTGAGGCAGGCTCTTGCCATAGCCGAGACTGGCCTTGTACTCCTGGTGTTCCTTCTGGCTTAGCCTCCCAAGTGCTGGGATTACAGTGTGTGCCACTTAGCTTCTGTGTTCTTTTAACTACCTCCCTTATATACTTCTCCATAAAAGTGAGAAACGGGAAAAAAATGTATATAGAAGCTAGTAAATTGGTTCATGTATGAGTCTCTTTGAGAAACTAGTTATCAAGAAATGTTACTCCCTTAGATTTTAATATTGTTGGTGGTACACTGGGTTGAGGGTCAATGTGGAAGGAAAAGACCATACGGTCAGTCCCCAACCCAACAAACACTTGAGCTGAGAACTTTCTCGAATATGAAGGGCCTCACGTGTCTGTGGACATTGCCACAGTGGTACTCCATGTGCTACCGCACAGTATGAGACAGCACAGCAATACAGCGTTCAGTCAGAGCCCAGACGTCCAGAAGTACGCGGAAAAGTGGTGCTGCGGAGGGAACACTGGGAAGTGTAAAGCAATCTACACTGTGTATTTGTATCAAAGGCTTTATAAGACTTGCTTTGTCACACTTAGGTTAAATCTTATTTATGAACATTTTCCCAAAATGGAACTCATTTGTAAATCTGGAACTTATGGATCAACTTATGAGAAGCTGACTGGGAAGATACCATGCTTTTATCAAAATTCAACCTAGGTCTCATTGGGTTATCAGTAAAACATTCTTTGAAAGTGTGAAAAAGTTGAATTGAGGGTTTGGAATAATATTTAAAATCAATCACAGTATAATTTTGGAGGGATCTTGGGGACATAAAAAGATTAGGTGTAACGTACACGCACTCATCCCCTATGGTGAATGAATGTACTAATTTAAAAACAAAAATGCAAGCAATACTAAAGGAACAAGAACAACAAGAACAAAGTAAAAAAAAAAACTTTTTTTTTTTTTTTTTTTGTCTTTTTCCTTTTTATTGGTACCGGGGATCGAACTCACGACCGCCTGCTTGCAAGGCAGGCGCTTATGCCGCTGAGCTAAATCCCCAGCCTCCAACAAAGTAAAATTTTGACCTGTGAGAAATTAGAAGCGAAATGTCTCCTTTGGCTGTGGGTGTAGCTCAGGGGTAGAGTATGTGCTTGGCATGTTCTAGCTGTGGGTTCATTCCCTAGTATCTACCTCTCCATACACAAAAAATAGAAAAGTCTAATTTATAAAAAGATAAAGCTAGAAAGGTTACAGATGATTGGTTGTACTGGATAAGCATTTGTGGCCCAGCAAATGCACCACTACTTTATATCCTGTGTGAATATATCCATTGTAGCAATATGTATTTTTGTACCTAAGTTTATGTCAAGCCTACTTCTATACAAAGACGCCAACATATTGAGGTCTGTTCATTCCTGGGGTCAGGAAATGTTGATAGTGAGAGGTATACTGTTACCTGAATTCAGACAGCAACTAACGAAAGTTTGATAATTAAGAGGCTGACCTAAAATGTATCTTTTCTACTCACTTTATGCACAGATCATTGGGGATGCATAGGAAAAATGAAGCTATTTTACCCGAGAGTAATAGCTAAAACACTTGACATGTGATAGGCAATAACGAAATAAACATGTCAGCTGTGTGTTTTTTGTGGGAAAAGAGAAAATTTAGTATCTCAAGCCATTCTTACAGAGAGAAGGTATCAGCTTCACTCTATACCTGAATGGCCACTTAGAGATGAAGGAATCTTCCCAGGTCAGTACAGAGCTGGGATTCAAAATCAGTTCTGTCTGATCCTCCTACAGTTGTACTGCACTTCTTTCTCTCCTGCTAAAAAACTGTTAGAAAACTGGATGTCACAGTTTAAAGGTTAACAACAAAGAGTGGAGCTGTTAAATAAAAACTCAAGTACACTTAGAAATTCTAAGTCATAAAATTTTACCTCTGAAGAGTGCAGCAGAAAGAAAACAGCGCTGACTGCTGGGCAGGAGTGTACCAATTCTCAAATGCATGACCTTACACCCTCTCTCCCCAGCTTTTCCCATGAACGTGCTGGGAGGGCTTGTGGCAGGGCACTCGAGGAGCGAGGTGAGTGGACGCAGGCAGTCATGTTTTGGAGAGCAGGAAGCAGAACACTCACAAGGGGTGCTTGTCCACCTGTTTATTATGAGTTTCTCACCCTTGCCATGCAGCTACAGTAAATCTCCAGGGGAGAAATCTGGTTGTTAGACTCAAACACAGGGCTGGGGACACAGCTCAGTGGTAGCATGCACATGGTAAGGTTCTGGGGTTTGATCCCCAGCACCAGAAAACAGACAGACACATAAACATTTACCTTGTTCTTTACCGGCTCAATGTTCTTTGCAGGTATGACAGAAATAATTCTCACAGGGTTCTCCTCATTTTCACTCTCTCCAGTCTCTGCTGTCTCTGAATTCTGTTCCCTAGTAAGGAAACAAATTTTCTGTATCTCACCACACGAAGGTCAAATTCACCCTTTCACTCTATCAAAAAGGAAAGATCTAGGCCGATTGAGAAACCTCACTAATAACAAGATTACAAACTACGACTTAAAATTCACTTCCATTTCACCTTACAAATGTCAGACAGAAATCTCTGCCTAAAACCACCTGACAGAAAGACTCAACAAACAAAACACCACCATTACTGTAAGCTCATCTCTGGGGGTCAGGGAACCTAAACAAAACTGTAACCACGGATCCCAGTAGGGTCGGGTCAGCCCAGTGTTCGTAGGATCTGCAGAGGTGGCGCTGTCAGAATGCCCAATTCCCTACCATCTCACTGGTTTTTCTTTTGGTTTTCTGAGAAAGTGTCTCACTATGTACCCCAGGCTGGTCTCGAATTTATGCAATCTGCCTGCTTCTGCATCCTGTGGTTACAGGTATGTGTCTACACGCCTGGCACCCCATCATCACTTTAAACCACAGCTACTGCATATTATTTTGCACCTGGGGGTTCTAGTGCTAAACACAGCTCAAACATTACTGGTTTAGTTTATCCTCATTATTTCAGGTAAGGTCAGGTGTGGTGGCACACCTTTGTAGTCCCAACACCTGGAGGCTGCATCAGGACAGCTGCAAGTTCAGGGCCAGACTAGGCTGTACAATGAGTTCAAGGTCTGCCTGAACCATGTAGTGAGAGCTGTCTCAAAACCACCCCCCAAATTTCATGGCAAGAATAAAATCTTTACAGCTGGGAACATACCTTGGTGGTAGAATGCTTGCCTAGCCTATCTGATACCCTGGTTTCAATATTTTACCCCCAAAATTTTTAATCTTTTTTTTGGTACCAGGTATCGAACTCACAACCTCACACTTGCCAGGCAGGCACTTGTGCTGCTGAGCTAAACTCTCAGCCCTTTTAAAAAAGTCTTGACACCTCAACATTTAGTGTCTTAGGAGTAGAGTCAGCTGGAACTTTTTTTTTTTTCTTTAAATGAGACAAATTCAGACTGGCCTCAAACTTGTTTCCTGCCTCAGCCTCTCATGTACTGATATTATAGGCATGCTCACAACCCTCTCTCCTTTAGTTAATATTAACCTGTGTAGTGCTGGGGACTGAACTTGGGGCCCAAATCCACTAAACTATACCTCTAGCTCCTTTTCTGTAAACTTTTCTATGAACTTAGAACGCTGTGTCATGTTAAAATGAGTATATTCTTGGGCCACGGACATACCTCAGCAGCACAAGTGCCTGCCTGGCAAGCACAAGGTTGTTGAGTTTGATCCCCAATACCAACAAAACAAAACAAAAGAAAACAAAACTAAACAGGGGCATTCTTAGTCCTTATCATTAAAAATACTAAACTTTAAGCTGACCACATAGCTCAGTGGTACAAAACTTGCCTACTATGTGAAAAGCCCAAGGTTTGATCCTAGGTCTGCAAACTAAATGAAACTAAAATTCATTATTTTGTGCTAAAATACTTCAAAAAAAGTAGAAAGCCATTTTGTGATAGTTTTAGGAATAAACTGAAAGACAAATCTAGTAGTGAGAGAAAAAAATTGCCTTGCTCGATTTCCTGTTGAAGAGTTCAGTTCTGAATTTACACTGATACTGCTCCCAGTCTCAGTGCCGGTGCTTCTAACGTAAGGTTTCCTTCCTGTTGCTGATAAAGGCTTGTTCACTGTACCCAGTACTCCAGTAGGCTTTGGCTGGAAGAAAAAAAAAAAGAGAGAAAAATAAATCATACAAACACGTTATTTTATAACTTAATGAAAGGGATACATATAAGAGATATTCTTTAGCCAAAGCCAAATGACCTTTAGCCTTAGAAAATTAAAACCTGAAATATATTAGACGTGGTAATTCTTTAAAAATGTATTAGGCTGCTTTACTGAAATTAAAAATCTGAGGTATGACCGTTATTTAACACGGCAGCTGGGTATGTGGTGTACACCTGTAACCTCAGGTGTACTTGGAAGCTGAGGCAGGAGGATCACTGTTACATAGTTGAAGGCCAGCCTGAACTATAAACATAGTAAGAGTCTGTCTTAAAAAGGGCAGCAATATATACTTTCTGTATCGTTTAATCACCATGATTCCTTTTTTGGTTTTTTATTCTCTTCTACAGGATCACATTGCATTGTCCAAGCTAGTCTTATACTTGTGGACTCAAGTAATACTCTTGGTGCAATTTCTTGAGCAGCTAAACTATATGTGTACCACTTTGCTCCGCTCTTACTGCTTAATTAAAACAAAAATTGCTACAAATTTTCTTATAAACAATTAAATGAATGTAGTAATGGGCTAGAAATTATTAATCACAGACAATTTTTTTGCTGTGTCTCAGCAAATTACTTTTAGGAAATATAAAATGTCAAGGAATGTGTCGCCATGTATGCCTGTGATATTTACACCAACTATTGGGGAGGCTGAGGCAGGAGGATCACAATTTTGAGGCCAGTCTGGGCAACTAAGACCTTGCACCAATATTTGGGAGTATAGCTCAGTGATAGATGGAGAAACCATGGTGATCAATGCCCAAAACACAAAAAAAAGACAAGACAAAATAATCAACCAGCAATATAAATTGTATAACTCATTAGTATTTCAAAATTCTTTATCTTATCTAAGCTTCTGATACCACTTTTCAGGAAAATCTGGGAATTGTAAACAGATTATAAACTTGTAATTACTGAAGCAAACAAATGGTGCCGATTCGTAGAGATTGGTTCATGGTAGAAAACTCTGCAATAGGCGCTAAAAATTCATAATTTAATCCATAAGAAACAGGAAGTGGAACAAAAAAGAAATAGGAAGTATACAATCTTAGGCTCATATAACAGAAGTAATGTACATATAAAATTAAAATCCCAAACCCAAGTACAGAATACCTTTCCTGTTAACAGAAGTACTCTTGTCTCTTCTGAAATATAACTCTTATCATTACAAAAGTCCTATTGAAAAACAAAAACAAAACAAAATGGAACACACATTTTATTACGCAAATGACTTAATAGGTATTGAACTTTGTAATAGCAGTTATATTTGTGCTAACATATGTAACAATTCAAGGCCTAGACAAATGGAAGCTGAATTTGTTACATGTTAAAAAACACACACTATTTTTTTCATGTGGTTTAGCACAAGCAGTCTCCAGTTTATTCATTATTTTCATGTCTTTTACTGTTGTAAAATTTACTTCTTTAGGGCTTTTAAAATAGTGAAAATGGTACATTATGCTAATACCACAGAAGCACTTAATATTCACTAAGGAAGTCCACAATGGATCTCAAGGAAGTTATCCACAGAAGGAAAGAAAGAAAGAAACCAACCTACTAGGGATGGTGGTGTATGAATATATCCAGCTGCTTGTCAGGCTGAAACAGGAGGCTTGTAAATTGCAGGCCAGCCCATTCAACTTAGCAAGAGCCTGTCTCAAAACAATATTTAGTGATGGCGCACACCTGTAATCCCTGAATTTGGGAGGCTGAGGCAAGAGGATGGCTGCCGTGGGTTTGAGGCCAGCCGGGGGAATATAGTGAGTTTAAGGCCACCCTGAACTACATAGCAAGACTTTGTCTCAAAGGACATGGATGGGGATGGGTGAGGGGGGGTGGTGGAGTAGAGATGAAGCTTAGTACTAGAGCACAAGCATGCACAGGCCATGGGTCCAATTCCCAGTACTATTAAAAAAATTTAAAAAGTTGTCATGATATTAAAAAATATTTTTTAAAAATCAGAAATAGACATACTGTTCAAACTATAAACCATACCATTGAAACACAGTTGAATAATTTTGGCATGGCAGCACATGCCTGCAGTCCCAGTATTTAAGAGGCTGAGGCAGAATGAAATTCTGATGCCAAGAATTTTGAGGCCATCCTGAGCTACATAATAGGTCAAAGCCAGCCTCAACTCCTAGCTATACCTAGCAAGACCTGTATAAAAAAGCTATTTCTTTTAGGCAAAGATTTTCATACAACTAAAATAAATATTATAAAACCTGGCCACTAAAGTTTATTCATTTATTTCTGAAGATATATCATTACAACCAGGTTCATCATCTTAACAAGTTTGATGTTCTAGTATTTGAATTTATGCTGATTCGAAGCAAAATGTTAGAAATATATAAAAATTATATACTTAAAAGAGAAAAACCTAAATTATATTAAGCAGATTAAAAACAGTATGAGTTACAGGTCCAAAACAAACAAAAAAATTGTGTCCTTTGAGACCATTTAAATATAGACACAAACAGCAATTCATAGCTGGGCATGGTGGCTCATGCCTGTAATCCCAGCACTCAAAAGGCTGAGGCAGGAGGATTGTTGCAAGTTGGAGACCAGCCTGGGCTACAAAGTGAGCTCAAGGCCAGCTTGAACTGCATAGTGAGACCTTGTCTCAAAAAGACAACAACAACCTAAAAAACCCCCAAAACAGTGATTCATAACTTGTAGCTAAGTCATTAAGACATTTCTTCCAGTATTTTTTATTGTTTTTGTTTGGTGGGGGTGGGGTGGGGCAGGGATCCAATTCATGACTTTGTACTTGCCAGGCAAGCGCTTATGCCACTGAGCAACATCTCCAGCCTAAGGCATTTCTCGAGAGGCTAAACTGCTACGTGTGTGTGTGTGTGTGTGTGTGTGTGTTACAGGGATTCTACTCAGAACTTTGTGTATGCTAGGCAAGGACTTGGCCACTGAGCTATGCTAAACTGGTACGTGTGTGTGTGTGTGTGTGTGTGTGTGTTTTACAGGGATTCTACTTAGAACTTTGTGTATGCTAGGCAAGGACTTGGCCACTGAGCTATATCCCCTGCCCCAAACAGAGATTTATGAACATGCTGCTGCAGTCATGGCCTGAGTGATCAATATGTTAAAGATAAATTAAATGGCTTACTTAAGAAATAGACAAAGATAAATAGATTCAGTTCAGAAGGCAAAACTATTGTTTTGTTACTAGGAATAGAACTCAGTACCTTGGGCTTGTCAGGCAGGTGCTGTGCCACTGAGCCATTTTCCAAGTTTCCATTGTTTTGTTTTTTGAGACAGGGTGTGATTATATAGTTTAGACTAGCCATGGATTCAGATCCTCCTGTTTTATCCTCCTAAAGTGCTGGGATTACAAATGTGTGCCACCAGGCCTAGTGAGAGGGCAAACATCTTTGAAATCTTTATTATCCTCTCAAAAGCAAGCCAAAGTAAATGTTGAAAACCAAATCAATAATGAAAATCAGTTCAAAACTTTTAGCAAAGTATGGTTTTCAAAAGAATTTTTAAAAATTTTATATTTTTCTAAACAGAAAATTTTGGACGAGGGATATAGTTCAATGGCACACAGCCTGCCTGACAAGCACAAGGCCCCAAGTTCAATTCCCAGTACAAAAACAAAAAGAGTAGGAAGTTTTACTTCCTGGAAATTCTCTTTTAGAATTCTCTAAGGAAAGTATTATTGATACCTATCTAGAAGAATGAACATATGTAAAAATCCTTTTGATGTTGTTCTTTCCAATTAAAAATATTTTGGATTGCAATACCATGTATTGAATTCTTACAGTGTGATAAAAATATAAACTAGATATTAACTGTTCATATGTATTAACAATCATATACTAGAGATAAAGAAATTGAGTCTAGGGGCTGGGAATTTAGCTCAGTGGCATAAGCGCCTGCCTTGCAAGCAGGCAGTTGTGAGTTCGATCCCCGGTACCGATAAAAATGAAAAAGCCAAAAAAAAAAAAAAAAAAAAAAAAAAAAAAAAAAAAATTGGAGTTTAAGAAGAATAAACTTGTCTCTCAATTTGGATGTGGCTGATGAGAATCCAGGTCTGTTCATCAATCATCAAGATCAATTCCAACAACAGTAATGTTTTATATTATACATGGATGTATTTACATTTATATGGTAGCACATGAGGTGGGGGGCGGGAGGGAATACTGGGGGTTGAACTCATGACCTCACACTTGCCAGGCAGGTGCTGTGTCACTGAGCTGTATCCCAGGCCCAGCACATATTTTTTAAAATGTTTTTGATCTGTAAAAATACTAACGTGGTTTTATAAAATGAGATTAATTTTTAAAAATCTAAAAACTATATTTTCTCTTAAGAAATACCTTGAAAGAATATAACAATATAAAAAGTTTGATTTGTATTCTCTTACATAGGTAAAAATGATATTACTTGGAGCTTTGTAATATGATATCCCAACCCTAAAACAGACATTTTTGGAGTCCATATTCAATCTGAGCTCTGCCACTATGGTTGACAGTAATTGTAGAAGACTAAGGTGAAAAAAATTACCTTTTCAGGCTGTGTGAAAAACTTCATTGGGAGGACTGGATCCTTTGGTGAATCTGCATTGCACAGAGCACTTTTACTGTTTATGACACACAGAGCCACATCACATACTGTATACAGTTTCTAGAAAGAAAAGAAGGGAAAGGTTGTATGCATATTTCATGACTGCAAAACAATCACAATATCAGTTCCACCAAATGTATAGTATAAATTAGAACAAGAAGGCCACATGGTTATTTATTCCTTAAACATTTCCTATTATGTTCAGCATTCCTTCTGGGAAAAGGGAAAGAGAAAGAAAATATCCCTACTTTACTTTAACATGCAAACCAGTGACATACCTATTTTCTGTATTGCTATTACAAGTGTGTAAGGCAGCATACTTCTAAATTTCATTGTTTTTGTTTTGGTGCTGGGGATCAAAATCAGTGATACCACTGTGCTATATCCCCAGCCCAATTTTACTATTCCTCATCCTTCTACTCTGTACAAGTTATAGGATTTTTCCTTTTCTTTTCCATTCCTTTTTTCCCCCCTTTTTCTTTCTTTCTTTTTTCAGGCAGGGCCTACCTATGTAGTTCAGGCTGTCCTTGAACTCACTTTGTAGCCTTGGCTAGACTTAAACTCACAGCAATCCTCCTACCTAACCCTCCTGAGTGCTGGGATTAGGAGTGTGTTACAATGCCCAGCATTCTTAGACTGTTAAAGATTTCCAAAATCGGGGCTGGGGATTTAGCTCAGCGGCATAAGTGCCTGCCTTGCAAGCAGGCAGTCATGGGTTTGATCCCTGGTACCGATAAAAAGGAAAAAGACAAAAAAAAAAAAAAAAAAAAAAAAATCCAAAATGACAAAATTCAAGCTTGGCATAATGGAGCACACCTATACTCCTAGCACTTGGAAGGATGAGATAGGAAGATCACCAGGAGGTCCAGGCCAGCCTAAGCTATGTTCTCAAAAAAAAAAAAAAAAAAAAAAAAAAAAAAAAAAAAAAAGCAAAAAACAAAAACCCCCAACAAAACAGAACAAATCCTTTGTGACAAAATTAAATAAAACTGTAACTACAATTTTATAGACATTCTACAATTTAAATTATTGCATAATGGCCAGGAAAAATAAGCAAGGCAACATGTTTTTCTCTGACATCTTAACATCCTCTGGGGCAATACTCATCTTACTTCATTTGTCTTGGATTCATCTGGAGACTGGGCATCTCTGGTTAATTTAATGTTTTCTGCCATCTTCTTCATAAAGGCATGGCTATTGTTTTCATTCTTTGTCATTAAAACTTCAAGCATAAACCACAGGCACCTAAGTGGTAAACATATTAAAGAGACTAAATTAGTTGCTTTTGCTTAATGAAATAAATACCTTATCTGGAAATTTTGTTGCACAAATGCATTAAAAGTAAAATATAAAGAATATACTACTACTGGGGGTTTAGTTCAGTGGCTCAAGTGCCTGCCTGATAAGCACGATGTCATGACTTTGGTCCCTACTATCAAAACAAAACAAAAAAGCACTACTTTTTAAATAATTACTAACAGTAATTATTACCCTGTCAGTAACATTCAGACAAGAAATTAAATAATAAAACAACACATTAAAAATGAAAATATAACCAGAGAAATTTTGATAGTTTTATAAGGCACATGAAGGCTTATATGGTATTCCAGATATTTAATAAACATGTAGAGGATTTGAATGTGCCTAATACCTAGCAATCACTTCTCAGCACACCAGAATCTGGTGTAGTTCTGGCATTTGGACTATGTGTAAGTTACATAGAAAACTTATGATACATAATCCTGCTGAGATATAAATCTGAATTGATGGTAAGAATGGTGAGTGTAGTAATCAGCAAGTTACCCAAATGGTTACATTTCAAACCATTTTTGTTGCTATTCACCTGTCAATATCTAGTCACTAATACAGTAAGGCCTTGATTTTGAATGCGTTCCATTATGGAAGAATGATTGTAAGTCGGATTTTGTTCTTTTTATTGTTATTATCAATTGTTTATTTTCAGATTTGTTTTTATCTGGCAAAATCAGTCTGATACAGTATACTTGTGAAGTTGACTGTCTGTAAGTTGTGGACTTACTGTGCATAAAGGGCATAATTAGGACATCTCAATTTCCAAGTGAAAGTGAAGTCCAAATCATGCTAAACATTAGAATCACTTGGAGAATTTATGCTGACAAATCTAAGGGTGGGGCTTGTTTGTCATGTTATCAAGATGATTTACAAAAGGACTACCCACTGGTAGTAAGCTAAGCACTTTATATATTGTCCTCATTAACTGTGAAGAGTATATAAGAATCCTCATTTTACAGGTAAAGAGCCTCTTTATTACCTGTCTGCAGTCACAGAGAGAAAAGAACTAGGATTAAAATGAGACCTGATTTTACCTTTTCATTAAAAATATACAACATAAGTGTAGTAAGCTAATATGAGGAGCTACATGCTGGAGAAAGGTGACAACTCTAGACTCAAATTTGAGGAATTGTGTTTCTTTCTGTGAATACTAAAACCACCTCATTAATTCTTTGGATTCAGAATTCTATGGAATTACTAGAACTACTGCATTAGAATTACTCTGTTATGGATAATGTGAGGAAGCATTTTCATTGCATTAGGCTCAATTCTTTGAAAGGAACAAAAAGTACTGATAGTCAAATACATTTACAACAAAACAATACACTACACAGATATCAAAGTTGTCTTTTAGAATATGTTGAAAACTTTGAGACATGTCCCAAATACGTAAACCCATCACTGCCCCAAAAATATGATCACTGATCTTTTACCCATCCTGTGTAGTATGCAGGTTACCATAATGCTGTGTATTCCACTTCTGTTATCACAAAGCTAATTTCTCACCTCCAATCTTTTCATCAAACTGCCTGGAATGCACTTTCCATAGAAAACATATCTCAGTGAACATTCACTGTTTCGGTATAACTGAAAAACCAGGCATAAAAGAGAATTTCCTCAACATGGCAAAGGTCACATATAAACTAGGCATGGTGGTTCAGGCCTATAACCCCAGCACTCTGGGAGTCTGAGGCAGACCAATTCCAGGTTTGAGTTCAGCTTGTCCCCTTAATGAGAACATGTTTTGAAATAAAAAATAGGCCTGGGGCTGTAGCTCAGTGCAAAGGCCCTGCCTGTGTCATTCTCTTGTACTTAAATACTGCTGAAAAAACAAAACAAAACAAAACAAAAATCACTTAAGAGTTAAGTGAAAAGTGAAGGGAAAGACATCCTATATTAATTTACAGAAGACTTAAAAAATTTATAATACTACCATTCAAATCAGATTAAATGCTATCTCCATTAAATCTCAATTTTGGCAGAAATGAAAAAAAAATGTAACCCTAAAGATTCATATAAAAGAAAACAAGCAAGAAAAGATAATAATAAAAGGATCCATACTTTCTAAATTTCAAAGATACTACAATCTGACAGTGTCAAACTGTCATATGGAACATGGGTACATAAGAACATGAACAGAACTAGGAATTGGGAAATTGATCTTTTCATATATGGCCAAAAATTTGATGTATATATTGATGTACATATAGTTTTGTTTTTTTTTTTTTTTTTTTTTTTTGGTTGATACTAAGGATTGAATTCATGGCCTTCTCACTGATACATCCCTAGTCCATTTTATATTTTATTTTGGGACAACATCTTGCTAAATTGCTCAGGACTTTATGATTCTCCTACCTGTATGTTCCAAACACTTGGAATACAGGCTTATCCTACCACATCTAAGATTTAGACAACTAATTTTCGACAAAGGTACTAAGCTCAATGTTTGGGGAATAAAACCATCTCTTCAACCCGTGGTGCTGGAAAAACTAGATGTTCACAAGAAAGGAAACAAACAAACAAACAAAAAAAAAAAAAAAAAAAAAAAAGCTAATACAATTTAACTCAAAATATATCTTTTTTTTCTGGTATTACCAAATCCACGGTGTTTTTCCTTATACCCCAAAGTCTTTTCATTTTTAAAAATTTTGATGTAGTGTCTAAGTTGCTGTATTTTCTATTCTGTAGGAGACTGAAACAGGAGGATCACCAGCATAAGCCAAGCCCAGCCTGGCCAATTTTAGTAACTTAAATTAAAAATAGATTAGAGATACAGCTCAGTGAGAAGACCCTGGGTTCAATCCTTAGTACTACAAAGAAAAAGGAAAAACACAGCAAAATAATATGTCCAGTAAGGAATTAACATCCAAATAAAGAACTTCTACAACCTGAAAGCATGTATATACACCTGTAATCCTAGCACTAAGGGAAGCTCAGGTAGGATTTCGAGGAGAAATCTTGCCTGGGCAACCAGTGAAACCCTAATCTCAAAATAAAAAAAGGCTGGGGATGTGGCTTAGTGGCACAATGTTTGCTTTGATCTCTACTACTCCCAGACTGCTTTGCTATTTAAAAAATAAAAATTATTCTTTTCTTTTTTCTGTGGTACTGATCGAACTTAAGACCTTACACATGGTAGGCAAGTGTTCCATCACTCAGCTACATCTTCAAATTGCCTAGCAATTTACATATAGCTAAAAAGCTATCAAACAGAGCTCGTATTGTAGGCAAATACATGTATCACTTTATTTTATAGAAGTATTTTTAGCTGGGCGTAATGCCTGTAATTGCAACGTGGGAGGCTGAGGCAGGAGGATTGTTGCGAGTTCTAGGCTGGCGTGGGCCACAAAGTGAGCTCAAGGCTAGCCTGGACTGCATAGCAAGACCCTGTCTCAAAAAAAAAAAAAAAAAAAAAAAAAAAATCTATTCCTAAATAAAAATTATTTTCTAAGCAAGCAACAGAATTTTCAAGTACAAACACAAAAACTTAAAATTTTAGAGTTATTTCAAATTATGTGTTTTATAGACAAGTCAAATGAGGGCCAGTAAGGCTACAGGGGCATGGTACTAGTGTTTGAATCCAGAACCTTGAATAAACAGGCAAGCAGTTTACCACAGCTACATCCCAGGTCCTTTTAAGACACTGCCCGAGTAAGCTTTCCAGTTTCACCCTGAACTTGAGATTCACCACCTCGGCCTAAGTACAGCAGCCAAGATTACATGTTTGTATCTGTGTACATGCTTCAAGAAATTTTAAATCAAAACACTTGGAGTAAAACTGAAGTCTGTTGAAACGTAAGTATACAGCTTTAAAAATACATATATACACTTAAAGTTCTAAAACATTTTTCAAAACTATAAACTTACTGTAAAGTATTTGAGCTGTAACTGTAGTAAGACTTAGGTCCTGCAAAAAAAAATTCTAACAAAATACAAGTTGAAATACTTAAATTAAGTAAGAGAGTATAAGAAAAAACACAGCAATGAGGAAGGAATGTAAATAACTACTCTTAGGTTTCTTAGAAGTTATTTGTAGATAATCCTCACCTTTTACTCTTGTATGCTGTACCATATGGCAAGTTCTACTCAGAAAATGTTTTGTTTTGCCACACACTATTTTATGTATGGGCATATTTTTAAGGTATTCTTTTTTTTTTTTTTTTTTAATTTGGCAATACTGATTGGGGAGTAAGCCAAGAACTATATGTGAACTACACAATGAGCCTTTTCTTACTAAGTTGCCTTGGCAGAATCTGAACTTGCAATCCTCTGTCCTCAGTGGCCCAAGTGAGGTACATGCATGAGCCACATGCCTACTAAGGAAGTATCTGTCAGATACATGTAAAGGAGAGTATAACTATTTCTCAGTACCTCACATATGCTAGGCAAACGCCTACCGCTGAGCTTCATACTAAGACAAGCAAGGTGTATATTTTTATTTCTTTCTTTTTTTTTTTTTGTGGTACTAGGGATTGAATTCATGACCTCATGCTTGCCAGGCAGACACTTATGCCTCTGAGCTAAATGCTCAGCACTATTTTTATTTCTTGAGTTTCTAACTTTTCTAATTGATGCTAAGCTTAATATAAGCAGGAAATAATCACATCATATAAAAATTAAAATAACCAGCCGGGCGTGGTGGTTCACGCCTGTAATCCCTGCACTTGGGAGGCTGAGGTGGGAGGATCATTGAGAGTTTGAGACCAGCCTGGGCTACAAAGTGAGCTCAAGGCCAGCCTGAGCTGCATAGCAAGACCCCATCTCAAAACAAAAACAACCCAAACTAACCTATTGCAATAATTAAGAAGTAACTGCACACAAATAAAAAGCAGAATACTCAAAAAAGGCTAGTTAGATGGGGGAGCAATTTTGAAAGATGATACAATTTTACAGTGAATGAACAAAAACACAAAAATAATTTTATTCTAACGGGGAAGCAGTATGACAAACTTAGTAATTTTTAAAAAGTAAAAACATTATGTAGAATTCTTTTTTTTTTATTTAAGGAGAAAAGAAAAAAAAAACAGTGAAAGGGTACAAGTTATACAGATTTACAGAAGAAAAAAATGAACAGTAGGAAATCACTAGTTAATGGATTACATATTGCCATCTTAGAAATAATTGTTCAAGTCACAAAATTTAAAGCTTATAGAGTGGACATTCCAACAATGATACTGCAAACAGTTCTGTTCAATGATCCAATAAACCTCTGTGATATCATTTTCTATCTTATACACTTAAATATACATGCAGTTATATAGTTTAGAGCACTTTCTTTTCCTCTCTTTTGTATAATGAGTATTACACATTTTGGGTTTCATTGCTCCCACGGTTCTTATTGCTTTTTTGGAAGAGAGTAAAACCAAATGAGACATAACAGAACAGAATCGGTCAAGTCAAAAGGGTGGACATAATAGATAATATAAAAATATTATGTAGAATTCTTAATGTAAGACTTACTCTTTGATATCACGAAGCTGATCAACATCTTGTGATCTTGTAAAATCTGGATCATGGGCAAGCAGGTGAATCATGTACGGAACTACATATTCAGGCAACAGCGACAACAGTTTTTCTACAGTGAAAACATCATTATTAACAATAAGATAGCTTTATTTTTTAATGTAATTTTTTGAGACAGGGTCTCAATATGTAGTTTAGGCTGTTCTTGAACTTATATAAACGCTTTGTTATATAAATAAGTAAGACTCAAAATTCAGGATGTTCTTAAACTAATCATAAGTACATCAGTAACATTCTATAAAACTATTAGTTTTATTATAAACTATAATAGAAATGTATGACCTCCCCTCACAAACAGATATACTGATAACATAAACATGCCCACTTGGGAAATGTCAGTTCCTTACCAGTAGCTATAGGGTTCTGCTTAATGTATTCCCTTCTTATGCTAATGTTCTTTAGTAAACACTGCCGTGCATGTGCTCTTCTCTCCTTCACAGGATCTTTGGCACACAAGGCAAAGATTGCCATATACTCTAATGGGAGCAGTAGCTTCACAAGTGCCTTATGCAGCTTCTGGGCAAATATTTGCCTGACTTGGTAACACTCATCCTGCAGCAACACAAAAGGAAAAATACTTAAAATTGGCAAGTAGAGATTTAAGTATTATAAATGTCTTATTTTTCAAAATAATTATTATATTGGGACAATAAGCCATTTAATATTTGGGAGATGTTTAATAACAACCTCCTCAGAGCAAATTCAGTGAATCCTAATAGAAAAAGAAACGGATTTAACTTTGAAGACAAGTATTTTACAAAATACTTACATTAATAACAAGTGCACAGAGCTGAAACTGTTCTGGAGTAATAATTTCGTGGTAACAAGGTTCTTGAGCAAGCTTCATTATGGCACTGCCAGCAGCTAATCGCAAGCGAGACATATCAGATTTACTATAAATAAACAAAAAAGAAATAAACATTTCCTAGAACCATTATCACATATGACAATTCTGATCCTTTTATCTGGGGCTGGGGGAACTGGGAATTGAACCCAGAGTGCTAAGCTACATACTCAGCCTTATTTGAGACAGGGTTTCACTCAATTGCATAGGCTGGCCTCAAACTTGTCACCTTTCTGCTAATTTAGCCACTTGTGTAGCTTGGCTTACAGATGTGTACTACTCTGCCTGGTCTTTGATCCCACTATGAATGGAACACTCCATCAGGTATAATATTTGCTTATAACAGGGAAACTGTTCAATTCCTTCTGACTTTCTGATACAAAATTTATTGGCCTTCATTTCTAGTCATGCGCTAGCTTGACCTGTGTCACAGCCAAGCAACTCTGCTTATTCTAATTACCAAACAACTGCGATACTCTGAAGAGCAGTTACATTGGGATCTGGATCCCTCATCTCAAGAACATATACTCACTAGAAAACTTGATTAAAAAACAAAATCCAGAGAATTATAAACCACCCAATATTGTTTTACATTAATTATTTTTAAAATACTTTTATTCTTTTTGATTTTTAACATTTTAATGAATAGATATATATACACATAACAGGAATCTAGTTTAATCCTACACATGTCTGATAAAATGGTAGGGAAGTACTATCAGAAAAATACCTAAAAAGAAAAGATACCAAGATTTTGACTTAGTCCTTCCATGGAATGAAGTTTTCAAAGGGTACCTAGGAGGTCTTGGCACATGGACCTCACCTTATAACCTAAAAATGGTAAGATGTGACAGTGAATGGGAATGAAGTAATGAAGTTTTCCTACTTCAAGTTCTAAGTGGAGCATAGTATGGCTGTGTGTTCTGAAGACATTAGGGGATGGAGAAGAACCACTGGGAATTTCGCTTGGCACAAAAGTGGAGAAAACAAGGTGCTGTAGTAGTTGGATTAAAGTGTACACTGGTAACAGTGACAGGCTCTGAAATGGCTTCTGTAGCAGATGAATCGGTAAAGGAAACAGCAGCCATTAAGTGAGTGCCTACTCTGCCAAGCACAATGTGCAGGACTGTAAAGGCTTTCTCTCATTTCCCTGTCAGGCTAACAGAGGAAACTGAGTCTTAGAAAACTAAGTGTTTTATAGAAGTTAACCCAGCTTGGATGGAGTTGTATGAATTTTTTTTACAGACCCAAGCTAATGTCATTATGTATAAGATTGAATTGAGATCTAATGATCCAAATTTGTATTCTATAGTTAAAATCTTCCCGTTTTTTTGTGACTAATAATATTGGAAAAAATACGTCTGTGTGTATATATTCATGATTCCTTTATTATTCCACAAGTGTAAAAATAGTGAGTCAAAAGTAACAGTTAAAAATGAAAAAAAAAAAAATTTGCAGTGATGGGGACTGAACCCAATGCCTCACATATGCTGAGCAAGAGCTCTGCCACTGAACTACATCTTTAGTCCTTTCTATCTTCTTGAGACAGGGACCTGCTAAATTGTCAGGGCAGGCATCAAACTTACACTCTGCCTAGCCTCCCAAGCAGGTGTGATTACAGGTATGAATTACTCCGTTCCTGCAGAGGAGTACATCTTGCAATCAGAAGAATAATGATGAAACCCTTTTTCCTGATTCCACTGAGCAAAACAGATTAACAACACCTCCCATTTGATAATGCAAAAGACGTATCAGTAATGTTAAACATGTCACAGGGCTGGGAAGTTGCTCAGTAGATATATGCTTGACTGGTAAACCATGAGGCCCTAGGCTAGAGATATCCAACACTGCAAAAATTAAACAAGTTGAGCATAGCTACAGTAGGAGAATTGAAAGTTTCAGCCTAGTTTGGGTAATTTAGGAATTCTCTACCTTAAAAAAAAAAAAAGTCCCGAGGATATAGCTCAGGGTGAGGGATCCTGTGGTAGCTCAGTACCACAAAAACAAAAATACTGAGCATGGCTGCACATGCCTGTAATCCACTACTTTAGAGGTTGAGGAGGATTAACATGAGTTCGAAGCCAGCCTGGGATACATAGTTCAAGACCAGTCTGGAATACATACATAGCGAAACTTTGCCTCAAGAAAACAAAACACAAACGAACAAAATTCAGGTAAGCAACAACAGTGCCTGGTATTTAACAGTGCTCAATAATGAATGCATAAATGAATGATTAAATCTGTCCTCTAACAAGAAATATAATTATACCACAAGTATAAATGTTTAGGTATCTCAGCTAGAATGTTTGCTCCTAGTAAATCAACAAATTGATAGAAATGAGGAATCTTTAATTACGTTCTTTTTTTTTTTTTTTTTTTTTTTTTTTTTTTTTTTTTTCTTGAGACAGGATCTCACTGAGGTTTTTCGTTTGTTTGTTTTCTTTCTTTTTGGTTTCTTGAGACAGGGTCTCACTATGTAGTCCAGGCTGGCCTCAAATTTGTGGTGATCCTCCTGTCTCAGCCTGCTGAATGCTGGGATTATAGGCGTGTACTACCATACCCAGCTGGGATTTGTTTCTATTATAAAAGAAACAGGATCAGGGACTTGGCTCAGTGGCATAAGTGCCTACCTGGCAAGCGCACGGTCGTGAGTTCGATCTCCAGCACAAAAAAATTACAAAAAGGATACTGCAATTTTACAGATTTGAAGACTGAAAATTGTTGAAATATAAAACAATTTGCTTTATTTTTTGCATATGTAGAACCATATACTTTCTTGTATGTAACCCAAAAGGAGGCTTCAACTGTCCTTCCTCTGAAGCAATACTAAGATTTTTATTACTTTTATGGCATTTAAGTCTCTCCATTTGTTCTATCACTTTATTTATTAGTATTATTATTAATTGTCTTTTTGAGACAGGGTCTTGCTATGCAGTTCAGGCTGGCCTTGAGCTCACTTTGTACCCAGGCTGGTCTCTAACTCTCAATGATCTTCCTGCTTCAGACTCCAGAGTGTTGGGATTACAGGAGTGTGCCACCATGCCTGGCTTGTTCTATCACTTTAATATAGGGTAAATTCCATGAAGGCAGTCATTGATTATATTTTTTTTTGTAGAGTAGAAATCCAACAAATATTTCTGTAATTGACTCAGATTTGATGTTAACTGTAATACTACTCTGCAGTCATTACAACTAGAAATTTACTGGTAGTTCAGTCTTTAGAAGCAAAGAAAAATTTAAAAAAATTAAAGCACTCTAAACGACATAAACCCAAGAATAAAGCATGTAAAATTTGATCTCAAAGCATAAAGTGCAATTACAACATTAGGTAAGTAAATCCCATGTAAACCCTTACCAAATTTCTGAGCTAAGAAAATTGGGAAGGCAGAAAAATCTCACCTGATCCTCTTTTGCTCTGTCAGGTCACCCTCACTAACCAACATCGCCGATAATAAGCGAAGAGTTGAATTGGCAGATTTAGACTGGTTGTTTTTCATACCCAACAGCCACCTTACCAGAAGTTTAATTGCCTGTACCTATAAAATATTAACATGCTAAAAAAAGAAGGCAATTTAAAATTCCAAGGGGAAGATTAATTTATATGAATGAGATTAATAAGCTTTACTTATAAGTACTTTATAATAAAAGTTTATTGGATAATATTAATTCTGTGTTTAATTCATACCAAGAATTTTCCTCAGAGATGTACATGTATTCAATTATATAATCTCCTCCAAAACAAATCCTTGAGAGAAGAGGTATTCTGTATTTTTAGTTCCAACAGATAAGCAAACCAAGTTACGTGACTCAAGGACTCAAGGTCTGGTTCCATGACTCAGGTGGGCTCCCTTTTTTTTTAAAAGATAGGATCTTGCTCTGCAGTGCAGGCTGGCCTTGAACTCACTATGTAGTTCAGGCTGGCCCTGAACTTGGGGTGATACTTCTGGTTCAGCCTCTTTGAGGGCCGGGATTATAGGTGTGTACCACTGCTTCCAGCCAGAACTCAGGTCTTTATTATTGAAACACTTGCCTAAGATTTTTACATTGTGTTAAAATATACAGTTTAAAAGCAACTGTTTAGAAGAATGACCATTAGAGCCTAGAAAGGCTCTGAGGAGGCAATGGAGAAGGATGTTTAACCAGTACATGAATGCACTTGAAGAACTCCGGGCCAGGGGTTTAGCTCAGCGGCACAGTCCCTGCCTGGCAAGGTTGAGGTTGTAAGTCCGATACTTGGTACCAAAAAATCCTCCAAAACAAAAAAACAAATTCATGAATGCAGTTGACAGGTGTAACATCTAACATTCTATACATAGTAGGATCACTATGGTTGACGATAACTAAATGAGTGTTTCAAAATACCCAGTAGAGAATATTTTGAATATTCATAACACAAGGAAATAAGTGTTTGTTTGAATGGACCTGCTAATTACTCTGATCTGCTTATTATATATTATATGCACATACTGAAATGTAACACTGTGTTCTATAAATATGTACAATTAGTAAGTCATTTCAAAATGAAAGTAACTGTTGAACCTATGCTGATTAAAAACAACTATTTAGGTAGATGTTTGTATTTTTGTAATTCTGAAAAACTGAAGACACCATAAAGTCTGGTTCTGTCTCATTTAATACTCTGCAAAAAATTGGATTTCCTACAATTATTTGATAGGACCTGCTCAAAAGACTTAACAACGCACTATGTGACAAAGTTAGCCAAAGAATCTAAGTAGTATCTACTGAAAATATGGAAAAAAAGAATTGTAGAATACATAAATGACTATGAATTGAAATAGATTATCAAAGGTAATATAATTGCATTTTAAATTTTAAGCTCACCATTTTAAAAATTAGCTGTATTGAAGCTTAATTTACATCTATCAAAAGTTTGACAATTACTTATCTCTGCCAAGAGAATTATCGTTGGCATATAGACTGTAAAGGTGAGGCTAACGATTAAGACATCTGTGAGAACCAGCATTCTGCAATCTTGTACACAAGCCATCCTGAGATTGTTTCAGCAGGCTGAGGACTGATGGGTGATCAGGAACAATGAACAAGTATAATTTCTTTGAGAAATAACATCTATTTACTGTGGATTTTAAAATTAAAGCACCTCATTGAAAAATGCTTATTATTTTGTGGTACTGGTACTGACCCTAGTACTTTGCAGATGCTAGGCAGGTACTTTAGTACTATTGTATCTCTAGTGCCCTGTAAAAATTTTATTTAGAGGTAGGCTTTACTAAGTTGATCAGGCTGGCCCAGAATTTATGATGCTCCTGCCTCAGCTTCCCAAATAGCTGGGACTATACAGGTGTGTGCCAACACCCCTAATTTGCTCATTAACTATCAAATTAAAAAAGGAAGAGGGGGAAGATGAGAAGAATACCTATAAACCTTGTTTTCAACATAAACATAGTTAAGACTCACATAAACTTACCTTTGCTAGTACTTCAGGGGAAACTTCTTCATCTGGAGACCACAATTTCCCATTCTTTTCACCTGTTGACTATAGACAATTGAACAAACTTAGCTTTTATAAAGAGAAGTTTTAAACTTTTTTCATGGAACTTTTCATGCTGAGTAATCCAAGTTCTGGCAAACCTATAGAGAAGTCACACCACAGAGCTTGGGAAAGAAAAAACTAAAATGCTATTTTCCAATTTCAGAACATAATATAAATCTATATACTCAAGACATTGTCACTGGTATAGAAGGACAAAAAGAGAGAATCCAGGAATAAACTGTTTTTGACAAAAGTGCAGAACCATTCTTTGGTGAAAAATTAGTCTCTTCAATAAATGGTGCAGGAAAAAGCTAATATCCACAGGCTGAAGAATGGAAGCTGGGCTGTTATACAAAGTACAAAAATAAACTCAGATTTGGCTGAAGACCTTAATTTAAGAGCTAACATTATAAAATTAAAACTATAAGAAAGGTAATAGGGATGACTCTCATGAGCTTGGATTTGGTAAATACTTGACAAGGATTTAATATCAAAATATATAGTCTTATAGTTCAACAATGACAGAGACAATCTGAAGAAAAGCAGTGAAGATTTGAATACATAGTTCTCCAAAGATACCAAGAAAGGCAAAAAGTTCATGAAACAGATCCCCAGTATCTGTAATGGCTGAAACATTGTGTGAACTCGAGAAGTTTAGAAGTTTAAGTGACTCAACAGTGGGCCACGGTCCTTACTTTTTGTAACATCCTCAGCCTGTGCAAGAGAAGGGCACACAATATGAATGCTACACACAGGCGCGCGTGCACGCGTGTAGGAGGAAGCATGCTTGCAATATAAATGGCTGGCTGCTTCTTTGAAGTATTGCCCCTGTGCCATGCCACTCTGCCTTGGAACCAGCTGATTACAGACTGAAAGCTCCACAAACTAAGCCAAATAAACCTTTCTTTCCTTAATTCTGAGTGTTAGGTGTTTTGTCTCAGCAAGGAGAGAAAAGTAACTGAGACAGAATTTGGTTACAAAGGAATAGGGTCATTGCTGTGACTGTACCTGACCATGTCGTTCAATGGCTTTTGGGAATGGCTTGTGGAAAGGGTCTGAAAAAGCTCAGAGATGTTCCATGAAATAGTAGTGTTGGAACATCTTAGGCTGCACTGTATGGGAGATTCTGGTCAGAGTTCAGAAAATCGGAAGGCTGATTCAAATTCTGCTACTAAAGACCAGGCTCAGGAGGTTTCTGCTGGGAAGAAGCACTGTACTGGCTGTGGACTCCAGATGAGGTGTGTTATGGCTTGGCAGAAATTTTGTCTGCATTTTGCTCATGTCCAGAGACTTTGGCTGTGACTTAGATTAAGGGCAGTGGACTATCTGGCAGAAGAAATTTCAAGGCAGTATAATGTTGAGGCAGTGGCATGGCTACTGTTGGGGGTTTTTAGCAGGATTTATGTTGCAAATTTAGAGCCCGGGAAAAAAAGACTGAAAATGTGAATTTGGCAGAAAGGAAGGTCAAGCAAAGCTGTGGACTACAAAGATATAGCTCAGGAGATCTCAACTGCTGAGAAGGAACAGAATATAAAAGACAAGAAGCAGTAAGTCTCTACTCTTTACAGCCTCAAACCTGCAAAAATGAAAGACTTTGCTATGAGGAGAAAGTCATAGGATACCATATTCCAGAATGGCAGCAGCATAAAGAATTTGCTCCTCAGAATTGAATTCAGAGTGCCCAGCAAACCAGGCACTTGATTCTACAGCCAAGAGAGAGGAAGGCCTGGCTACTGCTCCAGCTGGCAGCAGAACTTGGAATCTCTGTGTGGCACTGGGTTTTAGATGCATGTAGAATGCAAGAGTTGTGGGATCAGGAAGGCTTCTGTCCAGATTTTAGAGGACCTGTGCCTAGGAGAGAGCAATGTGTGAAGCTGTAAGGGTGAAGCCAGAAGTGCAGTGGAGATGCCAGAAATTTGGAGAAATCAGGAATGTGGATCATCTGAGGAAACTTGCAAGGAGAGAGCCGAGTGGCCCAAGAGAAAAGTCATAGCAGCTATAACTATCAAAAGTGCTCTACAGGCAGAGCCACTCAAGCTTTTTGAAGTTCACATGTGCCTCACATGACGCACATGGAACTACAGGACTTAATATTTACCCTGCTTGTGGACTTGTTTTGGTCTCATTCCTTTGAGTCCCTTTTTGTAAGTTTGGAAAGAAATGTTTGTCTTGTGCCACTGAATGCTGGAAGTATTTAACTTTTCATTTGTATAGGGGGTTGCAGCTAAGAGTTTTTTTTAAAATTTCAGGAGACTTTGGACTTGGGACTTTTCAGTAATGATGAAACTTTCAAGACTTTGGCAACTCTTAGAGATGGACTAAATGCCTTTTGCATAAAGAGATACGTATAAGTCTTTGGGTGCCAAGGGCAAAATGTTATGTTTCTAATGTAATATGATGATACACAATATACTGGTTCGTAAGGATTGCTACAGTTTTATAATATTGAAGTTGTTAAATGATAAGAATAAGCATGTCTGTATATCTGTAAACTAGTTTATAGAAATGTGTCTAGTTGTCAAGTTGACAAGGGTGGATTATGGTTGAAACATGTTCACTTGAGAAGTTTAGAATTTTTAACTGAGCAACTCAGCAAGGAGCCAGGGTCTTCACTTTGTAAATATGCTCATCCTGTAAAAGAGGAGAGCAGCCTGCTTTTAATATAAAGGAGAAAAAGAAGCTTGTGCTCCCCTTTTTTGCTCTTCGTTGCTTTTGCCGACTGCTGCTGCCCCTGTGCCATGTCACCCTCCTTGGAATCAGCTGATTAAGGACGGACACTTCCACAAACTGAGCTAAATAAACTTTTCCTTCCTTAATTTGGGTGTTGGGTATTTTGTTAGTAACTGATATCATTATCAAAAATATAATGAGATACTATCATAGTTAACCCCCTAGCATGGGTATTATTTTTTATGAAAAGTAAAACTGGAGCAGAGTATACAGCTTCTCTGAAACAGTCCAGATGCTGGAATATAGCATCTTGGGGAAGACAAGAAGGGAGGAAGTGGGTCCCCTGGACCCAGGAAGAACTTAAAGTGAGAACTGAAGCTCAAGGAGAGTAAAAAAGAAAAACTTAAAAGACAAGAAGATGGTAGCTGGCAGGCCATAGCATTCCTTACTCTAACAGAACAAAAAATTCTTGGCTACATACAACTTCGTAAAGGACCAAATATTGTGGGTCCTTACGGAATTTTTCAGCCAACTGTAGACACCTTAAAACTATCAAAAGAGCCCCTTCACCCGTCCACCTCCTCAGTATCTCTCTTTATCCTAGCCCCAACCTTGGCCCTCACATTAGCCCTCTCAATATGAATCTCAATCCCCATACCATACCTCCTAATTAACATAAACCTTGAAGTATAATTTAGCAATATCAAGCCTTGCTGTACGTGCTATTTTATGATCAGGATGAGCATCCAACTCCAATTACGCATTAATTGGAGCCCTACGAGCAGTAGCTCAAACTATCTCATATGAGGTTATCCTAGCAATTATTCTCCTATCAGTATTATTATTAAATGCATCATTCTCTCTAACCTAATAGAGACTCAAAAAAACACTTGAGTATTTCTCTCCACATGACCTCTAGCAATAATATGATTTGTTTCAACCTTAGCAGAAACAAACGGAGGACCATTTGACTTAACAGAAGGAGAATCAGAACTAGTTTCAGGATTCAACGTAGAGTACACCACTGGCCCCTTCACCTTATTTTTCATAGCTGAGTATATAAATATCATTATAATAAATGCCCTCACAACCCTTATCTTCTTCAACACTATACCAACAACAAACTCCCCTGAAATTTATACAGCAAACTTTGTACTAAAAACTCTCAGCCTTTCAATTCTAGTCCTGTGAGTTTGAGCTTCTTATCCTCAATTTCGATATGATCAACTCATGCATTTATTATGAAAAAACTTTCTGCTTTTAACACTAGCACTATGCATATGACACATCTCTTTGCTGATCCTATCATCAGGCATCCCTCCCCAAACGACCTGAAATATGTCTGATAAAAGAATTACTTTGATAGAGTAAAACATAGGGGTTTAAATTCCCTTATTTCTAGAATAGCAGGACTTGGACCTACTCTAAAGAACTCAAATTTCTCCGTGCTACCATTACACTACATTCTAACAGTAACGTCAGCTAAATAAGCTATCGGGCCTAGACCCCAAAAATGTTGGTTTATATCCTTCTCATACTAATTAATTTATCAACCCCTGTTATCTATACTACCCTTATCATAGGCACCTTAATCACCCTACTTAGCTCACACTGATTGCTCATATGAATCAGTCTAGAAATAAGCACGCTAGCCATAATCCCAAATATGACAGCCAAACCAACCCCTCGGTCTGCAGAGGCTGCAACCAAGTATCTCCTTACCCAGGCATCAGCATCAATACTTCTATTATTCTCAATTATCCTAATCATGATATACTCAAGACAATGGACTATTATTCATTATCAAAATCAAGTAACCTCACTTATACTAACTCTTTCTCTAGTAATAAAACTAGGCTTACCACCCTTCCATTTCTGAGTACCTGAGGTCTCTCAAGACATCCCCTTACTATCAGGACTTATCTTACCAACTTGACAAAATATTGCCCCTCTCGCCATCCTTTTTCAATCCTTCCCCTTAATCAACCAACCCTTAATTCTAACTTCAGCTGTCACATCTATCTTATTAGGAGGATGATTAAACCAAACAGTTATGAAAAATTATAGCATAGTCATCAACTGCCCACATAGGATGAGTAAAGTTATTCTAATTTATAATCCATCATACTACTAACTACATCATCTACATTTTCCTTACAGCCTCCATATTCTCTATATTTCTCATATACAACAATATAACCACATCTACCCTAAGCCACACTTGAAACACCTCCCCAACTTTAACTACCATCATAATAATTACTCTTTTATCACTAGGTGATCTACCTCCTTTAACCAGATTTGCCCCAAAATGATTAATTATCCAAGAAATAGTAAAAAACAGTAACACTATCTTACCCACCATAATAGCTACTCAATCTCTACTTCTACATATGACTAGTCTACTTCACATCCCTAACTCTATTCAAAAAGCAACATAAAAGTCAAATGACATTTTCAACCTACAAAGAACAGTGCACTGTTGGAATCTGGGGACACACAGTTGCAGTGACTGTGGTGTCAGGCAAGCCCCAAAGCCTCTGCGGTGGTGGAGAGGAGCAGTCGACACAGGGGACTGCACTGGCTGGTGGTGAGTGCAGAGGGTTCAGTTGTGCGGGAGACCGTGACTGGTTGGGAGCCATTTTGGAGCTGGGAAGGATAAACCTGGAACCAGAACTATAGCCGGCTCCCTCCAGCAGCTCCTAGCTGGGGCATTCCAACAGCCATCACCAAGGTTCCCCACAGAGGTAACCAGGTAACCAGCTCAGACTGGAGGTGGTGCCCCTGCACATGCTCTTAAGAGCTATGGCGGGGGCTCCCTGATGTTAACCAGCTTGGTAGAGAGGCAGCAGCCAGCTCCTCCACCTACCACACCATTATTGTAGATCTTATCAGTTAGGAGGGCAGCGGGCCAGCCTTGCCCCTGTGTTTACTTCAACAGCCACTGGCGAGCCAAAGCAGGCTAGGAAAAGTAGCAGATAGTCTTGTACCAGTGCACCCAAATGGTCACATCAGGTACTGGTAGCCAGCACTAACTGGAAGAATCAAACAGTCCTGCTTCAGAGAAATTGTAGCCAGTACAGGAAGTGCCTGGGACCCACTATCCACTTGTCCAAAAGAACCCAAGAATATGTCAAGATGAAGAAGCAAAAGGCAGACTCTGGCCTCCAACTCAAGCAGATCTGGTCCAGGAGATGTAAACATGGAAGAGATAAGGAGTCACACACCTCAAGTTTCTGAAGTGATGGCAACTGAAGTAAAGAGACAACTTCATGAGGCTATAAAAGAAATTAGAACAGAAATACTACCTCAGGTAAAAGAAATGAAAAACATAATAAAAGAATTGCTAAGCACCTCTAAAGACAACATAGATGGAAGAATAGAGGAGCATAAGAAAATGAGGGAAACCCTGAGTGAAGAATATAAAAAGACTTAAGAGTACATGAAACAGATTCAGGGATTTCAAGGAAATTAAAAATTCCATCGAAAGCTGGCAAAACCACCTGAAAGAAACTAAACTTTCAAACCTTGAAGATAGGTTTTGCCATCGCAAAAGGAAAGATCTCCTAAAAATAACAAGGAGCCAGGAAGTAACAATTCAATTGCTGCAAGATAACCAAAAGGAACATAACTTAAGAATGATAAATGTGAGTGAAAAAGCAGGGTCAACACAAACATAAAAAATTTAAAGAAATAATTTCAGAAAACTTCCCAAGCATAGGAAAAGGAAATGATACTCAGATAATAAGGCATACAGAACTCGAGCTAGCCATAACCAAAATAAATCTACACCTAGACATATAGATCCCAAAAATTTAACACAAGAACAGAATGTTAAAAGCTGTTAGAGAAAAGAAACATCTCACCTATAAAGGAAAACCCATCAGAATCAAGACAAGACTTCTTGACATAAACCATCAAATCAAAAAGAGCTTGGGAGAAAAAAAAAAAAGAGCTTGGAGTAAAGTATTAAAGTCCTGAAAGAAAACAACTTCTAACCCAGACTGATGTACCCTGAAAAACCATCTTTGAAAATTAATGGAGAAACAAGATTCTTCCATGACCAAGAACTGAAGGAATTCATGACCACCAAACCAACCCTACAAAAATATTGACGGACATTCTAGAGAGAGAAAAAAAGACCATGGTCCCAGGAACAGCGGCAGAGGGGAGACACAGAGTGGGGCAGACAATGGAAAAGAGGGGAAGAGTAGGCAGCCAATGGCAGCAAAATAGCATGGCAGAGATGAGGCATGCCTGTTGGTCATAATCACTAATATAGATGGCCTCCATGTGGCAATAAAAAGAAACACAGGCAGAGTGGATCAGAAGACAGGGTCCATGGGGAACAATGCTCTATGTGACAGGGAACCAGAAAGATCAGCTGCAGAGTGGACAACAAAGTCATGGCACTTTTATACAATGGAAAGCTATTCAGCTATAAAGAAAGATAACCTTGGGGGTCTTGTAGATAAATAGATACAACTTGAAATCATGCTCGTGGGTGAAATGGTTCAGAGTCACATGGGTGAATATTGTGTTGTCTCTCTAGTATAAAAACTAAAAGAATTAGTGAGAACTAAAATGCATAATACATCCTGTGAAAGTGAAAGAAGAGGAAGTGTCTAAAAAGGGAAGGCAGTGGCCATTGTTAATCTATTAACTTGATTTGAAACCCACACTGTTTTCATTGTTCTGTTTAGTTTGGTTTTGTTGTTTCAGTTTGTCTAATTTTATTATATTTGATGGCAAGATAGCTGTTTCAACAATAACAAAATATATTATGGTAGCAATTTCTGATTACTAGCTTGCTTTGAAACCCTGTATTGCTTTCACTGTTTTATTTTGACTGATTTTATTCTATTTTATTTTGTTTCATTGTATCATGTCTGATGGTAGAGGCAATCACTTTGAAGATAACAAGATACATAAAGGTACCCACTGTGTTTTACTATTATCTTGTTTGAAGTCCTGTACTATTTCCAGTGTTTTGCTCTTATTCTGTACTATTTTGTTTGATTTTATTATGCCTGATGGTATGGGCAATTCTTTTGAAGATAACAAAAGGCATTATGGTGGCCATTATTGATTCTCTTGTATCTTAAGTCATGTACCATGCTCATTGCGTTGTTTTAATTGACTCTATTGTTTTATTTCACCTGTTTTAATTCTCTTCAAAATAAAAAAATTAGAAAAAGGTAAAACTATCGGTGTTGGCAAAGATGTGGAGAAACTTGAACTGTCATATATTGCTAGTAAAAATATACAATGGAAAAAGACAATATAAAATGGTACAAGGGACTGGGGATATAGCTCAGCAGCACAAGCACCTGCATGGAAAGCACTGAGGTCCTGAGTTCAATTCCTGATACAAAAAAAAGAGAAAGGAAAAAAAAAGTACAGTTATGTGTCAATCCTTCCATGATAAATGTCATGACTATCATGGCAAAAATATAAAAAAAATTATGAAAAAAATTAGTGCCATTACTTTGAGAACAGTCTGGTGGTTCCTCAAAATGCTCAACAAAAAATACCATGTGATCTGGGAATTTTACTTAGATACATATTCAAAGACTAGAAGATAGGTACTCAAATGTTCAGTATCAGTGTTATTCACAATAGCCATACATAGGTACAACAAACCACATGTCCAAAGACAAAATACTGGATATACATGAAAGGTGTCTTCATTCAGCCACAAAAAAGAATGAATCTGATATATACAACATGGATAAACCTTGAAAGGATAAGGGAAGTAAGATACAAAGGGAAAACACTGTATGAGAAAAGATACCTACAATAGGCAAATTCATAGGCTAAAAAGTCAGAACAGAGGTTCTCAGGGAATGGGAATTGCTACTTAATGTGTGCAGAGTTTCTATTTGTAATGATGAAATAGATCTGGAAATGGATGGTGCTGCTGATCAGACAACACCAACCATTCCAGGAAATGCACACTTATAATGGCTATCTTTGTATTATATATATTTTACCACAACTAGAAAAACAACTTAATCTTAGAATAGTATCTGTCAGACAAGGTTATGTCAGGTAAGATTATGAACTTCATTTTTTTTTTGGAGAAAGGGCCTCATTCTTTAGTTCAGGTTGGCCTTGACCTCACTATGTGTCTTAGGCTGGCCTCGAACTCATTGGGGTTTTTCCTACCTCAGCCTCCTGAGTGCTGGAATAACAGGTGTGTGCCAGCATTCCAGCTGTATTCCTAATGTCCTATAGGAAAAGTGGGATAACTATGCTTGACAACAATTAAACTGAATATTTGGTTGAGACAGGATCTCACTATGTAGTACAGGATGACCTCAAACTTGTGATCTTTTGCCTCAGTTTCCTGAATGCTGAGGTTGCACACATGCGCCACTTTCCTTAGATAATTTGCGTATTTTAAAATAGCTAGTAGAAAGGATTTTGAATGTCCTCAGCACAAAAAAATGGTATGAGTCTCTGGTCACAGATATGCCAATTAAAATGGTCTGATCATTACACATTATACACATATACTGAAATGTCATACTGTGACATGTACAATAACTTTGTGAATACAAGATTATCCACAATAAAATCATCATCTAAGAAGCATCTAATCTCTAGTTTTAAATTTCATATTTGTTGCCAGCCACATCTAACAAGAGTACAAACACATGGATGTACAGAGTAGGAAATGAACTGAGCATCCTCTATCCCACTTTGTCTACTACAATCCAAAACAGAGGAGGCTACAGGTACAGAAGATGCACTATCAAGTGCTTTTCTTTTTTAATTTCCTAATATTGAGGGCTCAAGACTACTGGACCATGTGGAAAGAATCAGAGAAGTTTTGGGTAACTTGGATTTCTGGAAAATTTACACTGAAAGTCATCCATACCAGTCAGTAAGAATTGACTCTTTCCTGAATTACTTTTTTAACTTAGAAACATTTGGTAAAGTGGTTGTTCTTAATGTTTCTGAAACATTGGGGAATCCTTTTCAATCTTATTCCTGGGTTCTAACTCACAGAAGATGAAACACAACAACCACATTCAGATAAACTTCAATGTCTGAAACAAAGTAAGAGTACACAGATCTAGTGCCAGATGTATAAGGTATTTCAATAAATTAAATTGAGAAGAGTGGGGCTATATGGATACAGCTTAGTGGTCAAACATATGCTTAGTGTACCTAAAGTTTACTCTCCAGCAAAGAAAATGAGAGGAAAAAAAGGTAGAATTATATCCACACAGAAAAAAATAAACCTGCTTCAGAGACAGAGATGTAAATAGTCTTAATCTCAAGAGTTTGAATTTAATTGAGAAACTTACCCTGTCATTCATTAGTAGATCTTTCACAATAAAATTTGCTACTACAGATTTCATTGGGGAAGCAAACTGATCTGGTGCTAACATAGAAATGTGGCCCAATGAAACTAATGGAGTTATAAGTTGTTCTGGTACATCAGCATTCAGACTCCTACTGAGTGGCTATAAAAATAAAACAGAAAACATTACTAGTTTCTTTTACATGTCATGGAAGCAGATTTTCCTAAGCTCTCCCAAATTTAGCTTATCCAAATATCTGTTTTAATGATATGATCACAATTAACTTCAACTTATGTTAGGTATTTACTTGGTTCTTAGTTTGCCTAATGTAATTTAGGATTGAAACAACATAGAAAATAGGTAAAGACATTAACCTGAAGTAAAAAGTATAAAACAAGACTATTTCTGCTTCAACAAATTTGCAACAACCCTAAATTAGGTTTGCTATGTTGGTGAATTTCTTACCCCAGGGGGACATTTTTAAATGACCTCGAATCATAAATAAATAAATAAATAAATAAATAAAGTTCATAGGGTTCTGTTCTTATTACTTCCAATTTATGGTACCAGGAGTATTTTCTGGTAGCAAAGTCAGAACAAGAATCATATATGATGAAAGAGAAACCTGATTAATTGTCAGATAGTTGTTTAGTACCTAAATAGGATGGTTCAAAGTCATCTCAAAACTGAGGATAAATGGATCACTGAGCCAACATGGCTCAGGTGAAGGGAAATGTTCTCATATACAAAAATTTTTCAGTATGCAGTTTTTAGAACATATAATTGGAAATAACAGCTGAACATACAGTGCTGAATAAACAGAATTCCTATTCCCAGAGAATTTATATTCTAGGGTAGGATTCCATATACTAAACAGCAAATCTAGCTTCATTTTTATAAAAAAAAAAAAATCATAGTTTAAGAAATGAAGACCAACATAAACATATCCTATTATATATACCTCAAAAATCTGTGCAAGCTGGACTTCTTTATTTGTGAATATGGCATGTATACAATGCACGGCCTGTTTTGCTTGGTGTGGAGTACCCCTCTTTGCTTTTTGATGTAAAATGGGAATTAAGGTCCTGCAAAAAATAATATCACAGTTTTTTGGGTTTTTTTTTTTTTTTAGTTCAAAAAGCCACAAACCATTTTTTGGTTGTCTCTCACTTCTCCTATTTGGACGTAAACTGGTAGAAGTCTCTTCTAAAATTATCTTTTTCTGATCTCAAGTACAAAGAAATAAATACAGTGTTTCAAGACAAAGGCTACCAAAGACAATTTGTATTTTAAAGATGTCCCAGGATTATGAAGAAGTAACAGCAACTCACTTCTAATTTATAATCTAAAACCTATTCTGTGATATATATTTTTAAACCTATCTAACCCAAGTTCCCTTTTAGAAATCCCTTCAGTTATTTTAAAGAAGCCAGAGAAAAACAGTGAAAAGCCAGATTACAGTAAACAGCTGAAATAATACATGTGAAAGTTAACTATGTACAGTCACAGATACATATACACTATTGGTGAAATGGTACTAAACTTATCTAGTAATTACTGAGTATACTCACCATTTGTGATGTTTTTACATGGATTAATTCAACTAATGCTCACTATACTCAAAAGAGGACAATCACTGTAGCCATTATATAGGTGAGAAAATTAATGGATAAGGATAGTTATTTAGACATCCTAAGGCATAGTGGCAAACCTGTGGCATATGTGTCGTAGGCTATTATCATTGAAAGCTCTTAATTTGCCGTCCCTGATCCAAGGTGATAGAATGAAACTGGAATTTGAAAACAAGCATTTGTTTTGTTTCTTTGCCTTCTCTCCTTACCCCTGCTTATTTTGGAGAGGTGGGTGGTATTGGATTCTGAACCCAGGGTCTTCATACAGGAGTATGTTCCAGGTCCTTTTTAATTGTATTCTGAGATGGGACTGCTAAAGTGTCTTGTACTTGTGATCCTCCAATCTTAGCCTCCCAGATTGCTAAGATTACATGTATACATCACATGTGCCAAGTATTCACTTCAAAACCAATGCACTTAAGGCTAAACTTAAAAGGTCTTTCTATAGGACAAAATGTAAATACACATTAAGGTCTTAAAGCATCAAATGGTGAGGATATGGGAAAACATTAGGTGGAATGTAGAAAATAGCACGCTTATATAAAATCTATAAAAAAAGGCAAAGAAGTAAACATTCATTAGAAATATACATATCAAAATATTAATAGTAACCTATTTTTCTAGGTTTAGCTTTTTACAATGAGTAAAGTACAATGAGTATAAATATTTTTATAATCAGGAGAAAACTTATAAGGCAAAATAAGAAAAGGAAAAACATTTGTCATCATTTAATGCAATTACAAAAGACTCTATTTTATAGATTATAAAGTTAATAGTAACATGTGCAGCAATGACTTCCCAAGGGTCTCCCTGTGATAACAGAAGGCTAGACTTCAATAGTCATATCCACGGCACTGGGCCATGCAGCTTAACCGAACACTGGAACATACACCAGTCATCTATGACTGCTTTGGTATTTATGAATATATCTCAAAATGCTTTCCAGAGGGTTTGAATTTATTTGGGATTTTCATGCCCAGATAACTTTCCCTGTTGGAGCACAATTTTCTTTCAAAAACTCGTAAGTGTAACACAGCTTATAAAATAACACTATCAAAAACAACACTAAGAAGATACAATTCTGATTAAATTTGCTAAATTAATAATTTTCAGTAAAACTGAAAAACACAAAAATAAACTTTAACTTTTATCATTGTTCTTTTATAGTAGTACAACCTAGTGGTGCCATCAACATAGTTACTGAGGTGGTCTTCTGTGTTATGCTTTTCTGCATTTCAGTGATTGAATCCTCTTCCCCCCATTTTTCTTTCTTTGTTTTTTTGGCTACGCCTTTCACGCTGGCCTTGAACTCACTATGTGCTAACCTTGAATCTGTGGTGATCCTCCTGCTTCAGCCTTTGGAGTGCTGGGATTCCATTTGTGGTCACCACACCCAGTTTCCCACTACATTTTTGTTTTGTTTCGTTTGTTTTGTTGAGACAGGGTCTCACTATGTAGCCCAGGCTGGCTGAACTCACAAAGAGCCTACTGCCTTAGCCTCCCAAGTGTTGGTATCACAGGTGTGTGCCATCACGCCCCGTCACATTACTCGTAACAAAAGGCTTGGGGATGGGGATGCAGCTCAGTGTGGCACAAGTGCCTGTCTGGCAAGCACAAGATCCTTAGTTTGATTCCTAGTAATAAAACAAAACCAAGCCAAAGGGCTTTACTTTTTGTGTCCAAATTTAACTCTTCTATAGATACTCGTTTTTATGGTTTCTTTTTATCATCTCTAGACTATAGGAACAACTGAACAATTTTTTTTTTATTTGCCACTGAAACACTGAGAATTAAGAGGATCTAAAATAAACAGTAAATTACTTCACAAATTAGCTCATGAGTTTAATAAAAGTGTCTTATTATTATGTGAAGAAAAATTATTTTTTTAGATATACCATAAAATACTTGACTATCCCCTGTACACCTGTGTACCTCCTCCAAAAGATGTCTCCCACATATTTAAAATCCAAACTCTCAGCAAAAGTATGATCCTAAAGGAAATCTCTTCAAGATGATAAAGTTGAAATACCAAAATGCAATTCTGTCTTATGAGAAGGAAAATGAGCTATAGCGAAAGATCAAGGTAACACAGGTACCAGTGCCAACAAATAAGAAACTAATAAATATTGCATAAAGTACATACACTATTTCCCTCATTCTTTGGTGCGATAGGAAGGTGTCAGTTATTAAGTTTATGATCCACTTATAAAAACATGACCATACACAGATTAGAAAGATACATTAATCACAAATTAAAGTAGTACTAAATTATTTAAATAGCTTAATTAATTAAAAAGTTTGTTCCTCTGCCTAAATTTTAGTGGTGGTCAGGTAAGACAAGGACTAGACAATAAGAGGACACAAAAGTTTTTCTTTTTTTTTTAAATGAAAGTCTTTGCTTTTTCCTGTCCTACCACATGAAAGGGAAACAATGATTCTACGAGTGTCAACACTTAAGAAACTTTTGTATTTAGGACGCAAAAATATACTCACGATCGTATCTGAGGAAGGTCTGTTTCTATTTTATGGCCTGTATTTCTAAAAATCTGTATTGCAGCTTCTGCTACCTTGTCATCTTCCATTCTTAGGCACTGTAACAAGGACTCATACGTCTCTGCAGAGTGGAACGAGGTAGGATGTGTGAAAGACAGAACCTGGAGGAATAGATACAGCTTTGAGTATAGACAATGATTCTAATCTATTAACGACTTACTGGTGCGATTACTAACAGGATGACAAAAATTGCATGTATTTTTTCATTGATTTTTATAGCAGGAAATATAAAAATGACATTTTCATTAAACACATTCAATACAAGAATCAATTGGCTGAAACTACGCCTGCCTGCCTGACATTTGAGTTAAACTTTTAAAAAAAATACTTTTAAGTGGTTAAAAAACAGGGCATTATTTTCTATAATAAATAGAACTTAAAGTTCTGGAACATGTCAGACACACATAATAAAGATTGTATCTCCTATCCTCTCTTGCAGTTAGTTGTGGCTAATGAGACATTAACAGAAACCACTGTGGTAGCTTCCAGCTATTTCTTTATGACAATGGAGGTACGGCCTTTGCCCTATTTTATTCTTCATTGTTTCTTCATTGTTTATTCTGTTGATATGTAAAATGAATGGCTCTTTTTTAAAGGAGTGTAGTAGTCTAACATTGAATACTATTGTCAGCTTATTAATGGCTCAGTCTTTGTGTCATCTAAACAAAATTCTGAGCCAGCAAGTTGACCAACAAAAAAATAATCTTTAAGGGAATATATGAAGTGAAATTCATCATAAAAAGTTCACTCATCAGTGTGAAAACCATCATTATGGGAACAAAAAAATTTTTTTAGGACAGGGTCTTGCTGTGTAACTCCAGGTTAGCCTTGAATTCACTAAATAGCCTCCACTAATCTCGAACTTGCAGGAATCCTTTTGCCTCAGCCCCCTGAGTTCTGGGAGTACAGGCAGGTTTGTCCCACCATGCCTAATTTATCATTGTGAACTTCTAATAGTAACTCCAAGCATGTAATTATTCCCTTATTTGCCACATGCGCCCAGTTTAATCTTATGTAGCATGTCTACAAAGTTTTTCTTTCTTTCTTTTTTTACAAAGCTTATTTTTCATAAAATGAACATAAAGTGGAAATAATTCAGTGTACTATGAGAAATTAGAGCTAATACTAGAGAGGAATGAAAAGGAGGGAGTTGAGCAGGAAGTATTCATTAACTTATTCAATAAACATTTATCAAATGAGTCAAAAGCACCAAGATTATCTCAGTGGATTTTGCAGTGGTAACATTTAATTAGAAGTTTTAATTAGAGAAACATGGAGAATTAAATTTGAGAAACAGAGTGAAAAAACAACCTGTTAAAATCTATGTTCCTGAAAGGTGATATTGCTTTTAAAAATACTTAAAATCTTATTCATGAAACATCATACTAATTGGTCCCAAGGAAATGGTACCCAAGGAGATCTCAGTATAGCCGCATTACTCTTTGCTACCTATTTTGCCTTTCCCCCCTTAGTTGGCAGTACAGTGGTTTCAATGTTTCTTTAGCTTCAACTGCTTCCACTTACCACGAGTAAAAGTCTATCAAGTGCTGTGACTGTTCTAATGGCAGGTTCAAATTGCCTCGAGTCCCTTTCTGCCCAATGGCACTCTATAATCTGAAACTTTTTTCTCCCATTACTCCACAAAGCAATCCTTCTTCAATTATATAATGTCCACAGTCTTGAATCATTTGAATTAAATTTTTTTTGTCTTTTTTGTTTTTACTGGTAGCCCTGTTGAATTAATTTTTCAATTTGCTGAACACTTTGGAATCTTTTATGACTAATAATTGTTGAGAATTCCCTAATAAGACAGACATGTCTTATAATAATTCCAGGGGGCAGTCAACTGACTCAGACCCAAGTTCTATGAAAGGTAAGAAAAGATTATTTAGCACTGTCACATGCATAGCAGGCAAGCAAATGCTAAAAGAAACAGGGAAACCCCAAAACATTTTATCACTACTTTTATAAAAGCTGATCTCTACCATAAAATTTTAATCTTCTGACTAGTGTCCAATGAAATAAGCCTCAGTCTTGCATATTCTGAAGACAATGCAAATTACGACACCATGAAACCATGAAACCAAATGGTTTCAAAACTGTTTCAAAAGTACCTTAAGAAGTTCAAGTCCTGAACGAATAGCTGTATCTGGACTTACACCCTCCTCTTCATCATCTGCTGTCCCCTCTATTGATTTATTCATCAGTTTTACTAGTGCACTTTAAAAAAAAAAAGAAAACATAGATTAATAAATTACAAGATCAGTAACTATCCTAATTGCATTGTGCTGGAATACATATCAAATTTAAAAAGATTGGGTTCATAAAAGTTTCTCAGGTAGGGGAGGAGTTAAACTTTATCTTCTGTTTGACAAGTAGGCTTATTTTTTATTCTCCTGAAAAAACATACTGCTATAATAATTACAACTCTACTGAAAATAAAACTAAAAGTGACACAGATAACTATAAGCAATTTAGTACTGAATTCATTTACTTATATAAAGAGACTGTAATTGTAAGAAAAACAACAAAAAGCATTGGTAAGTGACCAGTGATCATTCACTAAAACAAAATACAAATAATAACAAACACTGCTGGATGTAATGATACATGCTGTAATCCCGGCACTTGGGAGGCTGAGGCAGGAGGACTGATGGGAGTGTGAGGCCAGTCTTGTATACACAGCAAGAGTTGGTCTAAAAAAAACCCCCATCTCCTCAAAACAAAACAAAATAGCAATAACAACAAAGAAAGTAATTATCATCAACAATAATATTAATCTACTTGTAATTCATGCACTAAATGAGTAATTCTATCCCTAGAAATTAAAAGTAAAGAAGCAATTGATCAGCATCATGCCATACTGATGAACATATTCATTAGGGAAAAACTATTGTCCAAAATGATGAATTGTTTTCAAACATATCTTCCACCACAAATAAAACAATATTTGGTGAATGAAAGTCAAGACTATGTAGCCAGGAATGGTGGTGCACACTTACAATCATAAACTTTGAAAGGTGAAGGCATAAGGCAGGATAATCTTAAATTTAAGCCTAGCATCTAGGCAGCTTAATGACTCTGCCTCAAAAAAAGGTAAAAAGGCTGGGTATGTAGCTCTGCATGAAGGCCTTGAGTTCAATCTCCAGTGCTGCCAAAATAAACCAAAAAACTATGCAGAGGTCTGGGCTCAATCCCAGTACTGCAAAGACACAAATGTGATTTTTGGTTTGTAGACTATTTTGTCATTAGTAAATTGGAGAAAGTTTTACTTTATTAGAAACATAACACATGTCAGTAAAATTACTATTTTGGATTGGCAGAGGACAAGAGTCCTGCCGTGTTGAAGAGGTTGGCCTTGAACTCATGAGCTTTAACTCAGCCTCCTAAGGAGCTAGGAACACAGGTGAATGCTATTATATCAGACAATAAAAATTTTTCAAAAGTAGAAAATACGAGTGTAGATTTGAAATTTATGCCAGATTTAGCATTTGAACTTCTCCTTTTTTTTGGTACCAAGAATCAAACTCACGACCTCACACTTGCCAGGCAGGTACTTGTGCCAATGAGCTAAATCCCCAACCCTCCCCCCTCCCCTTTCTGGTTCCAGGGATTGAATTCATCACCTCACACTTACCAGGGAGGCACTTTGCCACTGAGCTAAATCCCTGGCTCTGAACTTCTTTAATCCACAAAAAAACTTCTAAACCCATCAATCTCTTCAGTTGATAAATCATATTGGAAAGCATATTTAATATACATATGTATGTGTATAAAAAATTAGCTTGAAATATATCAAACCCCTTACCTGTTAAGCAGTCACTCCTAACTTATCCTTATTCCCTCTGGCCTGAGGCATTTACTAATCTATTTTTTGCCTCTATACATTTGTCTGTTCTGAACATTTCATATGGATATAATCACAGTGTTTGGTCTTCTGTACTGACCCTTCACTTAGCAGGAAGTTCTTCCTCATCATTCACCCAAGTTGCATTTAACTCCCCATTCCAAATAATATTCTACTATTTAAATATGGGATTTATTATCAATCAATCAATCAATCAGTTGATAGACATTTGTTTTGTCATTATGATTAAGCATAATAATTAAGTATAAATATTTATGTGCAATTTTGTATAGACATAGCTTTCAAGAATTGCTGCAGTAGGTGATAGTGCCTGCCTGTAATCCCAGTACTCAAGGGTTTGCCATGAGTTTGAGGCCAGTCTAGACTATACAAGGTCAGACTATTCAAGGTCAGCCTGGACTATACAGTAAGGCCCTAACGCAAACAAAAACAAAACAAAATACCACCATTTTACATTTACACCAACAATAGGTCACTCCTGTCTCAACAAAAATTTCTTATCTGCCTTTTGTGTATAGCCACCACGCACAAAACAAAAATGAAAACCACTGATCTGGTTTTGTTACTGTAGTTTTTCTTTTTCCATACTTTGTGCCTTGCATCTTTTACATAATAATTTCAAGATTTACCGATACTGCTTTTGAAATTTATTCACATAGTATAATCAGCAGTTTGCTACTTTCGCTTGCTAGGAATTATCTAATTCCCAACTGATAGACTTTTGGATATTTCTAGTTCACAGATACAGTATAGTGATACCACGGTGGTTGAACTTGATTCATCCCAAATTTAAGTTCAAACATTGAAAAATTTAAGAAATTAAACACATTTTTCCCCAAAAGAAATACTGGAAAACCACATAATTGGTTCTGAGGCCCTACAACTATACTTATTAATTCATTTTTCTGGGACTTTAACAAATTTCACAATGATTTTTCTCTTTAACTTTATTATGGTTCTCATAGCTTAAAGTGAAAAAAACAAAACAAAACAAAACAAAAAAAACCCACAGTGACAAATGCTTTAGCATACTAACGCAAACACCATCTGTTGTCTGTGAGACGGACTATCACCCCTTTGGGTCTGTGGTGAGATGTGATGCCCAACTTATTCCTGGCCAATACAGGTTCTTTCAACGTTGGGATTTTTGGTTCAACTACTGAGCAAAGTTACAACTTTTTAAATTTTTTTTAAACTTTGCTGTTCCAAGTAGTGAAAAGTTTGAGTATAGAGCTATTTGAAAACTGAGTATCACTGTATTATGAAGAAAGCAATAAAAAGCAATTAAATACAAGTCTTTATGTGAACAATTTTTCATTCATTTTAGGCAAATATATATGGTTGAGATTCTTGAGTTGGACTGGTGACATTATACAAAGTATGATAAAATATGGTGAATATTTAATCTTCTTTTTTGAGATAGGGCCTCACTATGCAGTTCAGACTAGATTTCAACTCACTTTGTAGCCCAGAATAGCCTCGAACTCACAGCAATCCCCCTGGTTCAACCTGCTGAATGCTGGGATTATAGGCATGCGCCACTTTGGACAGCTGTTTCAACTTCTTAAAAAAAATTATTACTATAAAAGACACTATGGAATTAATTAACTTCAAATAGTCCCCTTTGCTTAAAACACTCTTATTCTACCATACTTGTTTGCTGAAGCAATTCTGAAAGCCTTTTTATTAGTTTAGTTGCACTTAGTATGGCTGCCTTGATGTCCTAAACTGATTCAAAACATTTCCTTTCATGGTCTTTTTTGATTTTGGGTATAGGCCATAAGTCATAGGATGCCAAATCTGGTCAGTCAGGTAGATGAGGTGACATGGTAAAATAGTGATAAGCTTATCTTCCTGTTGGGTGGCCTTTAGAAGCAGCATTCACAAAAAAGGACTTCTAGAACTGTTTTAGAAAGTGGCATGAATGATGGGGTATGTGTGTTAAAAGTGAGTATATTTTGAGGAGGATAAATGGCAATGTGTGTTTTACTGTAATTTAAAAAATCTAAACATTCATTTATGTATATTTAATATTACAAGAAAACTACTTTCCATCTGTCTTGGTTACTTTTCTCCCATTGCTGGGACAAAATACTCAATAACCAAAATTAAGGAAGGAAAGGTTTACCCAGCTCACAGCTTGTCGGCATTTCACTTCACATACTCACTGGCTCTAAGGCAGGCAGGGTGGCATGGCATACGATTAAACAGTTCATGGCAGCAGAAAACAGCAAAAGCAACAAGAGCAAAAAGGGGAGAGCAAGGCTTTTCCCCTGCCTTATATTGTATGTAGGCTCTCTGCGCCAGGATGGGTGTAGCGCTGACACCCATAATCCTAGCAATGGACCATGAATCAATTACAAACTCTAGAAGCCTGCCTCCATGACTGCATGAGGCTTTAAGGGGAACATTCAGACTCAAACCATAACACCATCTTACCAATACCTTGGTATGGTCAGAATCATTAATTTTAGGCATACTTCAAGTGCATATTTCTCATCTTAACTTGAATTTGCATTTTCACTATACAGCCCAGTCTAACCTATTTTCAGTGCATGAACTTTCCAGCTTACCTTATGGCTTCTGAATCGATGTGCACAGGTGCAATCCTTTCCAACAGAAATTTGACCATCTCTAGAAAAGGATTTGTTGGCTGCTTAGGGTTAGCAAGTTTTCGAGCTATTTCTCTCTACAGAAAGAAAAGAGTTTTACCGTAAGTATGATTTGCTTTCATGTTTGCAAGATAAAAATGATTGTACACATAAATTTAGACTTGATTAAAATTTAAGTAATTGACACAAAATATGGATAGTAGAGAACAGAAAGGGATGTGGTTTCTCTGTGATTTCTGCAGTTTGCTTCATACTTCTCCAATCAATTATTTAGTATTACAATCTTTATAAATGCTTTACTTTTGAATACCATAGAATAATAGTTTGTACCATTTGTATGTTTTTTTTTCAAATTTATAACTTGATTGAATACTGTATTTTATTTCAGTTGATTACTCTCTTTAAAAAAGGGAGATACACTCAGCGAGGCACTGTGGTACACATCAGTAGTCCTAGCTCTTTGGGAAGCTAAGGTAGCTTTTGGGCCCAAGAGTTTAAGTCTAGCAGGGACTGACAGTGAGACCTGGTCTCAAAATAAGATAGCAGTAGGAGTGAGGTGAGTGACAGAGACCAGGAAGGAGTTTGTGGAGATATTCTAAGTGACTAAGTATTTGTAAAGTTTTTAAAGAACACCACTGAAGGACAAATTACAGCCATCTACTCCCTTATAATTTTATTTATAACTTGAACATAGAATTATTTCAGGCTGTTTGATGGATCCAAGTGTAACAGTAACTGTATTGATTAATGATGGCATTACTTTAAACATGGTGGCATCACATTAAGTAGCTCCTACTTCTAGGTGGAAGTTTCTAAAGATAAGGAATTAACTACACAGTATGCAGAAAGAAATTATGAACTAGACTTTCTGGTAAAATACTTGCCTAGAATTCTGGGTTCAACCTGAACACAGGAAGGAAAGGAGGGAAGAAGAGAGAAGCGAATGCTTTTAACTGAATACTGTACTGCTGATGAATGTATGTGCATTTTAGCCAAGGAGATAATACAGACCCTGCCCCTCTATTTTGAGATGGGGGGAGGGTGTGTGTGTGTCTTAAATTGCTACGGCTGGCCTGAAACTTGAAAGATTCTCTTGCTTCAGCCTCCAAATAACTGGGTTTATAGGTACACAAGAATGCAGTCAGCCAGATAAAACATATTATATGTGTTTACCAAAGTATAATGAACACAACAAATGGTCAGCATCCTATTTTACAAGCTTTTTTCACTAAAGCAGTATTTTATTCTATAAGACAAAACAGAAAAGAAAAAATGTCTATTGTTGACATCTTTATATAAATTAACTGTAGTATTAAACTAGATATCAATTTGTTTTCTGCGTGTAGGTCCAAAGTACTAATATCCTGAGGAAAATTAATCATTAAAAAACCTGCTTTATCATTTTGTAGTTAACTAAGTGAAATGTCACGATTTGAAAAATAAAAATATTCTAGTCAGTGTTTAGGCCTAATACATTTTGTGCTAAGTTATGGGTTCACATTTTACACCTAAATTTCAATACTGTGCAATTGTTCAAACTTAGTCTCAATGAGGTACTACTCAAATGGGAATTTTTCCTCTATCCATAAAGTTTAGTTGCTTTTTGACCTAAGATAAATATGTCAGAGATTCTCTCACAAAAAAAATGAGTAATAGAAAACTGCTGTGCAAACTTAAAATAACATAGTAATAAATGCAAAAACTAAGTGCTAGAAGACAGTTAAAAGTACATGTAACACCAACAGAATAGAAAATAAACATATATATGCAATAATACTAGAAAGTTTAATTTTAACAGCCTACAGCCTTCCAACACACAAAAACTTTTAAGACCAACAAGAAATCTTATAACTGATAGCTGAGAAAGCTTCAACCAAAAATAACCATATGCAATCCTTTTAGAAAACAACAATTAGTAGAAAGATTTGTTCTTCTTTTTTGTTGTTGTTATTTGTTTTTTGACACAAGAGTCTTGTTATGCATTTCAGGCTAGCCATGAGCTTACAGAGATCCTCTTAACTCAGCTTCCCAAGTGATAGGTTTACAGGCATGTAATCCACAACCAGCTTCAGAAAGATTTTTTAGAAACAAGTTCTTTCTGAATTCCTAATAATATTTCAGAAATTTCTGATCCAATCTATGCCAAAACTGGCATAGTATTAAATACTCACAGTAGTAATATGAGTACTACTACTACTATGAGTATTTAATACTTAATCTGTTTTTAAAATTAGGCTTTTAAAAAAAAAACTTGGTCTTGCTATGTGGTTCAGGCTGTTCTTGAATCCACTATCACTTGAATCCACTTTCTTGAATCCACTATTCAGGCTACCTTTGAAATCTCAGCAACACTCCTGCCTGAGTCTCCCAAGTGCTGGAATTACAAGCATACACTACCAGAGTCAGCAAATCTAGGCATTCTTACAGAAAATTAAATTGGGTGTGGTAGTACACGCTGGTAAACCCAGCACTTGGGAGGCTGAGGCTGGAGGACTTCGTATGGTTAAGACTAGCCTAATCTATATAGTGAGACTGAGGATTAAAAATAAGTAAGTGAATAAACCACCCCCTAAAAGAACAATAAATAGTATTACATATGTACAACAAGGGTATAATGTATTAGTCCTATAATGTATTATAAAAATTTAAAATAATAGCAATAAAAATGTCGTATTCTTAAATCCCCTTTTTTTCTTTGTACAAATTTCCTCTTTCTTTTGGTGGGGGAAAGCTCACAAAGTAGTATAGCTCCTTCATATTTGCAGAGTACCTCTGTCTCTGGCAGAGGCATTCAGCCTTTCTGGGATTACAGATGTGAACCACCACATCCTATTCACCAGAATTCATTTTTAAAGAAATATTCTTTCATGCACATAGTAGTGCCTGCCATACCCTTTTTTTTAAGGTCTCTTTCTAAAAACAAGCAATTTTTGTGGGGAATTAACTTTCTCCAGAAGATGTAACTATATTCATATTTAGCAACAACACCTGAATCTTAGACTTCTAAATAGAACTATCCAGAGTCCACATATAGTTCTCTTTTATTTCTATAGTATGTCATCTGCTGTACAGTTATTCAAGTTAGAATGCAGTCATCATTCTTGACACAGTCACCAAATTCCTACTTAATCTTTAGGACTCAAATTGGGATTCAGTTATTAGAAAACAAGCCATCCCCTCACCTATTTCCACCCTTGCCTGGAATGAGTGGTGCTCCTCTCTGTCACCAAAGCACATGATTCTAGAGCAACACACAGTATTCCTTTCTGAAATATTTATTTAACTGCCTCTGTCATGTTACCTGTAAGCAAAGTGAGAAACTATGTATAATGTACATTCTAAATCATACAATATATTATAATAGTCTAAGCCTAGGCTGGGATATAGCTTAGTAGTAGAATACTTGCCTAATATATATAAAGCCCTGGATTCCACATCCTTTATCACAAAAAACAAAAAATGAACAGTGTAAGTTTGATCAAGGGACAAACTAATATTCAAACTTCTGAATATATAATGTGCATCTGGATAACTCTGCAGGGAAGAGTTTTTTAAAATGTGCTTGATGAACCAAATGGAAGGATTTTGAGCCTTTGTTGAATGATGCAAATTCTTGCTCCCAATTTAGATTTATTTGATGGATTCCTCTCGCTTGTTATGTATGTGTAAAACTATAAAAATTATCAGTTTTTTTTTTTTTTTTTTTGGTAACAGGGATCGAACTCACGACCTGGCACTTGCCAGGCAGGTGTTTATGAGCTAAATCCCCGGCCATAATTATCAGTTCTTTAAATCTACAGGAGGACAATGGCAGAGGCCCTGTATTATCCATATGTGAAATGTCATAGTATATTATTCTCTTGGAAATCCCAGGAGGTTGATGATATTTGTAAACAAAGAAAATGAGGCACAGCGATAATGAGTGACTTGCAATAATAGCAGTGACTATATACCTAAAATTTAGAACTAAGACTCTGGCTCATAAAGTGCTGAATAAAATATATAGATGACGTTTTCTTTCCAGATAGTTTCAAAGCTATTAGTTCTCTATAAAATAAAGAGTCCAAAAATAGAATGAAGACAAGTCTATCTAGGAATTTACCTTATCTATAAATGAAATCACGTATGACATTTCTAAGGTGATTTAAGCATGGATTTTTCCTTGCTAACATACAGAAGTAAATACATACATATACAGAATTTAAAATATATTACCAGCTGATAAATACAAGGTCATGAGTTTAATCCCCAGTACCAAAAAATAAAATCTATTACCATTTATTCACTGAATGTTTGCTAAATATGAAGTACTTTAGCTTGCTTAGTTCCTAAGATCAATCACTCTGGCTTATATCTCTTTTTTTTCTTGGACTATGACTGGAAAGTGGGGACCCAATAAAAAGCATTAAATTGACCACAGATAACAATGCGAAGTAGTTTAGTACTTATAATTTTGTTAAACTCACACAAATCATTGTATATAAAAAAAGCTTTAAGGAAATATGAATTTCAAGAAAAGAAAATGTGGATTTCTATAAATAGGCTAGGAGAATAATTGTAAAAATATAATGTACTAACCACACAAATGTCCGCCTGTTTGCATGAACAGGTAGGGCTGATTAATAACTCCAACTGAGACCGCAGTTTCTCATCATCGCCAAGAACCTGGTTAAATTTCTTCACAAAATCTTGTGCTTTGCCAGGATCGGGCAAATTCTCTACAAAATTAAGAATGAATCAATACCAGAAAAGAGAATTACTAAAGTAAAATCAATTGTCTTAAAATTATAGAGCCATTAAAAAAGGACAACTCATTCTTAGAAATAGTATTAACATAAGGATTATTTTTCTTAGCACTGGGTAAAAAATGGTCTCTTTTGATGTTTACTACACTTACTGGTGAAAGAAACATACTCACTTGCTATGGTCATCAGCTTTCCAAACATCGCAGAACAGTTAGCCTCTGACTGAAATTTAAAACAGAAATAAAACAAGTAGTCATATACACTAACAAATATATGTTAAGAAGAATCAGTGCTCATCATTGTACTTGTTTCATAGTTCATCACAATTTACCCACTGGAAAATGGCTTACCATATCTAAACATATCTAAAGTTGACAGCAAAGAACTGTGGAAAAGCAACAGTGCTTGTTATGACAAATTGAAGGAAAAGAAATGTTACTAAGATACTAAAAAAATTAAGAGTAGCTGAAGCACTTGAGTTAAGTTCAGAGCCAGTCTAAGAAATACATTGAGATGTGTCTCTTAAACAATGAGAATAATCTCCCCTCTAAAAACTATTTGTATTTCTACCATCCAAAATATCAATCTTTTCTTAGCCTAATTCACATTAAATTGAAATTCATTAAATGGATAAGAAGTTGGTAATCCCAAAGTAGCTCTCAATGGGTACCTTCATTTAGTTAATAAACATGCCCATCAATTTACATTGTCTATGATTGTTTTGTATATCAAGGCTGCGTTGAATAGCTAAACAGATACTGTACAGGTGATAAAAGCTAAGTCTTTATTAACTTGCCATTAACAAAAAGTTTGCTAGTCTCTGTTCTAGCACCTGTGGGCCCTCAAAGGGTTTGCTTATAGTCTCCTGGGTCAAAATGCATAAACCAGCAAACACATTTCAACATCCATTAGGAATTTCTAGCTACTTGGGAGACTAATCATGGGAGGATCACAAGCTTGAGGCCTGCTTAAGCAATACAGGGAGAGCCCATCTCAAGCAAAACAAAATAAAATGCAACAAAACAAACAATCCAAGCCAGACCAAAAACATCCAATAAGATAATTTAAGTTCTTCCCTCCCCTTTCAGAAAACTTGAGCAAAATTTAAATTGAGATATACATTATAGCATTTATCAATTCTACACTGATAGAACAGAACAATGCAGTTTTTAAAAAAAGACTTCTAACACTGAAAAAGCAGAGTTAACTCAGCAATTCATGTGAGGCCCAAATCTTCAGGATTCAAAGTGTAACACAGTTACCTCCAAGATGACCTTAGCCACTATTATCCAGCAGTAGGTATAGTATTGCCATATTAGACTGAGTGATGACAGAAGTCTGCTGGTGTACCACTTTTTCTGTTTAAGGATTTCCAAGTTAAAAAAAAAAAAGGCTAGGGTATATTTAATGTAAATGTAAAGTTCTGTAAATAGAAAATAATTGGTGTCCTATTTCAATAGTATTTTGCTGCAAAGTCATTTTTGAATTTTCAAGTGACAAATTCAAAGACTAAACTCTAAAGCATCACATACCTAGTCAATAAATAGTGAATAAAAAGAAAAAAAAAAGACTTCTAGCTTTGTGTGGTAGTACACACCCATAATCCCAGAACAGGGGGAGGCTGAGGAAAGAGAACTGCTCAGAGTTCAAGGCCAGGCTAAACTACAAAGTGAGACTGTCTCTGGGTTGGAAAGACAAGAGACAGACAGAAAGAACGTGAACAAGCATGTAAGGTGGGGGAGAGGGAGAAGGAGACAGAGCCTGAGAAGTACAACTAACATAACTTTATCTTGGTATCTGATTCTAAGTATTTGACAATTTAAAAACCACACAGGCAGGCTGGGGGATATCGCTCAGTGACAGAATATATGCTTAGTATGGAAAAGGTTTAGGTCCAAGCCCCAAGATCAAAAACAAACAAATAAATACACACGTGATAAACGAAATCACCATTTCTTTGTCCATGCCAGAAAATAAATGTTATGTTTATTTAGAATGAAAATTAAAAAAAAAAAAGCTTGCACAATTACAAAAATTAGTTTAACTGGTATGATAAGAAGTCTGATATACTTTTTCCATGCTTAATTAAATAACAGAATAGAAAAGTAAACATGATAATTCACAAATTCATGAATTTAAGTCATGAACCTACTGTAGGCTGCTTGTGCAAATCCAATAGCTCGCGTACATGACTCCGAAGCATGTTCTGACACTTCCACATTTCGTTGAGAGCTCTAAAATTTATGCATATGAAGACACGCACTATTTAACAATACTGCAAATTATTTAACATTACATACCGCACAGTTTGTATACATTTTTCTACATCTACATAAAATTTTAAGCAACTAGTTACTGAATTTAAGACACTTGGTGTAAATGGCAATGTCTTTTCATAAGGACGATCCTAAGGGCTCATATATGCTAAGGAAAGTGCTCTGCCATCAAGAGGAAACATGTATGTGAGGTCAGAAGAAGCAAAAGATTTTCCCAGGTAAATAATCTGAAAGATACTTAAAACAGATCTAGAATGTACTAGTTCAAGAAAAGATACAGTGTTGAAGTGTATGACACATACAGGAAACTGAAATCCATTTCTGTACTTGGATGTGTACAGAGTATGAGAGCATAATGAAGGTGTAGATAAGTAACACATGACAAAGGTCTTCTGAACGTGACTAAGGAATATATATCCACAAGTCTAAAAATTATTACGAAGAAAATGCATGCACAAATAATAAGAATGTACAAACAGCAAAGAGCTAAAAAATGGATCTGATTAAAGGGAGATAGCACAATGCTTCATACTTCTCTTGCAATTTTTCTCTAATTTTGAAATTTTATACACTTACTAATTGTTCAACATATATGTGCATATATGTATACACAAAGCTTAAGTCCAAACTCAAAATACTCAAATTTCTTAATGACAGATTCACTACCTTAGTATGTATTTAATAAACCAATATAAATTGTTTATATTTGGGTATACAATGTGATTATAGCATACACAGTGATACTTTTTAAAAGCTTATTAAAGTGCAATTATCATACAACCTGGTTGACCTAGGATAGTTCCAGTGCATGCCAGTTACCCAAGCAAAAGTACCTGCAGTCCCCCTGTTCAGTCTCAAACATTTTTTTTGGATAGTTAGTCATATGGAAAACATATGCAGGAGAAGTAAAATAGGCTTTCCAGACTAACACTTACTTTGAAAGAATAAAGACCAGTAGTGTAATTTAGACACTAATTACAGTATTTGGACACAGGGGATCTTTTGAATCTCTGAAACTATATTACCAACCCACGTGCCAAATATGTGTATGTATACTGGCATATCTTTGTTGTTAACAGATCTGAATTCAAATCATAATATTTTTAAAATTATTTTAATTAATAATTAAAGGTTTTTTTTTTTCTTTTTCTTTTTTCTTTTGGGGTATTGGGGATCAAACTCACAACCTTGCACTTGCCAGACAGGTGCTTACGCTGCTGAGCTAAATTCCTGGCCCTTATCTAAGGTTTTTGATTCAAAAGAAGTATCAACAACTCCATCAACAACTAACTAAATAAGATGAAGCATTTAAATGCAATCTTTAGGCAATAATTCAGTCATTTAAACAGTAACTTACTTTACAGCATTTGGATCCAAACTAGCATATAAATAATACAAACATTTCATTCTCTCTTCTGTTTCCAGGTTGTGGGGCACAAGATACTGAGCGAAGATTTTCTCTACCAACAGTCTGTTAAAAACAAACAAACACAAACCCCATAATTAGTCTATTTTAAAGAAATAGTCATTCAGGTCATTCTGTGCAAAGATACTGTATTGAGGGTAACAGCTATGCCTCCAATGGAAAACATTAGTATATGATTAGCCCTATCCACAGATCAATACAGTTATTTTTAAATTTAGAGATATAATTTCTTTTTGTGAGTTTACTTCATAATCTATTTTTAGGCCTTCCTACCTATTCTTTAGTAGTCTGGGCACTGACCACAAATTAGTTAAGCCTACCTATACCATTAAGTTACAATTCTTAAGAAACTCAATAACCTCTTCTGATTACACTTCAACTCTTTTACAATGTTGCCATGTAGTGCAAACAGGAGGATTTTCCTTCATATTATTTTCTAGAAACATGCAGACTTTATTTCCTTTCTTTTTAATGTCTAATTTCCATGCCAATACTAGAATCCTTCTTGCTAAGATTTTACCTGTTATTCACTATTACTGGAATAAAAAAAAAGAAAAGAATCTCTCATTAGCTAATAAAACAACAGCTGTTGGTGGTTAAGTAGCCACTCTCATGCAATAAAACACAGCAAAGTACTTTATAAAAATGAACTATCAGGGCTAGGGATTTAGCTCAGTGGCACAGTGCCTGCCTGGTAAGCACAAGGTTCTGAGATCAACTCCCACTACCAAAAAAAGAAAGGGAGGGAGGGACAGGAGGGAAGAAAATAAAATGGAAAGAACTCAGTAATTCATCCTTTGGTAGTGATGGCACTGCAAAAAAGGAAACTAATAAACAGGAGTTATCAAATACTGCTCTATTACAGATAGAAGGCAAGGGTGCCTTACATTCATTACATAATCTAGAAGACAATCTACAGGGAAGTGATTATTATTCCTTTTCAAGTAAAACTGAGGTAAACAGAGCAATTATCAGAGACCAAATGAATAATGGGTCTCTGGTCTACTACCTCCAAAGTCTATGCTTAAGTCACCATTTGTTATCTTATTATTTTAGGTAGAGTCTGGTGTAAAAGAAGGTACATACAAATATTTAAGTGATTTCTAAATTGAGAAATAAATTATTTTAAAACTTAACAGAAATAAAATGAAAAGCAGTTTTACAATCACTTTTTCTACCAACACATTAGACTCACTTGTCATCAATGCTATTCTGATAATAAATATGCAAAAGTTTGTCCTTTATCCAGCTGACTTTCTCAGCAGCTTCCTTTCCTGCTTCACCATGAAGACAGTATTTCTTATACAGCTGAGCCAAGCCCATCATAGCTTCTTTTCTTACTCGCCACTAGAAAGTACAATAATTATTATTAGATGTATTTATGTATAAAAACTGCCATGCCTTTACTAGGTTTTATGATCAATTTTATGAATGCACATATAGTAGCACATTTCACCTCTTATGAAAGTTTACCAACCATTTTGAATTTGTTCATATTTAAAAATCAGATTACAGAAAAACCTCTCAAATATAAAAAAACCCAAACCCACATTTCTTCAGAAATTTTCCAGTGCAGACACTTAATGGATTACCAATTCTTTCATTTCTCTCAAAATCAAACAATACTCTACAGAAGATTTCATTTCATTCTCTCTAAAAATATATGGCTACATTTTACAAGTGATTAAATGTAAAACACAAAAATGTACAATTTGCTCTGCAAAATAAAGCCCCAGGTTCTACAATGTTTTGGTTCCCAAGTAATTCCCTTTGATGTTAACCCAGAATAAGAAAAACCAAGACCAGCATTAAGATTTCCAGGACTGCAAATTTGTAAAGGACTTTTGTGATCACCATAAGTGAACTTCTTTACTTTGTAGATGTACAGGACAAATAATTTACCTAAAAATCTCCTATTAGAGCAGAACATTTGCACTTCTAGAGGTTGGTTGGGTGAATTACTATACTAGGGACAGAATGACGGTAGGAGGAAGGTGAAACAATAAAAGACTGAAGATCTACAGTGAAGACCATGATAGTGTGTAAGGAAAACCATTAACAATTCAAGGCAATACTTTAAGTTGTATGAGTTATTTTGGTCATTTTTCACTTATTTAGTAAATAGAGTGAGACTATGTCTCAGTATAGCAGTTTAATAAGTGCCTTTTGACATCTCTCACATGAAATAAAAGTTTGCAATAAAAGCTAAGATTAATTTCCCATATTTTATTACAGAAGAAAACAAATAGTAACGAAGCTGTAACCTAACTTAGACCAAAAATCAAGGTCTGAAAATGTTCACTCAGTACTATTATAACTACATCATGTAGTTTCAGTTTGGAAGTCATTCAACAATTTTGGAAACTACAGAAACATTAAAAAGGAGTGACACTTTTCTAAAAGGAGGAAATTATATAAGTAACAATAAATTAAATGAGAGGAACAGAAGGTAATGCCAACTACTAGGTGAAGAGTAATTTTATTTCATTTAAATTAAAGAGAAAAGTGGGGTGGGGGCTTCAGGTGACCCAGTTAAAAAGTTACTTAGGGTCAACTTTCCTTTCCTGGTTTAAGTGAGGCAGAATCTTCCTGTATAGTACAGTCTGGCCTTGAACTCATAATCCTCCTGCTTTAGTCTCAGGAGAGCTGGGATTACAATTTATGACTACTAAAAAAGTGAAAAACTAAAGACTACCTCTTGCTGTATTTCAAAACCAAATGCTTCTCCAGCCTCTAATTATAGCTAAACTACACATAAACAGAGGACAAGATGTTTTCAACAATGCCAAATAGAACAGTACATTGCAGGATAATTACTGTCAAAGATAGTAGATGACTATCAATCCACCTTGCCTGCCTGTCTCCTCTTCTGGTTGATACCACTATGCCCTAGCAACTCCTATTGCTGTTCTTAACATTACTTTCAGTGTAGGTTCTAACTGCATCAAACGGAGGACACAGGAAAAGTAATTAAACACATAATAATTTCTACTGATAGGTTGGCAAAACATATGGAAACATTTCTTTAGAAGTATGCTATTTGGTTTAAGGTATAATACAGCTAAGTTATAATGTGACAGTAATAAATGACAGTGTTAAGTCTAAGAAACAAAATAGGCAACTGTTCTTTTCAAATTTAGCAGGTACGTAAGATGATAGAATAAAACTTTACTGTTCTTCTATAATGGGATGCTGTAAAAGAAACCCATTCCTAAAATTTGAAAAGATCTACAAAGATAATTAAAAGATACATAAATCGATAGCTCTTTTACAATTCTTATTAATTTATCACATGGAAAAGCTTTAGCTAATATTGTACATGATAAAAAATTATATCGATTTTATTTAGCAAACAATTTAAACACAGTAAGTTAAGGAAGAACAAAATTCCTCGTATTTTACCCGTTTATCAAGTGTTCTTTCCCTTACAAAGCCAAGCAGCTGATCATTTACTAAAGCAAGGTCTCTTTTGGCAGCTGTTATTATAGTAACAATGACATCATGACGAATAGCTTCTTCTGGGTCATGTGACCTAACCTTCAAATACTCTGCAACAAGAAAAAAACTTAAACATTATCTAATTTGTCATGATTCAGAATGACAGAAAAGTCGAATGCTTTAAGTTTTTATCTATACTGAAACATGACTTGTGAAGTATGGCATGAATTAAAAACTTTTTTTGGAGACAAGGTCTCTATGTAGTTCAGGCTAGGCTTGAACTCAGCAATCCTCCTGCCTCAGCCTCCTGAGTATTGGGATTATAGGCTTGTGCCTATATGCATAACAATTTAAAAGCACTTTCAAGGAAATGGTACTCTGTAATATCATAAAATTATTTATTACTATATATATTTTAACATTGTGTTTTAGTGGAAAAGTTGAATCACAACATAGTACCTCAAATATAATTTATAAGTTCATATAAATCAAAAGACGTCAAGAAAAAAACAGTAAAAATTCTGTTAGGTATATAGCTACACCATTATATGATACAAAATCTACATTAATATTCTATAATCTTTTTTTAACCCCTAAATTTCTACCATATCACAAAAGTCCCATATAGTTAAATGAAAGTTCTGACTGTTTTAGTCAATAACATTTTGATTGAAATCACTTACTTGGTATTATCAAATCAGTAGGTTTAAATATTCTAGGTTCACATGGTAAATGATAAAATTTACTCAAAGACAATCAATTTCCTATTATTAATTTACTATATTAAATTATATAGATTTAATTGAGCCTAAACCCAATGTCATAAATAAGTTTAGTTTCTTAAATTAGGATTTCTAAAAATTCCAAAGGATCAACACATGAAAACTTCAAATAGAGTTTTATTTTATAGACATGAAATCATTTCCTATGCCATGAAAAATAGAAATCTGAAACAATGTCAAAATTAAAATCTACTCAGAAAGTGAAGCTAGGTAACAGGCTGCATTTATATTTATTTGTGTGATTATTCTAATATTTGTAATAAATGAGGTAGCTTACCTGTAAGATCCTTTGCTAAATCTGGGTGGTTCATTAAACAGTGACTGGCAAATTTCACACTTTCTAATCTCACAGGAACATGAATGTCATTGAATCTACACAGAAAATGATTGCTAAATATTAACACTAAGACAAAATACTTATTTTCAAATAAGTAATATCTAACAAGTGCTTATAAACAATAAATACATTAAAAATGCATTATGACAGCTTAGTGTGTTTTGATGGAAAATATAAAATACAGTAAGCTAAAAGATACAGAATTTCACAAAAATATTTGACTTATCATGCTAAAGCATAAAACAATATAAACATATCATCCAATTCAAACTACTCATTTTATAGACCTAAAAATTTGACAGGGCATGACTGGGGATGTTGCTCAGTGGTATAGTACCGGCCTGGAAAGCTTGAGGCCCTGGGCTGGATTTCCATAACCTCTTTCACCCAAAAGATATGCAACCAAAAAGCAAAAAAAGCCTGCTTCCAGAAAAGTTAGAGAACTGCATAAAATGTGTGAGTTACACTGCATCATCATCAAAGTTTAATGAGGCTGGGATCTACTTATATTAAAATGCTGTCTTAGGGTTGGGCAATGAAGCTCAATGCTAAGAGTGGCTACTCAGCATGCTTGAGGCCCTGGTTCCATCTGCAGAAACACACATGCTCTTTTAAAGGTCCATATAACAATTTAGTTAATATAAATAATAAGACTAAGCTTAGCAACGCAAATTGAGCAACCTTTAAAATGTATTTATTAATGACAAATGTGATTTTGGGCTATAGGTGTAGCTCAGTATAGAAGCACATGGTTAGTGTGCCTGGGGTTTAATCGTCATGACAGAGGGGGAGGGCAGATGTAATAATGTGATATATTTTTATTTTTTAAGTAATCTCATTACTAAGTAAAGTTAATGAATATCTCAATGTCTATAGTTATCTACCTTATTATTAGAGATAATTTCCTTGTTTTAATAAAATCTTACATTTGGACTTTATCACTTCCTAGCAGCCAGAGAAAAATTAAACTTTATTATTTACCATCAAGTAAACTATAAAGCAACAAAACATTTAATGTGGTAAACTTCTTGGAGAGTAAGGGCAAAAAGGAACAAGGGAGGGTTATTTACAGTGGGTATTGTAAAAATATGTTATACACATATTTTAAAAAAGTAGGACTAGGGGCTGGGGATTTAGCTCAGCGGCATAAGCGCCTGCCTTGCAAGCAGGCAGTTGTGAGTTTGATCCCCGGTACCGATAAAAAGGAAAAAGACAAAAAAAAAAAAAAAAAAAAAAAAAAAAGTAGGACTAGGGAAAAACAAGATGTTTGTAAAATGAGATAAATACTGATGATCAAACATGTTCCAGTCACTTTTTAGATCTCTGTATGCTTTACTGAGGTTCTAAGATGGTATCTATTTATTCCAAGACAATATCATAAATAAAAAAGTATTAAATGGATAAGTATTTTTAATTAAAAATTGTCCTACAATTTATTCTAAAAAAACCTGCAATGTTCAGTTGAACCCTACTGACTACTCTCCAAAATATAGAAATATGAATTTCATTTCTCTTACCGTCCAAGAAAACACTGCCAAAGAGGACGATTCTGTGTTGCCAAGTCAGAATCTTTAGAGCCAAACAATTTAGCTAGAAGTCGAACAACAGCTAATCGTTCTTCTCCATCATTGCTCTACAAAAGGAAAAGGGAAAACAAGTGAAGGCTAAGATTTTCTATCAGATTATAAAAAATGAATAACTAGAGACGATCTAATTTCATATTTCTCCTTAAAATGGTGAGATTTTAAAATATTGTTTTCACTTATTATGGAAAAATCTCTTTTATTTGATGTGAGATTATGTGCTTCTCTGATCTTACACTTTCTACCAAACTGCTAATTTATGCTTACTTCACTGATTATGTGTAATCTACACATTGGTTATTGATTTTGTACAAATATACAGATACTTCACTACTAACACTTGTCTAAAGAAAGGGAAAAGCTTCTGTGAAAGACAAAGTTGCAAAATAATACCACTCCAAGAATTATAAAAGGCCTTAAAGGATTAGTATTTTGGTTTAGATCTAAAATATCCCTCCAAAGTATCTATCATGTAGTACTCAGAAGCTGGGCTTGTTGGAAGGTGACTGGATCATGGGGATGCTATACTCATCAGCGTATTAGTGCACTGATGAGTTCAGTGTTGTGAACCAGGTGGGGCCTGGTTGGTGGTGGGTCAACTGACAGTCCTCTCTTCTCTCTTTCTGCTTGCTGTCTGCCACAAAGAGAGCAGTGTTCTCCACCATACCCTTCCATCATCTCTGTACTGGCAGCAGCTGACCAGGGACTGAATCACCTGAACCATGAGCCAACTTAAACTTCCCCACCTTAAGTTGTGCGTGTTAAATATTATGGCCTTACAGGGGAAAGCTGACTAATATAGTGAGATGAATTGAACACCACAAAAAAGTAAAACTTAGTGATTTTTTGCTAAGAGTCTCCTAGTTTCTTGTAATGAACCAATACATAAAATTTTGCTCTTGTATCACATTTTAATATAAATTACTTTGAAGCTACATGGGATGTGAAATCTTTTTTAATCACTATGTACTAGGAAAATAAATGCAATACTTAATACCTAAAAGCAACTTTTTTTTTCTAAAAGCAATTTTAAAAGTTCAAATGTAATATTTGTTTAATACAATGTCAGGTATTCAACAAACAAACTGTGGGGAAAGATAGAAATTAAAATAGAAGGCTGGGGATTTAGCTCAGCGGCATAAGCGCCTGCCTTGCAAGCAGGCAGTCGTGAGTTCGATCCCTGGTACAGATATTAAAAAAAAAAAATTAAAATAGAAAAATAAAGACCAAGAAATATAATCTTTTCCTTATGAACATTTTAACTCACAAAGAGTTTTCTGGGAAAATAGGGAGATTTATATTAAACAGAACAAAACAAAAATTTATGTCAACCTTTAACACAATTATGAGTAACAAAGTAATTTTCATTTACAAAGTTTTTCTCAAGCAAAGTGAACAATGCTAAGGGATATCACTTTTTAATAACTTAAACTTGCTAGCCAACGTAATTTATTTTGAAGAGAAAAAATTACTTAACATGTCAAACACTAGACTACATTTTATTCTACTTGTGACTAATTTAGTAGACTTCACAACTATAAACTACTCAAGTTAAACTAAATAAAAACTTGCTCTTTCTTTATTTGGTAAAATTTAAACCATATTCCTTTACTCAATGGTTAGTGATTGATGATAAACGTTTTGGTATCAGAGACCCATGTCTCTGATGTGCTGCTATATTGTTAAGTCTATGTCAAAGTAAGTATTATCACATTATACACTAAATTACAAACACATATTGGAGCCAGGTGTGGTGACATACACCTGTAATCCTAGCACTCGGAAGGCTGATGCAGAACTGTTGGGAGTTTGAGACCAGCTTGGGCTACAAAGTGAGGTCAGCCTAAATTGCATAGTGAGACCCTGTCTCAAACTGTCAAAAAAAGAGGTAATTTTATACAGAATTAGCTGACTAGTTTTAATTTTTAAAAAAAACAGAGTCAGGAAATTTATGAAAAAGGTCATGTTGATGTTAACTTTATAGCACAGTTACAAAATCGAATTGGATCAGTGAAGAAATGTAGATACAAAATAAAGGAGTAACGGATGGCATTACTGAGGTCTAACTATTTTGTAGTCATATAAGAAACAAGGGCCCATTAGTGCTAGATTGTCTAATGTTTTTCAAAATTGAAAATGCATACATCTGGATTTATTTTCAAGCTAGATTCAGCTTCTCAGCATCTCTGCTTTAAATAAATGAACCTGTACACACATGTATATACAACAGTACAAGCAGCCATTACAGCACGGCTTCCCTCAGCTTACATTAAACGCACAAAAATAAATCTAAGACTAATTTGTAATCTATGCATACCATATATGACAGTAGTCTTGTCTGAGAATTAAAAGGGATTGACTCTACATATTTAAATCTATGACAGGTTGAAAGAAAATGTTTGAATGCCTTACAGAAAAAAATAATTTACGCGTATGTATTTTAGGAGGTTAAACAAAAACACTGTATCTTGTTTCTTATCTCAAAATTTTAAAAAACACCCAATTTTAGTTTTACTTATATCAGAGTTTCAGTTAAAAATCAAGGGGGCTGGAGATTTAGCTTAGCGGCATAAGCGCCTGCCTTGCAAGCAGGCAGTCGTGAGTTCGATCCCCGGTACCGATAAAAATGAAAAAGACAAAAAAAAGAAAAAAAAAAAAAAGAAAAATCAAGTAAAACATTATGTATAGTGATGCACAGTGATGCAAGCCTATAAACCCAGCAACTCAGTAGGGAGAGACAGGAAGACTACAAGTCATAGGCCAACTTGTGCAATTTAGATTGTGTCTCAAAATGTAAAATAAGCTGGGGATTTAGCTCAGTGGCATAAGCGTCAATCCTGGCAAGCGCAAGGTCGTGAGTTCAATCCCCAGTACCAAAAAAAAAAAAAAAAAAAAAAAAGATAAAGTTGAACAAAATGTAAAATAAAAGAACTGTGGTTGTGACTCAAGTGGTAGAGTGGTTTCCTAGCATGCTCAAGATCTTAGGTTCCATCGCCAGTACTACAACGAAACATATAAAAAGAAAATGTAGAGTTAGGCTTTAGCCGCATGCGATGATTCACGCCTATAATCCCAGCACTTGGGAAACAATAAGGCAGAGGCTACCTTTGGCAACATAGTGAGTTCATGCCCAGCCTCATTTACATAGCAAGACTCTGTCTCAACTGCACCCTGCAAAAGTTAGGCTCTAATGTTTAGTTAAGACGCTGGATCAAGTGTAAGCTTTTTTTTCTTATTTTTGCTGTTATCCTTGCTAGTTGTAGTAGTAACAGTATAGTCTCAACAAATTCAAACAAGTGTTTGATTTATTCCATAAAAAGGTCATACAATTCTAATTGAAACCTTTGGAATACTCAATTTAAAACCCTCTTTTAAAAAAACCAAACACTTAACCTATTATCAACATAGCATATATTGTAAATTTTAGGATAACAATATTTTTTGGTTTATCATTTTAACATCTAGTATAACTTTGCCACATAAATTCTCAACCAAATGAGAGTTTTCTGAGAAATGTATACTTGAAAAGGAAGATGGTAAATTACACTCTTAATAGTTAGAAACTCTCCAATATATCCTTTAAACTTAAAGGCCTTGAAAATTAATCAATCCTACCTTCAGTTTGAATTCAAGCTGCGGCATGACAGATAATAACAAATGAGGATCTATGGCAAAAAGTTCCTGAATCAGATCAAATACATGTTCTGACAAATCACTTACTGATGATCTTCCCAGCACCAGGACTTGATTGAAAAACTAAAGGAGATATTAAAACAATAATAGGTTTTTCGTTTAAAAAATTTTGAATCACTTTATGAATGTGTTTTAAAAAAACTATTATATAGTCAGGCATTGCATACAAAACTGAAGGAGATGATACAGAATAAGAATTGATAATAAGATGTTTGAATTATTAATATATAATAAGACAGTCATCAAACAAAAGAATATACTTCCCACTAATATCAACTCACAAATATTACAAGTAAAAAAAGATTGGATTGTTTACCTGTGTTTCAATGAATAATTGTCTGTACAGTTTACTATAGAGAATTTTATAGAGCTACTTCCTTATAGTAGAGAAAAATGTTCAATTCTCTGCACCTGTTTCTTATTTAAAACTTTTTTCCATTGGTTTGCTAATAAACAGTATTTAAAGATGAAAAGTTTTTGTTCATTTGTTTTTGTCAGTGTAAGAAAAAAGGTAAATACATTTTGACTCAAGACACAAAAAGAAGAAAAAACTGGTGATACAAAAACTAGTTAATAATTTAAGAGAGAGAAAGAATATATGTAATATTAAGGGCGTAAGTTAAAAGCTATTCCTCCTTCCCCCAGCACCTACACACTCAGCAGAATGAATTAAATGTAAAAGTGTTAAGGAGGCAGCTGTCCAACTGATACAAGCATGCTTCTGATATCACAGAATGATAAGTATCTTTCAAGAACCAACACAAACTAAGTTTCAAATATTCATTTTTTCTCTAGCATAGCCAATTAGAGAAAGATGCACTTCAAAAGCTTTGAAGAGAGACACTGATAATGCAAGTATTCTCAAATGAGGAGGCAAACACACCACAGACAGAAAATTAAATTGAGATGAATTATATAGATAGAAATAAACATCTGGATTGCTGAAAAAGGAAAATGACAGGGTTGGAGGGGTGGGGGAGCTGGTTCAAAACTTCCCTGACCCCCTTCCCTCAGCAAACATGCCATCTTGGAAGCAAGTTCTAAAGGCCCAAAGAAAGGAGACAGTGCTGCAGAGGCCAGGCTCAGGAAGAGGCTCCTCTTACACACTCTTCCCTCTTTTCTCTCTCCTTCCTGTTCCCTCCACACCCCAAACTGATTCCTAATAGCAGCAGAGTAAAACTTGTAATGATCATTAATAGAAAGATGAAACTGTCAAAAACAAATTTAAATGTTCATGATTGATGAATGCTGGATAACCAGCAGCAATTATTTCCTGACAACAAAGTGACTAGGTCCAATCCAATTAAACTGAATAGACAGGGATGGTGAGGCAGAAGGATCATTGCAAATTTCAGACCAGCCTAAGCTGTACAGTGAGTTCAAGGCCAGCACAAACTGCACGGCGAGACCCTGTCTCAAAGACAAAAACAAAAACCACAAAAACTGAATAGAATGAAGTGACAAAGGCAATATATAACTAGAAACAGAACTTAACTACAGAGATTTTCATTCCAGCAATCTCCTCACTCTACTTGATCTCAAACCCTTAGTACCATACATGTAAATATGAAAAAAAAGGGACAAAATGCTTGCAAAAACTCTTCTACCCTCAAAGTAGATGAAAAGAACTCAAACACCAAACAAGCAGTCTGTACACAACAATTAAAGCACTCTGTACACATCAAAGAAACTCAGTAACCTCCAAAATGATACAACCAAAGTGCAGTTAAATCAATGTATTTAAGAGTCAAAAAATTAGCAGAGCTAACTGAAACTATTCAAAATATAAATGAAAACTTTTACTAAAGAGTCCACAAAAAAGTGCCAAACAGAAATCCCCAAAATAAAGAATTTTACTGAATATATGAACACCAGAAGTAACCACTGGGAGGAAGAAGTATGTGACCGTAAGGGCAGACTTAAAAGACAAGATCATATACTCCTAGAAACCAGAGAAATTTTATAATCATTTGCATATTAAAATCATTCATGAATATTCAATGGCTCACAGAAGAAATTAAATAATTCCTACAGAAAATAATTCCAGTACAACATACCAGAACCTGGTATACCAGGACACAATGAAAACAGTCCTAAGAGGGAAGTTTATTGCTGTAAATACAGTAGAGCAGAGCAAGCGCAAACAAATAACATCACAAGGTACCTAAAGGTCCTAGAAAAACAAGAGCAGTTAAACTCAAATTTAGTATGAAGAAGTAAATCATAGATTAAAGTGGAAATTAATGAAATTGAGACAAAAACTACAAAGGATCAATGTACAGTTTAAAATACAGCATGCTTTCTCTTACATGAGAAACCCAATGTATGAATAATTCAAAAATAATGAAGATATGTTAGGTACACGTGCCTACTCCCTAAGATGAATGTAAATGTACTACAAACATGTATTAATAAGAATAAAAAGAACATGATGAATCATACTACTTCAAATTCTTTACGAAAGCCAAGTTAAATTTTTTAACTAGCTATGATTTGAAATTAAACCATGGTTTTGTTTTAAGTGAATTGAGTATTGTACCTTCTGTTTAGCTGACAAATGAGTGAATTAAAGGATGTGTTTCTTTAAAACACAAGTAACTGATTCTAACTGTTCCATCCACTATCCTCTGGTCCCATGTCCAGAATACCCATTAAAGAAAACTTCAAGGCCAGCCTGAATTACGTAGTAAAACCAGTCTCAAAAAACAAAGTAAGGCAAAAATGAACAAGGATACATAAAACACCAAGGCTGTATGTTTTTTTTAGGGCTACCCTTTTAAAAATAAATTATACAGTGAAAGTGTTGGCTGGGCATGGTAGTACATGCCTATAATCCCGGCAGTCAGGAGGCTGAGATAAAAGGACTGCTGTGAGTTCGAGGCCAGCCTCAATATACAAGACCGTTTTCTCAACAGCCTAAACTACACAACAAGACCCTATTTCAATAAATAAACCAAAAAAACCAAATAAAACTGTCTTACAGAAAAAACTTATGAGTCCTTACAAATAATGAAGAAGATAGTTTTAATAAGCTAATCACAGAAGCTTGGAAAGCTATTTGTGGAACTATATATGAAAATGATCAGTGACGGTTACTTCTGCAAAGTAAAAATACAGTATTCTACTTGAAAAACGTTTCACTGTGTATTTTTTTATACCACTTGAAAATCTTTTTTAACTCATTTAAAAATTTAGTAACAGAATACTAATATTACATGATTTAAGTTAACAAATCCTTAATTTGGTTTTTATGAGAAAAATATTCAGTAACAGATAAATGTTACACGTACAAAGATTATTTATAAGGGAAAACACAAAAGAATTTCAATGCAAGACAATAATTAAATGGTTATTACCAACTTCAAAGAACATTTATAGTCATTGGTAAAATATTAATTATTATATTAAGATAATATTACAAATCTTTTATTTTATCTAAACTACTGAGGAGAACAAACTTTCTGTGTGTGTGGGGGGGGTAACAGGATCTAACTTAGGGTCTTGCACATGGTAGACAAGCACTGAGTTACATCCTAGCCTCTAGTCAATAAATTTTCTAAAGAAGGTATTTATATAACTATATAAGAAGGATAAACAGAAGGGTTTTTAATAATGATCTAGAAGAAACAGAAGAAAATGTATAAATTAAGACATAGATAGTCTCAGATGAAGATGGAGAAAATAAAGGTAATTAGCATACCTTGGAGATGATAAGAAAAATAGACACAAATACAGAAGGAGTGGGAGCTGTAGATACATTTTCAAAAAATAGCACCCGTCTTAAACCATCTAAAAGCAATGCTAATAAAAGCTTATGAGGTCATGCTGCATTTCTTCCACTTGTATGTGAGATACATAAATATTTTACATTTGCTCTAAACAGATTAAAGTTGTTTATAGGATAAACGTGTATGTGAATGGTTCTAATAAACAGTGAATAAAGAATTACACAATTATAGAACAAATATAGAAAAAATACATACATTGGCAATGCATGCCTCAATAGTCTGAACTGTCCTCTTTAAGAGGACTTTTGCAAGGTCGAAGGACTGTTTATTTAAGTTCTGAAAAAGTAAAAACACACAAAGTTACAAATTAGTGAATTTATGAAAAGCACCATTAGAACATTGCAGTATCCTACTCAATTAACATGAATAAAAAATATAACTGAAAACTATTCAAGATTTTACCATATTCTGTGGTCAAGTGGTCTTAAAAGTCACAATTTGAACTCAACAAATAAAAAATTAAAGTGTACTGGACAGCCAAAAGTGTAACCCTATATTATTAGTTTTACTCAACTAATATTGGACTAAGCCTTTTTTATTTTTTTCTTTAACTTGCATGAGCTATGCTCACTCCCACCTATCTTAAAACACCACCTTTGACTCCCTCATTCTAACCAACGACAGTCAGCATTTAATTACTTAACCACTACACATTCTGAGAAAAAGAGGACCTGGAAAGTTTCCAAATTAAAAAAAAAAAAGGTTCTTGATCGATTTTATGCTAGAAATGGTGAATACTGTGCTCCCTCTTTAAGTCCCAGGGCACTATAACAAATTAAAGGGCTTGAGAAAAAAATAAGTCATTGACAAATGTTTAATTTTGAAGAGAACTTATTGAAAAAGGTATTTAAAAATTACCTGCTCACATCTCTATCCCATTTTGGATCAAACTGAGGTTGATTCACCATTTTTGCCCTTGTCTCAAATAGGTACATATTCATGATGAGGAACCTTGGGGATGGGACCCAAATTTCCAACATAATTCATATAAACCTTTTATACCGAGCCTAAAGGTAATTTTATACAATATTTTTTGGAACTCCTGTGTTTTCACTACAGTTTATCACAAAAGATCAGTCGTGGAATTTTCCACTTGTAGTATCAGGTTGACAAAAGATTGTGCATTTTGTAGCATTTCAGTTTGGAGATGTAAAACCTATTTTTCCTATTTATCTTTACAACAGATGTTAGCAACTTTGGCACATGATTTTATTTTTCTCCTTTTTGTATTAGAACTTCTACCTTTTCACTTAAATGAAGCATGTTATGATTTCGCTTTGGCATTATCGGAAAAGCCAGGCTTACTACTCTAAACCTTTTGAGTCATATAAGTAAAATAAGGGTTATCTAAATGCAAACACCGTAATACCAAGCCATCTGATTCCAGACTTGACTATAAATCACTAACGGACTGATAGCATATACAATGTAGATAGGATGATCAATGAAATGATTCATGCTGGCCAGGACAGAGCTGGATAGTGTATTTCATCACACTAGTTAGAATAGTATGCTAATTCAAATTTATGCATTATTTTTAGAATTTTCCATATAAGGCTTTTGGACAGTGATTGACCATGTGTAACTAAAAAGGTGGCAACTGAAACCACAAATAAGAGAAGACTACTGTACTTACATAAATATGTTAATAGTTGAGATTTGATCCATGAGCCATAGATAGCTTCCTGACCCCTGTTCTAGACTTTTATTCCATTGGCAAAAGGATAAATTAACTAAAGTTAATGTTTGTTTCTTAAGAGTATATACTTTCTATTAATAAAATAGAATATATCTGGCTAAAATATAAACTTCAAACATACTTGCTAAGATTTTTCTTATTCTGCTTGAGATACCCTTTTTGCCATCCTCTATTTTCTACCAACTATATTCATGTGAATAAATGAATATTTTTTAAGAATCAAGAGAATATTTAAAAGAATCAAGAGAATTTGAAATTAATCACATTCTGAGAGTAAGTATAGTTAGACACACTAACACCTGACAATAGGTTACTGAACCATTAGGGCAAAAGAACAGGAGGGTAAATATTAATACTGGGGGAAGGTAGGTGTGCTAAGAGTAAAGCTCAGTGGTGGAGCCTGTAGAAAGCCAAGTCCTTCAGTTTCCTAGAGGACCTGGTAGAGAAAATAGAGAAAGGAAACAGGGAGAAATGCCACAGCTCTCAAACACCCTTTTCTCCATAAAAGTAACTAAATAATTCCCATTTATGCTTAAATCTTCTTCTGAAAGTGCCTATAAAAAAAGTCCAGTATGAGTTCTGAAAAGAAATCCAAACTCTCATGTTTCATATTTATATTACAAAGGATAAAAGACATTTCTTTACCAGACAAAACTAAAAACCACCACCCCAAGACTGCCTTGTAATTCCCAGGTGGGTTATGAGTCATGAATACAAAACATTCCTACTCTCCAGAAACAAGAACTGAATCAAAACCTTACATAATCTTAAGTGTATTTTATATAATCTTAAGCATAAATACATCTACTAAAAATAATAGCTACAAGGCATATGTGCAGCTCTATTTTATTAGAGACAAAAGGGTAACATTGGAAATGATTAAATGTGATTATAAATTCTCAAAAATCAACCATAGCACCTTTAAATATTAATCTCTCATATCTCCACACTATACAGACCTTATGTGCAGGAATGAGGTTAATAAGTATGGAGTCCAATAATTCTTGAGTAACTCCATCACCTTCCATGATGATAGAACTCATCAAGTCTAGCATGTGCATTTGTACCTTCTTATTGTGGCTATTGCTAAAAAAGGAAATAAAAAAAATTGATGCACACATAAAGACAATTAAACTTCCCAATTTAAAACAATAATCTCAATCTATAAAGATTTTCACATGAGAAAACAGTGGCAACAATGCCAAAGAAATTTTGGCAGGTATATTTACTTCTCCCCTTCTCTGCAGTTTACAGATGTAAAGTATGGTAAAGTATTTCACAAAAATTAAAATCATCCTAACTGGCCTGGGGGTTAGCTCAGTGGCATAAATGCCTGCTTGGCAAACGCAAGGTTATGAGTTCAATCCCAGTACCAAAAACAAACAAATAAACAAACAAAAAACCCATCGTAACTTTTAATGAAGTACATTCTGCAGACACATATGCACATACAACCTGCCTTGAAAGGAATGGCATCCCAAGAAAATTGATGCATTATAAATACACAAGGAGGTTTAAATCATGTAACCTTAAATAACAAAATTGACTTGTCTAGCACTGAGTGGTAATATTCAGAGATAAAAGCTAAAAAGTTGGTAGAAAAACTGTTCACACTGTTAGATGCACTGTTTTCACAATTCTGATAAAGATGCTTATTTTGCATACCTCTCAACTATCTTGTTTACTTTACAAGATGCCAGTAAATGTCTATCTAGCATAGGGTGAACTAGAGAATTAGATGCAAAATCTGAGTACTTGAGTCTCAGACCCATAATTACTTGAGGGTAGGAAAGGAATGCAACAATAAAGAGACTCAAAATTATTCCACAAATTCTGCAAGTTTAAATCAGTAAACTCAGATTTTCACTTCTGGCAAGAGTTGATTACAAAAATAGACTTTTCCTAGTATCTATAGCAACTAAAAACCAGGTAAAATATATGAAAATAGCTGTTTTCAGATACCAGACATGATGTACATACATGGTACAATTTTCCTAGCTTAGGAAGGTAAGTTTTTGTCTTCATTTAGGATGGGTATTTAAGGAGACTAAAATTTGCGTAGGAGAAAGCTATTCAGCACAAGCTCAAAGAATTTCAAATGTTTACTGATCACAAGGAAAAGATTCCTTGATTTGGAGTAAAGAACTCCCTGAAAGTACCAGAATGATCCCTAAAGCTCAGAAAGCTTTCAAAAGTAATCAGAAGGGTATATATAAACTCACAATCACTAGAAGCTCAAAAGATTCTCAAAAGTATAAGAAACAGAAAAAAAATCAGTGTAATACATTATAACACAATCACCTAAAGTGAACAATGAAGAGAAATCCTAAATGCAATCTGAGAAATAGAAGTAAATCATATACAGAAAGACAAAGAGTAAAAACAAAAAATAGCTTCTTGGAAACAAAAGCCAGAAAAAGATTGTGGAAGAAACCCTAGCAACCTAAACTCTGAACACTGAACAAAATGAATATGGAACAAAGACTTTTTCAGGTACAGAAAAGATGACAGAATTCCATTACCTGCAGGACTAAACTAAGTAAATGTTAAAGTTCTTCAGGTTGAAAAATAAATTATGCTAGATGTAAATCTGCATTTATGCAAACAAATGAAGAATATCAGAAATGACAAATGTATAAAGTTCAATCAACAAGTGCTTCTTTTTGAAAATACTTATTTATTCTTGAGACAGGGTCATGTTATACAGTTCAGGCTGGCCTTGAATTCACTATGCAGGCCAGGATAACCTGAACTCCTACCATGCTTCCTGGCGAGCTCTTCTTTTTTATGGGCAAGTCTTTGTTTACTCATATTGTTGTAAATTATTTGAATTATTAGGTAAAACAATGTAAACAGTCTCAGATTCATGCCATAAAAACACTAACAGGCTCAAAGAAAACTATGTGTACATATAAGTAACCCTGAAAGGGAAGACTGGTAGAGTTGAAACAACAGCAGTGATGAGGTAGATTTAGTATACAGTTAAGGTCCAAGAAGCAGCAGAACGAAACTAAGTTGTTATTGGTGGTGGTCATTATAATCTCAAAAGAAAAACCCTGCCCCAAGTCCTGCAATATAAACAACGCTCACTAATCATTCCCATTCCTGTAAGCATATCTCTATAATACTCATTCTTCCCTCCATCAAGATACTGTATAGAGGGCTGGGGATATAGCTCAGTGGCCCAACACCTGCCTGGCAAGCATGAGGCCCTGAATTTGACTTTTGGTACAAAAAAAAAAAAAAAAAAAAAAAAAAAGATACTGTATAGAGTGGAGGATTTAGATGTGTGGCTCATTAGCAGAGAGCTTGCCTAGCACATGCCAGGCCCTGGATTCAATCCTTACCTAGCACCACAAAGAAAAATATAGTAACATGTAGAGTCTATCCAACCAACACTTAAATCTGGTTTTGTATGAGTGTCTTGCACTATGGTCTTGATGAGCCTACCAATGTTTGAAAATGGCTTCTGAAGTAAAGTTTGCCATTTCTTGATTCTGAAACCTAGTCAGTGTACCAAGAAGTTGGCTTTGCCTGGCGGGTGATGAGAAGACATGTAACTCGGTTCTTCTATTATTTCAGCCAACCACAGAAGACCACAAACTTGGGAGAGGATTCAGACCAGATAAAACAGCTGAGCAGAATTGTGGGATAAAAAAAATGTTGGCCACTTTACACAATTTAGGATGATTTATTATGTAGCATAAATTAATACAAAAGTAAGGTTTACATATTCTATCAATTACTCTGGGGACTGATGGAGTCAAAATACACAATGTTTCTGTAAGTTGTAGCTCTAAATCAAGGTTACACTAGACATTTCCTAGTTATTCCAGGCTAACATCTAATCTATAGTCTATCAAAGAATCAGAGAACGGGGACTTAGCTCAGCAGCATAAACACCTGCTTGGCAAGCGAGAGGGCGTGAGTTCAATCCCTGGTACCAAAAAAAAGGGAGGGGAAGGGGTCCTGGGGTTTAGCTCAGTTGGCAAGGACAAGGTTGTGAGTTGAATCCCCAGTACAAAAAAAAAAAAAAGCCCATTGTTGGGGCTGGGCGTTTAGCTCTGTGGCCAAATGCCTGCTTAGCAAGCAGGAGGTCTTGAGTTGATCCCGGCACCAAAAACAAAAAACCAAACAAACAAAAAAAAACCCCACAAAAGGTTGGGGATTTAGCTCAGTGGCATAAGTGCCTGCCTGGCAAGTGCAAGGTCATGAATTCTATCCCGGGTACAAAACAAAAAAAAGATTCAATATTCCTAAAAATCTATGTAAGATTCTCAAAATGTGCTATCTGGTATGCAAGCTATTAGCTATATATGGCTACTGAACACCTGAAGTATGAATAAAGCCATATTATTAAAGAGAAGATTCTTTTTATTAAGCAATCATACTATGTTTCTGGCTTCGTTTGTAGGGGAAAAGAGCTGACTGAAACAATGTTTACTTTTAAATTTTTCTCTGCACGTTTAGGGATGGAACCTGGGACCTGATGGATGCAAAGTGAGTGCTGTTGTGCTGAGCTACATCCTCACCTGACTTTATTTTTAAAATCTGGAGTTAGTATCTCACTGAATTGTTCAGGCTGGGCTCAAATCTGCCTCAGGCCTCCAAAAGCTGTAATTAAAAGTGTGTATCACCACACCTGGCTTACCATTATTTTTTCTAGCTCTAAAAGAAGAAGATATCCAAGTCAGTTAATTTATGAATTGAGCTATTATTATGTCTTAATAGTAGTTGTGTATGGGATATGCATGATTTGTGCCTCGTAATCTCAAGGTCTTGTACCATTTGCTTAAACAGTATGCTGATAATACTGTACATTTCTTCAAAACGAGCTCTTTTTAAATGTCATTACTATCCACAGCCACCAACACAGAAGAAGGCACACATGAGACAACCATTCAGGGAACAGAATTTTTGTTTCTTTTCCACTTCATATTAAGTTTTAAGGAAAAAAAAAACCTATATAATTCTAAAAGACTTTAGTACAGATATATACAGCACATGACACTTTGATATATTTAGCAAGAAAAAGATAAGCATATATGCTTAAATAACAACTTACTTGATCACTGAGAAGAGAGTCCTAAAAAGCTGAATAAAAATTTCATTGCAATCTTCCAATTCGAAGCAGATATTATATGATTTAACCCAAGCTAAATTCTTAAATAAAAATAAATATTTAATTACACATGTACAGAACAATCACAGAAAAGCAAACTCACTATTAAAATTTAATTGTTAAGAGTTAGGAATCTACATAAAAGCTTATAAAGATCTGACACAAATTAGACATTTACTTTTATCTTTAAAAACGTAACTGAGGGACATCAATTTTTCCAATTGATTAACACTACATATTCAGGGATTGATACAAACACACACATTGAGACAAATATATTAATATATAGATATTACAAATTTTAAGGAACAGTGAACATATATAAACAGGAGAAAAAACAGGAGAAAATAAGAGACAGTTTTAAATAATCTCGTGTTTTTTCAGTAGATTAACTCAGGTTATGAGATACAATAGTAAGATTATATTTTCCTCATAAAAAGTATTTTACTACTGCACTTCGAATGAAACAGAAGTTTTACATTATAAAATTGGTGTACAGAATTTGCTACTACGTGAAATAATGTGCTATTAATTAAGTAAAGTGTTACTTTTACCTCTAATAAATAAAAGTATCTATTAAACTGTGGACTCTTTGTGTCTTCCAAACCTTTTAATTGTCTGGTAATAAACAAAAATATGTCCTGTTAAAAAAATAACAAAACATTAATTTAGATACAAATTCTTATCATTCTTTCATGACATACAAACTACAAAAAAAGGAACTCATCCTTTAGCTGAATGCCTTGGGATTGACCTACTCCATTATTTAAAATCATTTAAAAACAAAACCGTATCTTTTAAAATCAAAAATATAGGTAATTTCTATAAATCTTCACCTTCTCATTTTAAGAACACAGAGTTTATATATCTCATTACTTTTCCTATTATCGCACTTCTACTTTTCTTGCTACCTTATCTTCCATCATGGCAAACAATTATTTATTTTATTTCTAAGGAACTGAATACAATTCTTTCCATTACTAGTTGCTGTGCGTAAACAGTCATTTTCATCACCTGGTTTTGAATTTGTTATCTGACTTCAAGGCTGTATGAAACAAAGGCAACAGATTAGTTTACTTTTTAAAATTTATTTATTTATTTTGGTAGGAGGGGAGACTGGGATCAAACTCACAACCTTGTGCTTTCCAGAAAGGCACTTATGCCACTGAAATAAATTCCTAGCCCTATGTCTGTTTTTTGAGACAGAGTCTTGCATTGTAGTTCACGCTGACCCTGAATTCACTATGTAGCTCAGGCTGCCCTTGAACTCTCAAGAATACTCCTGCCTCAGCCTCCCAAGTGCTAAGATTACACCACAACTGGGGGCTGGGGATTTAGCTCAGCGGCATAAGCGCCTGCCTTGCAAGCAGGCAGTCATAAGTTTGATCCCTGGTACCGATAAAAAGGAAAAAGATTACACCACAACTGACTGCTTTTTGCTTTTTTCAGACAGGGTTTCACTATGTAATTTAGGCTAGTCTTAAAACTCACTACGTAGCTCTAGGTGGCCTCAAATTCACCGTGATCCTCCTGCTTCAGCCTTCCAAGTGCCAGGATAACAAATATATACCACCCACATCCAGCTATTCATATCGTAAGTTTTAAAACTCCATTATTCCTTCAATCATAATATTTATTGTCTATCAAAATAAGTGGTATTCTTGAGGTATTGAGAAGTGCTGTGTTCAACTTTTGTAACAGCATAGAGTTCTACTTTTTTCTTGCTGTACTGGGGATTGAAACCAAAGTTTGCACTGAGTTACATCCCCAGTCCCTGCATTGTTTTGAGATACGGTCTCAATAGGTCACCCAGATTGGAATAGAATTTGATGATCCTCCTGTCTTAGCCCTCTGGAGTATTTGGGATACAAGCAGGTGCCACCACACTCAGTTAAACTCTTTACTATTAACTGTAATTGTTACTCTCTTGCTGTACCTAACTTATAAATTATGCTTTATCATAGGCATGTATTTATAAGAAAAAAAGAGTATATGCTGAGTTCAGTGCCATCTATAATTTTAGGTATTCACTGGTGATCTTACAACGCATCTCCTTGAAACGAGCAATTAGTGGAGTGTAAAAATCTTTTGTGCCATATTTATATTACTTGGAGCTTAAAACTTCTGGAGAATGCTTAAAAAATAGACCAGCTGGGTGTAGTGGCACATGCCTGTAATCTCAGCACTCAGGAGGCTGAGCAAGAAGATTGCTGTAAGTTTTACACCAGCCTGGATTACACTTTGAGTTCAAGGCCAGCTTGCACAACATAGTGACTCTGTCTCAAAAACAAAACAAAAACACCAAAGAGTGAAACAAACCTTATGATACAACCTTTCTTTTCTTTAAATTAACACTGAAATTCTGAGAGTATGCTATTTGATGTTACTAGTTGGTTAGTTTTTCTATTTTTGTTTTGTTTTCTTTTTTGGTCTAGGGATTAAATCCAGAGCCTCAAACATACTAGGCAGCTTCTTTATTATATAACTACAACCCTAACTTATACTCTTTAAATGATGAGAATAATTAATAAATTGATACGTGCTCATAAAGGTAAGCTACACTATAAATATAAGTGTAAAATGATTCTGTAAAGGGTGTACTTACCTTAAGTTTATCATGAGAAGTATATGGAGCTTCGGGGGCATAGATTCGAAATATGTCAGCTAAACAACATGCTACAAGGAGACGCACATCTTTATTAGGGTTCCTGAGGAAGAATTCAGATGCAAGATGCAAGGCTAGTGGGAGATACTGCTGTTTTTCATCTTCTGAGTCCTGATCCATATCCATGAAAGTTTTCACTACCATCTGTAAAATACATATAAAAGAACAGAATTCACTCATGAAACTTAGTAATCACTGGCAGGAAAAAATATTACAAATTATCTGTATTAACACCAGACTTTTGAAGAACTTAAAATTCTCAATTTATTCAGATGGGGAGTGGGGGCCTCCCAGAAGGCTGCCCAGGCTGGTCCTGAATTCCTAGACTCCTACTGATTCAGCCCCCTGAGTAGTTGGGAACACAAGTGTGTGCCACTGCATCTGCTTTTCATTATTGACTTCATATCTATCCCAGGTAAAAGTTCTTGGCCCTGCATCTACCAACAAATTAATCTGGCATTTGGCTAAATCATCAATTATGTATCCTTTATATTTTATAAGCAAAGCTGCTTTCTAGGCTCCTTACAACTATTTTGTTTGATACTTAATGGGATTTGTATTTCATAATAGAAAGCCTATTTTAAATATATTCATACAGTCATTTCTGATTAAAAATTTTAGTTGGGCATACTGGCACATATCACTTAGGGGAGGACTGCTGTGAGTTCACCTGGGCTACACAGTGAATTCAAGGATAGCTACATAAATGAGATCCTGTCTCAAAAAACCATGTTATAATTACAAATAACTTCTATTATTATTAGTGACTATTAACAAGTGCTTATTTATTAATTTTGAATATTTTTGAGGGTAGGAATCAAGCCCAAGTCCTTCCCTGAACATATAGTACTAGACAAGTGCTCCACCATTAAGTAAAATCCAAAGGAAGGAAGGTAGAGGGAAGAAACAAAAAGAGGCATAGTGTGTTATGTATGTGTACCAACTCCCCACTAGCTACTGTATACGGCAGACATGTATTAATAAACACTGAAAAAGCTATATCCTAGCCTCACAAATATACATTCTAGAATCAGCATAAAAGCCAGGCATGGCAGCACCTGCCTGTAATTCAAATACTTGAGAGGCTGAGGCCATGAGTTTGAGGACAGTCTGGGCTATCCAGTAAGTTCAAAGCCAGCCTAAACTACATAATTTACCTAAACTGTTAAATCATAATTTAACTCAACTGTTTTTGGCATAGTGCAGGCAGAGAGTCAGACAGATCCGCCTCTGCCTGCCGGGTGCCACCACCAGAAGGCCCTTTTTCCGGACGGACAGTGCAGGGAGAAAAAAACCAGCAGATCTACCTCCACTTGCAGGGAGCTGCCACTGGAAGGCTCCTTCCTACAGGTAGGTGGCCAGCAGGAGTAGGGACATGGCCAAGTAAGCCCTGTGCACTTGTAGGCTACCACTGGAGGCCCTTGGTTCCTTCAGGCAGCCATCACCCAATAGCAGAATCACATAAATACACCCCTGTGGGTCTGTCACCATTGCAGGAGTCCCAGTGCAGACACTCAGGCTGAAAGAAGCAGCCCCACCTCCACACACCCCTGAACAGCAGAGAAGCCTCAGCTGCACAGGTCTGAAGAAGTCAGCTCCACACCCTGCTATCTCCCTGTAAACCTGGGGTTAGAGGGACCCAGGTGCCTGTCCCACTCCCCTACACCGCAGAGGGGCAGCCAACATGGGAAATGCCTGGGGCCCCACAACTAGCTTGCTGGGAGGAACCCAAGAGAATGTCAAGACGAAGGCGCAAAAGGCAATCTCTGATTTCAGCCCACACAGAACAAGTCTGGGAGATACAGTCATGGAAGAAAGTGTAAGTCATACACCTGAAATCTCTGAGAGGATAGTAACTGAAGTAAGGAAATTAACTTCATGAGATTGTAAAAGCAGTCAAATAAGAAATAATGTCTCAGGTAAAAGAAGAAATCACAAACATACTGAAAGAATTGTTCAGCAGGTCTAAAGAAGACATGGACAATAAAGAGGAGCATAAAAAAACCATGGAAACCTTGAATGAATGTAGAAAGGAATTACAATGCATGAAACAGATTCAAAGAGAGATGCAGGAAATTAAAAATTCAGTTGAAAGCTGGCAAAACCACTTGGAAAACACTGAAGATAGACTTTCAAACCTTGAAGATAAGATTGCAGCTAGTGATGATGAAAGGAAAAAATCTCTTAAAAGTTACACAGAATTAGGAAATAACAACTCAATGGCTACAAGATGACACAAGGAAGCATAATTTAAGAGTGACAGATGTTGGTGAAGAAGCAGGGGTTAACAAAAATGAAATTAAAAGGCTGTTTACAGAAGTAATTGAAGAAAACTTCCCAAACATGGGAAATGGATCTGACACGCAGATAACTGAGGCATACAGAAGGCCAATTAGCCATAACCAAAGAAAATCTACACCCACCCAGATATATAATAATCAATATCCCAAAAATTCAGCACAAGAATAGAATATTAAAAGCTGTTAGAAAAAAGAAACAGATCACCTATAAAGGAAAACCAAGAAGAGTTTGAAGTGTTTCAAACTCTGAAAGAAAACAACTTCCAATCCAGATTGACCTACCCTGCAAAACTATCTTTCAAAATTGATGGAAAAATACAGATATATCCATGAGAAAGGACAACTGAAGGAATTCATGACTACCAAACCAACCCCCAAAAGAGTGCTAACGGATATTCTAGAGAGATAAAGATAACCATGGTTCCAAGAACAGCAGCAGAGGATCACCAAACAAGATAGGCAATTGAATGAAGGAGAAATGTGGAGGGCCAACAAGGAGGAGAATAGCACGGCAGAGACAAACCAATGTAAGCTGGTTGTAACCATTAATGTAGACAGCCTCAATTCAGCAATAAAAAGAAACACATGGAGAGTGGATCAAGAAACAAAATCCATCAATATACTGTATACAAAAAGACACATTTAAGGAAATTCATAGACTAAGAATCAAAGGAGAGAAAACAATTGTTCCAAGTGACAGGAGACCAGAAAAAAAAAAGCAAGAGTAACTTGCCCATTAACCGCAAAATGGATAAGATAGATATAGTATTTTCATGCAGTGGAAAGCTACCCGTCTATAAAGTAAAATAATCTCAAGCCTCCTGTAGGTAAATGGACCCAACTGGAGATCATGTTCATGGATAAAACAGTTCAAACACATATGTGTGAACCCTAGCATAAGAAACAGAAGGGGAAGGGACAGGGGATTTAGCTCAGTTTAAGTGCCTGCCTGGCAAGTGCAAGGTCGAGTTCAATCCCTGGCACCAAAAAAAGAAAAAAGAAAAACAAAACAAAACAGAAGGGGTTAATGGGATCCAAAAGAGAAATAGTTTTTTGGTTTTTTGTTCTTTTTGAGACAGGGTCTCACTATGCAGTTAAGGCTGGCCTTCAGCTCACTTTGTAGCCCAGGCTGGTCTTGAACTTACAATGTCCCTTCTGCCTTAGCCTCCCGATGGGATTACAGGCATGTACCACCATTCGCGGTTCCAAAACAGTTATTTTACTCTGATGATAGGTAGCTATTTTGAATATATAAGATATATTTGGGCAATCTTGGTTTCCTATTATATTGCTTGAAGTCTTATAATGTTTTCATTCATTTATTTAATTGGTTTTATTGTTTTAATTTTATTATGTGTGATGGCATGAACAGCTATGTTGAAGAAAATGAGACATTATATAGCCATTGCTGATTTCTTGTCATCTTGCTTTGAAGTCCTGTCTTGCTTTTGTTCTTCTGATTGGTTCTATCCTGCAGTGTTTTATTTGATTTTATTATGTGTGATGGTACGGACAACTTTTTTGAGGAAAATGAGATACAATAGTAGCCATTGTTCATTTCCTCTTATCTGGTTTCAAAGTCCTATAATGCTTTCATTCTTTTGAATAGTTTTATACTATTTTGTTATGTTTGCTATTATTGTGTGTGGAAACTATTTAAAAGAAAACAAGAGAATTATGGTAGCCACTGTTGATGTCCTGTTGTCTTATTGTAAAGTGCTGTGTTGCTTGCATTTTTCTGTTGGGATTTGCTTTGTTCTGTTTTGTTTTCTTTTTATTCTCTTTAAAATGAAAAAATCTTTAAAAAATTTAAAAAACTAAACTTTTTATTGTGACATACTGAAGATGTATTTTTACAATTTTTTATTAGCATTTTTAACTAGTCTATGTTTACAGTATATTACGATCACATTCATCATGAGGAATTTGCACATAATGTATCTTTCTTTTTTGTTTCTTTCTGCCAACCTTTCTTTCCCTCCACATTTGCAAAAGTTCTAGGCCTAGTTTTACTTTCCCTTCCCTCCCCTTTCTCACCATCTCTTCTTCCACTTCCCATTTTAAAAAATTATTGTTTCCTAGTATCTATTTTCCTTTTTTTGCATTTTGGGTTTCTCTGAAGAGAGAAACTATGTACTATTTAGACCTGTGTAATTTATCTCATGTAAAAATTATGGTCTCAAGTACCAGGCACAGTGGCACACACCTATAATTCCACCATTTGGGAGGCTAAGGCAAGAGAATCCTTACAAGGTAGAGGTCAGCCTGGGTTGACCTTCAAAGCCTGCATAGTGAAACCCTGTCTTGAAAAGACTAAATAAATAAATACAGATCTCAAAGTGCATCCATTTATTTTATTTTTATTAATTTAGTTGGTTTTTTGTTATTTTAAAATTATCATTATTATTTTTTGGACAGGGCCTTGTTATACAGTTCAGGCTAGCCCTGAACTTACTATGTGGCCTAGGAAGGCTTCAAATTCACAAGGATCCTCATGATTCAGTCTCGCCAAGTGGGAGGCTACAGGGGATGCCATGCCTGCCCTTGAGATGTGCATACATTTACCAAAAGTGTTTATTTAAGTGTTGAATTTAAAAACCTATTTGACTGCCACTGTAATGACCGTTTTTTCTAGTTATGTTAATACAGTGAATCTCACTGATTGCTTTCTAATTTTGACCCTATTTTATACTCATAAAGTCTAATGTAGTCTATTTCTAAAATAGACTGGCTTTAACTTAAGACAGCTTCATTAGGTTTCAGTATTGAGGTTATGTTGACTTAAACTGAGAAGTGATCTTTTTTTCTATTATATGGAAAGTTTAATAGAAAGACTATTTTTAT